CTTCCACCCGTAGGTACCCTGCTAGCCGGCTTCGTGACATGCGCACTCGCTGGATTCAAGGATGCGAACAAATATGCCGCACTTGTACGTGCCACACACACACTTACTTTCGTAAACTAACAAAAGCCAACAAAGAAGATGCTGAAAGGAACTGCAAAATGTTATGTATGGTAAAAGCGGCAGCTACAGCAAACTGCGGCGCGGCAAATAGACGTGTTCTAGGTTACGCCACAGTCACGGCAGCAGGAAGCGCAGCGTAGTGGAGAAACCTTCGCAGCGAAGCAGTGCCCGCGTCGGCGTTGGTGATACGAAATTAGGTCGTATCTGTTAGGCGCTGCTGCGTCGTCAAAACGATGCGTGTGCTTACGTTATTCGCCGCCGAAATAAATATTGAATGGCGAAAAGTATTTGCGGAGAATTGCAAAGTTTTTGCCGAAGTCGTGGGCAGCCATGTGCGAAGAAGTTAGAGTGTTCAAGTGGACAGATGAAAGCATAACATCGTGGTACTACCAAATAAGGCGGATGGACGCACGTTATAGAAAGCGTTATGTATTCATTTTTAACAAAAATGTTTTATGAACGAGAAACCATCAGAGCGCATTATTTATTGAAATACCGCTAAGCTTCCAGCCAAAATTGTTATTACATAAAAAGAGACCTACCACATTATAGAAAGACGGGCTGAGAAGAGCAGAAAAAGAGTGCCGTCCATTCAAATAACCAGTTCAACTGGCACATGCACAAGAATTTTAGTTAAACTTTTATTTTTCTTCCACTTTTCCTTCGTTTGACGGACTTAAACTTCTTTGTGAGCTCGCTAAGCCATTAAATTAGATTTTTTTTGAATTTTAAGTTTTCCACAAAGTACTGATAAGTTTTCGGTTGTTTCAGCAAACTACTTGCAAATAGTAAATATAGCAGTGCCCATCTCCCAAACACTACTTCAAAGGCTATCCAAAACATGCCTATGCTTTGCTATTGCTTGCCTTCAAGCAGTTTGCCCTCACACATCACATCAAAGTGCCATAGCGTGTCCGCACCCGCGCATCTCCCCAGATCATTCATTATCACCTTTCAATTTTCACTCAATTACCATTGTTAATTTATACAGTTATGCAAGTCACTAATCCCCAATCTCTCAATTACACCGACTATTGCACTGTTGCAACAATCACCCCTGTTCGGCACAATCAACGACCCCCTCATCCTCGAACACTTTGACAGGTCACACAAAGAGTCAAACATTTATTGGCCATTTGAGTGAAAAATTCAAAACTTCTATGACCGTTAGCCTGATTGACTGCCACACCGACCGTTGCACGACAATTGTATGCAACCGATTATGGTTGACGAGCGAAAGGACATGCAAACACAGTTAGGTCTACACGAGTACAATACACAAGTGAACAATCAAATTCATGTGCTGTCCCATAAACGAATCTATTATTATTGCCAGCCAGTGGGGCGGTGGGCTCGTATACGGATCACAAACACACATCTGCACCAACACAATGGACAGTACAACAAAACTGTGAATGACCCCGACCGAGTGGCCGTTTCGACGACAATCGAAAGTGTTGTGGCGCTTTGGAATTGGCAAGCGGGCGCACGTCGATGGCACAATCGTATGGTGGCAGTTACTTGCTCTGCGCCCAAAAGCAGACTAATAACTATTGTGTGTACGCAGGCAAGCGCGCTAATAAATATAATAGCAGCAATACATGCGTAGGAATGCGTGCGTATTTGTGAATATGTAATGTATACGCCGCTGGGAGAACTGTCTACAATTTTCAATTGTATTTTTGTGCCCTGAACTATGAAAGTGAGCCGATGTGAAGGACATGTGAATGGCTGGCATACAAGCAAGCACAAAAGGTCTAAATGAAAGCAAAAATTGGGTGATCCTTTGCTTTTAGCACACACATCCTTCATTTTCATTATTCGAACTTTTGGTTGTGGCTTTTGGCGATAAGCCTTAATAATAAAATGAAATCGTGTGCAGCTCTTTGGAGTATTTACTCTAGTGGATTCCGCCTGCCACAGTGTCTGTGTGGATAATGTTAGATACATACTTGATTATGTCAAGAGGGAATATAGCTAATGAACATAGTTAAGCTTAGGATTCCAGCATGGAGCATATTCTCTTTGCACGCCATTCCCGGAAGGATTTGTAGAAAGCAACACAATATCCGAAAAATGAACGCCTGGTATGAAAATAATTTCAAATCTTCGAGTGCTTTCTAGAAACATCTCTTCCACTGACAAAAGTTGCATAAGTTTTAAACTCATAGCATTTTGCATTCAAAATAGTAGCAAACAAAACTTTATATACGACAAACATCTCAACGGTTTTTGTTGTACGGAGTTTGACTGCTCAGTAGCATGGTTTTGATTATACAACCTTTTCCGTATAGCTGCAATAACACCCTACCGAGTACTGCTGCCTTTATTCACTTTCTGTTAGTTGAGTCTTATTCACACAACCCTTGCAGAAAGACGCATAAAAAATCACAACCGTTTTGCGCTTATATTTTTTTTATGTTGTTGTTATTGCTTGCTAGTTTTATGAGCTTGACTAACTACACATGTAGTTTGTACATACAAATTATATATAATTTGCAGTTGCTACTCATATTTTCCACATTCACTACAGGCGCCTGCTTGTGCGCCTCGTAGCGTCCCTTGAGTCCTCGCCAATATTTGGCTTTACGTCCATTGCTCCGTTAGCTCTTTCAGAAATCATTCAACAGTCAGCAAACAAATACATAAAGAAGTTGAACATTTGGTAAACAAAGAAACAAAATTTGCTTTGGATTACATTACGACGACTTCATGCGCGCCAATCGCGTATATACAGAGCTCGCTTAACCCACAAAATCGATGGTTGTGTATGAATCTGGCGTTATAAAGCAAGCCATCAACACTTGCAAGTCATCGGCCGGCCGTGCGTCTTCTTTCTCCAGCACTTTATTTACGCTGGCTCGGCGCATACCCCAGGGTCGCATAAAAAGTGCTTGAAAATGTCGTTCGTTTACGGTTTCCGCATATTTTTCTGTTTATTTCTGCAATCTTTCACGACTTTCTTTTTTCATAGCGCGTTTTTTATGAGCGCGCATCTCCAACTATTTTTCCATTGTTTAAGTTATTTGATTTTTTATGAAGTCACATTTTCTGTAGTAGCTCTATTTGGGTTGTGGACTTAATTGAACTGCAAAAAGCTTAGCTTTATCAGCTGTTGCTGCCTGGCCGCATGCGTGCGCTTAGAAGTAGCGGCGAGCATTTGCTGTTTGTCCTGTTTTTCTTTTATCGCTCTATTAGCGTATGTGCTGTCGTTGATTTACGAGTTCGGGCGCGTATACGCCACACTTCGACTTAAGTCGTAAAGCTTTTCTTTGCTGGAATGCAATAAACGCTATGCTTGATGACACGTGTACACATATACATATGTACGAGCACACAGATATGTTTGACACGTGGGATTCATTCCTTTTAGTGTGTTGTACACTTCAAACGAACTACTGAGCACTCAATAGTAGTCCCAGAGCGCTACTTTGAGTGGATTAAGCTGCTGAATTGGTTTGCTTTGCCACATGTAACACACTTGTCAATGACGACATGATTTACAATTATTACTGGATCGGAAACTCTTTCATTGAGGAAAGCCACAAGTTCATTATTAACCAATACAAAGCTGTTAACCTGCAACGGTAGATTCTCATCTTATCTCAGTGGTCCGCAGTGGATCGCAGAGTATTCCGTAGATGGAAGAGAGCGGAGTAAAACTTTTGGCCAAACAATTTTTTCTCGAAATTCAGATTAAAGTTTAAATTATTAAACTTAACAATTTAACTCAAACCTACTAAAGACAACAGACTTCTTACATCAGCTACTACAACTAACTTGGCACTCTATGAGCTTACGAAGGTTTAAAATACTTGGTTTAGCTACGCACAAGGCTAGGAGGCCCCTTGTTATACCATCGGGACTGAAGTTCCCTCACTCTATTGTCTCCTCTCTGAGCCAACCTGTGCTTCTATGAAGTTCATCAGTATAAATAGTTTTATGTGAGCAACCGAGACGTCGTCCAGGAACCCTCGACTGATAGTTGCGATTCTTTTCCTGTATAGATTCTTACATTTGCATAGAATACTTTTCACAGTCTCCTCTTCTTCTACCTCCTGACAGCTTCTATAATAGTCATTATAAGGTGCACCTAGCCTGCTGACATGTCTACCAATTAGTGACCTGTTAGCACTCCTACCAAAGTTCGTATGTTAATCTTGCCACGTTTGCCGACTAGTTGTGCAAATCAGTGATTGACTCCACCTAGACTCAGCTAGATTTATAACATGTCCGCTGATCAAATGTTTACAAGTGGCCAGAGGCATAAAAATTTCCTCTTTTTCAGAGATTAATGGTGAGATGAGAGGAGTGGTGCCTATACTGGCTAGTTCATCTGCTTCGCAGTTACCAGGAATATCACTATACTCTGGAAACCATTGCAGCTTTATCGTGAAGTAGGATGTTAGATACTCTAAGAGATGAAGATATTCTTTCACTATCTCTGACGAAACCATAGGAGACTTCAGTGATTTCCAAGCCGCTTGGCTATCCGTATATATAAATATGCTTCTTGTTGTGAGCACACTTTTTGTCAGAACAACAAGGCTTTCTTTGATTGCTGTGATATCCGCTTGGAAGACACTGCAGTGGTCTGGTAACCGAAAGGTGATTTTGATATCTAATTTTGCTGAAAAGGCAACACCTCCCATTCGATTATCTAGTTTGGAACCATCTGTATAGATGCTAAACCCTGCATACCTGTGCACCTCGTCCCTTTCCCAAATAAGAGGTTAGGTAGAAAACTGATTAACATAAATACTTCGAACTATGAACTGGTGCAGCAAACAAATATCGTAGCTTCATAGGAAGCATTTGCCAGACCAACTCTGCGGATCTAAAATGTGGAAACTTTATTTGGAAAATATGCTTGCACTTACCTTGCCCGACGACGAGATCGTTGATTGCGACGGTGTACCCGATGATTGTGCCGATAAAGCCGTTCGACCGCTGCTGTTCGCTTGCATTGCAGCGCGGCGCACGTGCGCGGCCACAGGCGGCTCTTAAGCGTTTGGTCAGCACCGATGCGGTACAAGCGTCGTGCAATGCACACGCACACGCGCTAGATGACAACAACAACAATCACAAGAACTTTTAAGCGTTACGTTGTGCACGGCTTGTGAGAATGAGCGGGGCAATACACACGCACGCACTACACCTCCGGACACGTGCCCTCAACTACTCATTGTTGCTGCAGCAAATGTGCGCTAAAAGCGTGACACGACAAAACTTGCAGCAGGCGTTGGAATTTTAAGGGTTTATGCATTTTCACGCTTGCACTTGGCATTTAAGCACTTTTTTGCGAGGAGATTTCACTTTCGTTGATTTCTAGGAAACTCTTTTATTTGTTTTATTAATTTCTACTTTAGATAATACAATTTTTGATTTTTACTGGTTATATTTAAATATTAATTTAAACGCTGTGCAAATTTGAATATTTCAATTGAATCAATGTGGGCAAGAGCATGGAAATATTGCTAAAATAGTGGAAAACGCACTTTACAAACATCGCATCTTTTTATTTCGTTTATATTTAGATGGCTTAAAGTATACGGCGCGGCTGCGAAGAGGCGTATGAGTAAAACGTGGCAGACAGTACCGCTTACAGCACTGGCGGCGAGAAGTTCGACAGCACGCAAATTTATTGATTGTATATTCAGTAAATAAATGCCGTTATAAAGTGGCTGAAAGCATAATTAACTGAGTCTACGCGCCGTTGAACACAACGGGTGTGAGCAAATGGCTGATAAAAGCACAATTACGGATATAAATAAATTCAAGATACGCATAGAAAAGAGGATAACCATACAAATACCAACAAAAATGAAGAGTGAAGAACACAAAGCGTTATTTAAGCGCTGAAGTATACACGATGTGAGGACTGAAATGTAAACACATCATTGTAGGACTATCTCTAAAATTTCGGGCTGCCAGTTGGGGCGTGGTATTTCAAAGATATATTTGTGGTACCCATACTTTAACGTTATTTCACCACAACTCTGCGCGGCGCAGGCACTTTACTGTAACATTTTTGGTAGGATAGAAATTATAATAATGTCCACGCTAAGCTAATTCGTATAATATATCTGGTGCTTGGATATTCTCCAACAGTGAATGATAGCAGATAGAGAAGAGCAAGGGCTTCAGTGTACAAGATCAAGTTGAGAAGCACGTGGCAGCACTTGATGTTTTGTATTGACCACAACTTGCGAAATTTAGCAACGAACATAAATGACCTAACCTAACGTAGTACGACTTCAGAATCTTCTATTAAAAAGCTTGCCGAGCTAGCGCCTAAAATGTGGTATTTATCCCAAAATAGATACACTACGCGCACAGAAAACAACACGCACGAATACGCACGTGTAAGAACAACATTTTGATTTCAACGCTGCTACAAAATGTTTGCATTGACACAACTGTCACGCGAAGAACGCTAAACAAAAGATACAACAACAACAACTCCGTTACATATGTGAGACACAGTTAGCAACAACTGTATGGAAAACATGAGTTGGCAGCGGAAACAGCATTGAAACTTCCTTACACTGACGAAGGCAGACCAAAAAACATGCCCACACACACACGAACGCACAGGCACATGAGCTCGAACCGGCAGCCATGTAACCAACCATCCAGGATATGCCGTTATGAAAGTTTTGCCTATAAAAGGCAGGCACTAGCACAACTGACAGCTGCGTGGCCATGTGACAACCAATGCGGTGAGTGTATGTGAAGGCATGGATGAATGAATGGCTGGACATGTCGATGGACAGAGTTATCGATGAGCAGTTGATTGAACGCAGTAGACAAGGCAGCAGGCAGTGGGGCATTTGAATGAGGGTGGAAGATGTGACTCAATTTCTACTGCTATTTACTTTTCATTTGAAAAGCTATGTGAGCGTCACAATAACATATTCAGTAGTAGAATGTGTTAAAAAAGATCGAAACCATAAATTGAGCTAAGACCATAAATAATTTATGATCAAAATTGTTAAAAGTCCAGCGAAGAAGTTCAAGAAATTATTAAAAATAAAATAAGAAAAAACGTTAACTTCGGTTGCATCGAAGCTGTAATACTCATCACAAATAACGAAGTTTCTATACAAGAACTTGATGCCGATCGTTCAGTTTGTATGACGGCTATATGCTATAGTGGTCCGATATTGGCGATTCTGACAAATGAGCAGCTTCTTGTGGAGAAAAGGACGTGTGCAAAATGCGGTATCTCAAAAACTGAGGGACTGACGGAAATGACTAAATCGACTCAGCTCATCATGCTGACAATTTATAAATATATTTTATAGGGTCTGGGGCTTAACTAATAAGATTCAATAGTACTAACAGAAACAAACATATGTACCAAGAACTCGAACAGGAATTCTAAAAACGAAGTGAATACTACTGGAAATAGCATTAGCACAGGGAAAATACAAATACTCGGTAATTTGAAGGCGTTTCTAGGCGTGTTATAAATATCTAATCGAACCCTTTTCATAGCTAATATAAACAAAGCCAATATGAAACAGTACATTAGCTGTTACATAGTTAAACATTTCATTAACCAACCCTCCACCACACCTCATTTCAATTCACATAATACAATTAGAAAAAAATCAAAGTATGAACGCAAGTGCCAGACCTGAAGATTGGCATAATAAGACAGAAGCGACAATAATACTTCGCCCACCTCTCTTTATTTATTGAGCAAATGCTAGGGAGGTCTAAACACGCACAGCCTTTCCGCAACCCTCCTTCTACCTGCCAGTAACCATCTTGAAATGCCAAATATCTCACACCCTCACACCCTTGTCGCATAGCTCGTTGAACATACAACACCTCGAGCAAGGATAACAATAAATATTACAACAACAACTACAGTGGCAGCGACATTTAATAAAGCTAACAAGCCATTGACAGCGCCAAGCTTCCAGTCAAAAAGAGCAGCAGCAGCGCTGCTCAAAGCGGCAGCAATCGAAGAGTTAGCTGCGAGAATGGTCATGTTGTGTTGTAACTAGGATGAAACAAAAACGTCAAAAAAGCAGCAGCAGCAACGATTGAAGCAGCAGTCGCAGCAGCGGCACACAAATGTTAAGCAGCTACTATTAATGTTTTTGTTTTTGCTGTTGTTGTCATTGCTGTTAATGTTCTTTTGATGTGCGCTACTGATACTTATACGCAGCTGCTTGCCAACTGAATATGTTTGCGTGAGTGTGATAATGGCTGCTGCTGCTATTAATATGCCAAGCAGAACGCTGACAAGCAAAAGAAATGGTAATAAGTGGCAACAATCGCCAGCAATGCACACAGTGAAGACAACGCGAAGGACACACAAAGCATCAAGCCAGCTGTAGCTGAAGAGAAGCGCCGCGGCAGCAGCTATTGTATGGGAAATTTCATAGCTGGTGCGCCTGCACCGCCGACGGCACGGCAAAGTTACGCTCTACGCCCTGTGGTAGGCCATGAATTTGTTTGGCGCGTGTACACAAAGCATTTTTTGCATATATACCATACATACATATGTATGCATGGATATGTGAAGTTGTACAGAATGCACATACATATGTATATACACTTTATGTACGCACCTATAAAGATGCCAACGCTTCGAAAACGCACCATTGGCAGCTGTCGTGGCGTGATTTTCGTGCAATTAATTAGTTTGCTGTTTTTGTTGTTGTTTTTGCATACGTGCTTAATAAATTAGATTTTTCGTTGTAAACAAAATTACTGTCGCAGCGTTTGAATTTTGCGGTAAGCACCGTAATGGGTTAATGCATAAACGTGTGGCTGCAAATTGCGTCGACACAAGCAAAACAACAATAACAATGTTCAGTGGGCGCTTCAATGAACACCCACCTAGCACGCGCTGCGACTTTGTGACTTGTACGCGCGGCGTCCAGCGCAAAAAAAATCAAATTTCGCCATCCGCCCTGCCAACATGTGTCAAGGCGAGCGCTGAACACACACAGACTCGCATATATATGCACACATTTAAGTATCTACACGAAATTATTTGCACATTGTGTTGCCACTTTTGTAGGTTAAGTAACTAATTTTCTGCTGTCTTTGCATGATCATACCCTACAACCAGAAATTGACCGAAAACTAATTTTTATTTGCGCTTGCGACTTTTGCATGTTTTCAACGCACACACGCATTTTTAACAGCTGCTAATGCTCGGGCGGCTGGCTGCTAGCCATCGACTGCCACTCGCTAAGTGGGTAAATAGGGCGTGTGCGGAGTGGGCCGCAGCAGCCGTTGCTTGCAACTTTTTCAAACACACTCTTCGGCCGCTTTAGCCACCGCGTCCGTGCAAGCATTTCTCATCTGCACACTTGCGTTTTTCCTCTATTTTTCACACACACACACATATATTTGCATATACTTTTTGAAGTTTTTTCGACATTGAGCTCTGGATTTCAACGGTTACAACTTAATTTTTTGCCCAACTTTAACACACACCATTATAACCAGCCAAGGCGTTTTTAAGCAAATACAAAATTTTCATTGCTGCTATTTTGAAAAATTTCTGTAAAATTGCTAAGCGCATATAGCACACACGCGACGGCACTTGTCATTTCGTGTACGATTTCGTTAGATTCCTGCGCGTTACTGAGCGAGTTTTCATATCACACAAAATTTTCACACCGCCGCGGCAAAATTTTCACACAGCCACGAACAGAAGGACGACAGCTGTCTCAGCTCAGCTCAGCTGTGGAGCACGAGCAACGGGCTATACATGTGGCCGCTTCTCTCCCATTAGCCCGCATCCAACACGGTAATCACGCGTGGACAGCGTGAGATGCTGGATGCAAGAGCACCAAGTCTTGGCGCAGACACGCATGCCTGCCCTTTGGAGACTTTATTGAGCACTGCAAACAACTCACCGAGTATTCACTAGCAAGCAGCCACCCACCTGCACGCTGTGGCGCTGATAAGACACACGCTAAATTACTATACACGCGCAAGTAAAGAGGAAATCACTTTTCGTGAATGTGCAAAGGATGCCGACAGATGTTCAACTAAATTTACTGACAGCTGCAAAATGGCGGTCCATATGACGGAAGTAAAGACACCAACAACGGTTCTTGTCGTTTACTTTGTCACATAGCTAGCCATGACACCAACCCAAAGTGAGTGCTGCCACTGTGTTTGGGTTATAAACATTATTTTACATGCATCTGATAAGAAATTAACACTTTCAACGCTCAAAATAGTTTAAAAAGTGTTGAAACTAGTTTGGCTTTTCGAAAATCAAATACATTTAATTAAGTCTTGCCCGAAGCATTGAAATATTTTATACCAATTCCAAACATTAAACTAATGTTCCATCATGCAAGCGCGCTTTGCTATCCGGTGGCAACACGAAAAAGGCGAAGTAGAAATGTAAGCACAAAAGAGAATGATCAAAAGACGACATGCAGTGTATGAAGTGGAAGTGGAACCGAAAAGCAGCAGTTCAGAACGAAGATTTGCAAATGACTTAAATTTGCACAAAAACGCGATAAATTCTTAATTAAACTAATCGGAAACGCAACGTTTGCGTATTAACACATAGAAATAACTAAATTTTATATAATATTGAAATATTAAACGACGCGAAAACGAACGAAACCAAAGTGCTGCACATGAATTAGTGAAAATGTAATTTCTCTGCTGCACGACTACGACGACGACGAAGCAAAAAATAAAAAGAAAGGCAAAGATAAAAATAAGAATCTGTGACAGGCGCTAGTGTAAATATCCAAATCCTTTCGGATTGGTAAAAACTACATTAACGCGGACGAATGCGGCCTAAACAGGACCGTTTTATTTATTGCAAACGAGAAATATTAAATTTATGTATATATATTGCGTATATATGTATAAAGACTAGGGAAGAGGAATAGCACTAAAACAATACGACATAGTCGACGAAAAAGAATAAGCACAAAACGAAGTTGTGGATAAAAGATATTTCTGCGGGCCAGACGTAAAGCGAATTTTTTTATTTATACAAAATCGAAACTATTGTGAAGCATAAAAACTGTTGTGGAGATTAGAGAACACCACGAATAGGTGTGGAGAAAACTGACTGACAGGTAATATTGGTTATCCACTGTTGATAAAAGTGTTTACAAAGACGGAGTACCCAACAATGCAGCAATTAGTATGTTGAAAATATGTCTATTGGAATAAGAAATTAATAACACCTACAACATACAAGATATTTATTGTTTACTTATTTCAATCGCTCTGTCTCCATATTAAGTTTTTCAATACCGATTAGAAAATTCAAACACGTTAACCTTCTACATATTCAATTTTTTACATTCAGGCCAATTATATTTTTCCCTTTTTTTACAGCAGCTTTACGGTGCTAATAACGAATGGCTTATAAACGGATGCACGGAAGACTTGCTGCACACACACTGTCGTCTGGCGCTAGAGGACAATAGACACCCTCTAACGTTTTGACAGCACTTTTTTTTTTGTAATTTTTTTAATTTTGGAAAGCACCTGTTAAACACTTATATGCCTGCACACTGTTTAACCAATAACGATCACTCGCCGCCTGAAACCAAACCAATGCTCGCTATCAACGAGAAGCAACACACAGAAGCGTCACACGCACTACAACGCAACCATAGCGATGGCAATGGAGAAGTGCATGCCAATGGCAATGCCAACATCACCAACCAACAACAACGCCAACAGACTGGCGGCAGTAATAACAACAGCAGCAGTGCCCACGAAACAACACAGTTACCACCATTGCCAGACGGGCCGCTATGGTCGGTGCTTTACGATTACGATGCCAAAGGCGAGGATGAGTTGACACTGCGTCGCGGTCAGATTGTAGTCGTGCTATCCATGGATAGCAATATATCGGGTGATGAGGGCTGGTGGACGGGCAAAATTGGCGATAAGGTCAGTACCAATTGGTTTATTTGTTATTCCTCAATTTGTATCAGAAGTAGTTTTTGTGTAAATAATAAAGTAGTGGCTGCAGCGGTGGATCAATGACGTCACTGCGCACATATACTATGTAATTAAATAAATTAATAAGCGCAGTTTTCACATTAGGGACTTTATCGCTTCTTCTTTGCAATGCTTTATTGTGCTGACGACATTTTTTATCGCACCGAAAAATATGCTGCTTCACCGCCTACTGCTTAATTTGCAGCGCAACATTGATAAGAACGCTTAGTGTTTATCTAAATGTTATCTCTGCCACGCTACTTGAACCGTTGGCAGCAACTGCGATTTAAATTTTTTTTTTTTATAATAAAATTTGCGAAAATTGTTGAAATATGTAGTTAATTAAAAACATTTTTTTTTTAATTATATTTTTTTCATAATAAAATGAGTGTTATACTAAAAATTTAATTTTTTTATTTTGTTTTAATGCTTTTTTTTTAAATAATATTAATATGAGTATGATTAAAAAAATGTAGATAAAAATCACAGCAACTGATAAGAGACAAGACTTGCTATTTGTTTATGTCGAAACTATTGACCACTTGCAATCATATGTTTTATATTTATATTTTGTTATTTTTACACTGAGACATGCTAATCTTCTCCTAGGTCGGCATTTTTCCCAGTAACTTTGTGACAGACCAAGATCCTATGCTGCCGGACGTGCCCTCTGCCATAGGAGACATACAACCGCACGAAATTGACTATGCCGAGCTCGATGTGGGCGAGGTGATTGGCGCTGGCGGCTTTTGCAAGGTGCACCGCGGCTATTACAGCGGCGAAGAGGTTGCTATTAAGGTGGCGCCGCAAGCTGGTCCCGATGTCGAATCGAATCGCGACAATGTGCTGCAAGAAGCGAAGCTATTCTGGGTCGTCAAACACGAAAACATAGTGGCACTGCGTGGCGTCTGCCTAAAGCCGCCCGATCTATGTCTAGTGATGGAGTATGCGCGCGGCGGCAGTTTAAACCACATTTTGGCGCGTGGCAAGATTCCGCCCGATGTGCTGGTCAACTGGGCGATACAGATAGCACGCGGCATGAACTACCTGCACAATGAAGCGCCCATCTCGATTATACACCGCGATCTGAAGAGTTCCAATGGTGAGTGGCGACTGTTTATCTGTGTGTGTGTGCAAGATTTGTTTTCTTAACATGCCAGTGACTGTGTAGCGGCATTTATTAGCACAGCGTAATGCGAAAATAATTTTGTTTAAGTGACGGTTTATATATTTTATAATTCGAGTTAGAAGTTTTTAGAGCACTTGTTTTGTGGGGAGTAAATATGTGGGAATTTTTAATATGTTTAATTATTTATAAATTAATAATTTCGCTTCTTTTTTTTTGACATTCACAGTGCTCATTTTGGAGGAAATCATTGCCGGCAGTCTGCACAATAAAACACTGAAGATCACCGATTTCGGTTTGGCGCGAGAGCTTTACAACACAACACGCATATCAACGGCGGGCACATACGCTTGGATGCCGCCGGAAGTGATAAAGAGCAGCACGTACTCCAAGTAAGTACAATATTCCACCTACAGCGGTATTGAAATTTATTTTTACATACCATTTTATGCATTTGCATTATTTTTGCACACCAGATCGTCGGATGTTTGGAGCTACGGTGTGCTGCTGTGGGAGCTCATCACAGGCGAAACGCCATACAAAGGTTTCGATTCGTACTCAGTCGTGTTTGGCATTGCAGTGAATATGCTAACGCTGCCCATACCGAAAACTTGCCCGGATGCATGGGGAAAACTCATGAAAAGTGCGTACGCGTGTTGATTTATTTTGAAAAAAAAAAAAAAAACAAACAAAAAAAATTATTATATCTGAATTTATTGCCACAGGCTGCTGGGAGAATGACCCGCATAAGCGGCCGGGTTTCAGGGATATACTAACGAAGCTGGAAGACATTGCACGTTCAGGTTTCACGCTGACGCCACAGGAATCGTTCAACACCATGCAAGATGCCTGGAAGAAGGAGATAGCCGAGGTGCTGCAAGAGTTGCGCTTGAAAGAAAAGGTGTGTGGCTTACAGCAAAAACAAAAAAAAAAAAAAAACAGAACGTAATGTAGCCGTATATGCTAGTATTTTGTCTGGAATTGTATAGCTGATTATATTTTATTGTTGTAACGCGTTTAGTATTTATTTGTGAGGTGTGTGCGTGTTTGTTTTTAGGCGCGTACAATGTAAATTTTTGTAATTTGATAGCGTGTAGTTTTCCGTTATGTACTTGGCGGTGCGACCTTGTCATTTACACGTTCTTAATTTTGTCTTCTTCCTGTACTTCTATAATTTGTTTGCATATTTGAACAAATCGTAACATATTCTCTGATTCATTTGATTACGTCTCACACAGCGTTTCCAAGCAATCGAGGAGGTAAGCAAGACGTTACATTTTCTTGCCGACAATTTGCAAATAAAACGCTAATGGGCTGTGTTACATTACAATTTTTATGAAAATCATCTTGTTTTTTCATTTATTCTAATTTATGTGCATGGCTTTTGTGGTATGTGGCCATTTTGTTTTTTTTTCTTAATTCTGGTTTGTTTTTGCTAACGATTTGCTCGGAAATATGCAAATAATATGCACGTAATCGAAAAAAAAAACAAATTCACAACAATTTTACAGTGCAAATACGTTAAGTTTAAACAGAAATGTCTGAAATTTTGCTTAACCTTTCGTTCTTGCATTAAAGTCAAACAAAACTCTAATTAAGTTGCCTTGTTTAGCTATGCGAAGCAATGAAAGGCTTGCATGTACGCCTGCGCAATTAATTTTTTTTTTTATTTTTGTAAAAAAAAATTTATTTTAATTGTTTTTTTTTAATTTAATTTTAAATGTTTATTAACATTTTTACGCTATCCTAGGAATTGCGCACCAAAGAGGAACGCTTGAATCGTGTGCAGAGCGAACAGGACGAACAGGCTATGAATCTGAAACGCTTTGCCGAGCAGTTAAAGCTGCGCGAGATGGCCTTAATTGGGCGAGAGCTGCAAATTGCACAACAAACGCCCACACCGAATCGTAGGCGTGGCAAGTTCAGCAAAGTGAAACTCAAAGTGAGCATTGCACCGCTAAATGGCGTGATAAAATCATAGTAAAACAAAATATTTCTTATTTTTGCAGCTGCTTAAAAAGAACGAAGTGCAAATTTCACTACCAACCGACTTCCGGCACACAGTGACGGCGATACACGACAAACCATTGACTGATACACCGCCTGGCTCACCAGCGATTTCCCAAGTGCGCATCGTGGCACGTAAGTAAAAGTGCTTTTTGTTTAATTTTTTTGAAAATAACTACAGTCAAAACGCCAAAAAAAATTGAAAAATTGTGCGCGATTCTCCAAAGAATTTGTTGCTGAATTTACAAGCAGCTCTGCGTAAATAATTTTTAAAATCGCAATTCGTGTAATTGCTTAGCTCTGTTAAATATAATATTTTTTGATATATACGATTTTTTCAAAAATTTTAGTAATTTTTTTTCTTACTTTGTTGTGTCTTTTTTTGTAAAAAAGTAGTTTAAACATTTATTTATTATTGTTTTTGTAAAAAAGCAGTTTAAAAATTTATTTATTATTGTTTTTGTGAAAAAAGCAGTTTAAAAATTTATTTATTATTGTTTTTGTAAAAAAAAGTAGTTTTTGTGAAAAAAAACATTTTTAAAATTTATTTATTATTCTTTTTGTAAAAAAGCTGTTTTCAAACTTATTTATTATTCACATTCATTTACTTTTTTTTAAATTTTTCTTTGCGTGTTTCCTTTTCTTTCTCCGCTTTATTTTATTATTTCATACATACCACACCTCCTTGTGTTTGTGTGTGGTTGCGCACGCGTAGTCACGCCACCGCAATTGCCGCCCGACGGTTACAAAGGCAAGACGTGGGGTCCTTCGACAGTGCACCAGCGCGAGCGTCCCCACCTGCCGGCGCTGCTTGCCACCGAATGGTCCGGCCCCGCTTCGACCAACTCCTTGTTCAGCAAGAGTGCACCGAATCTGGACAAGAAGGCTGTGCGGCCCACACAACTGCACTATATGCAGCATAGCCACCTGCCGCATCACACACTGCGCCAGCATTCGCCACACCATCACCGACACCAACATTTGCCGTCACACCATTCGCATGCGCACCATTTCGAATATAAATTCGGTTCGATGCCGTGCTCGCCGACCACACCGACCTATGCATCGGACGCCTGCATCGGCTACAATGAGTCAGGTATTTGTATTATAGGGAATTACAACAAAACAAGCAACAGCAACAACAGCAGTTGCAACACAACACCAACGCAAACACCAACAGCGGCGTTAACAGCGACGGCAACGTCCAACCAAACGAACAATATGCCCAACACCTCGCCCTGCGCGATAACATGCAATTCATCATCGCTGGTGACGTTCCCATTACTCAATAATACAAACGACCATACGCATGCCACTTCAATCATAAATATTAATAATACTAGTAATCATAATCATCAGCATCAGCTTCAGCATCAACAACACCAACATCATAGCAATAGTAATTCGAGTAATAACAGCAACAATAGCGGCACTTTTGCCGCCAATAACTTCATACTTGACCCGACCATTTATAATAAAAACAAAAGCAACTATAATCATAGTAATAGCTATAGTAGTAGTAATACAAGTACTAGTACACTGATACAAAATAATAGCCATAACTGTAGAAATAACGGCAATAACAATAACAATAACCATAATAACAATAATAACGGTAGCAGAAAGAATTCAGGCAGCAGCGCTATTGGTGTGAAAAGTCTCAGTTTGTGTAGTAATAAGAAATTGAAGGCGCAGCAACTGCGTCAGCTGCAACAGCAGCAACAACAGCAGCAGTTTCTGCGCCAACAAAGTCTCCAGCCAGTGCCGCCTATGGTACGCAGTCAGGAGGATGGCTTAAATTTGCCGGCGCGCTACCCCTGTTCACCCTTGACGCTGTTGCAATATCAGTTCGTGCCCGCGCCCGACTACCCGTCGTCGGAACAAAGTGATACCGACACCGAGCCGCCCACGCCCACCGTCAGCTGTTTCCCATTCCGCAAGGTCTCGCCAATGGCGCAACAGCCACCGTTGCCCTACGCCTATCACGATCGCAGTCCACTTTCCGAGCACGCCATCAGCGGCTTCAGTAGTCTCGGCAACAGCCCAGCTGTCGGCCGAAAAAAACTTTCACTCGATAGCGAACTGCTAGCGATCGAGCGTCAGCAGAAACATGCACAACGACAAGCGAAGCTGTTGCCCATCGTCATGTTGCTGCCCGATTTTGATAAACACGCGCCAGAACCCATACACAGCGCTAGCACTGCTAGCAGCGCGACCAATCTGATTAACGAGCCCAACGATCCGACGTACGATCGTGCTTTCTATCGTGAAATACAAAAGTCCTTGGAGGAAATATTCGCATTGCCCGCGCCGACAAGCCGTTTTGGCAGTCAGCGCTCTGAGCGGCTCAATTCGAAGTCGAGCGGTGATTTGACCAAATACAACTCGACCTCCCAACTCACCGAGGATGCCGCAGACGTTGAGCCCACATACCGCTTTCAGCGCAACGCTTCCGGCTCACAATTTCCACGGCAGTGTTTCTTCCGACAACCGTCAAATGCGGGCGAGGCGGCGGACGACGATGCGGAAGCCAACGCTTCACACAACGCTTCATTTCGTTCATACTCGGGCGATGAGCATTTCAATTCGATATGCTCCGACCAATCCTCGTCCATCGACACGACTAACTCCACACAGACGTCACGCAAATCGTCCGTCACCTTCCAACTGAACTCCTCCGCCTCGCAAACGAACTCATGCAACTCGAACGAAGAGCAAGCGAACTGCAGCATTGCCAGCGCCAATCAGTCATACAGCTTTTGCACAACCTTCAATTCCACCGACACTGACACAACGCATTTCCACAACGACAACACCGAGCAGTACGTGAACAGCGGCGGCAGCACATCGCAACAAACTTCGCCACACGCAGCCACCACGTCAACGACCGCCATGCCAAAAGGCACACTGCTGCACGACCTCAAGCTGCAAGATGTGCAGCCGGCGCCAGAGGTTTTGCGTATGAAACAGAGCCTGCTCTTGGCGCAGGAAGCCAAGGCGCGCAAGCACAAAATGCACACGAAAAAAGTGAGCGGCAAAGCGAAAGAATGCGGCGCGACGACGACGACGACAGCATCGGTGTCGTTCCAACATAAAGTGCAAAACATACTAAACTACTTCACAATACGCAAGAAGAAATCAGAAAGTGAATACAAATTATTTGAAAACGCCAACTCGGAGTTCGTGCACGAAGCACGCGTCAAGGCGAAGGCGAAAGCGAAGTCATGCGAGCAACTGTAGTGCTTGCGGAGAGCGGCGCGCAAAGTTTAAGTAACAAAAGTGTGGTTAGAAAGTACTAAAAGCCCTCAAAGGCATTGTTGTAAATTAAATTTTATAAAGTGGTTTGAAATGTCACGTTATAATGAGGCGAAGGCGAAATATATATTTTTACAGCTGTGCGCTAAAGCAGTTTTTGTTGCAAGAATTATTTGCAATATGCATTGTTGCAAAAGCAGAGTGCACGTGTTGACGCGGTATATTGAAATGAGTCTGCCGCAGTCGTTTCGGTGCTTAACGGTATTAGTAAACGTTTTCGTGACTTGCTTACTCAAGCGCTGCACACACAGCCAGTGGATGCGCATTTTCATGCATTTATTTTTAACGCGGCACGCAAGCATGCTCACCACACACCATGCGCTGTGGTGAATTGTTGAGCAAGGGTGTATATGCAAAAAATCGCGCGAATTAATTACGCAGAGTTGCGACGAATGGCAAATTATTGAGCTTATGCGCATTAAAAAGTTATGCAAAAACAAAAACAAAAGCAATTGTACGCAATTAAGTTAGCATGTACCGCAAGAAAAAAGAAAACGCAAAAAAAATGTAGTTTTAAGCCTAAAATATAAGAGTTTGTGTGCCTCTAAGCAGAAGTAGTAGAAAAACGAAAACGAAAACAAAAACAAATATAAACCAAACACGCGTATTCCTTGAGCTTTTCATGTCACAGCTTTGGTGCGGAGTACGTCACATTAACACCGTTATTTTCAACACCGTTGGCGCTGCAATCTTTTGCATAATTTTTAAGTTAATGAAAATGTTACTTTATTTTGATTTCATAAAACGAATGAAAGTCCTGCATATTTATTTGTATACTGTAAATGTTTTTTTTATTATTATTATTATGCTCAAACAACTTTTGTTTCGCTTTAAATTTTTAGAAATTTTTTCAAGTTTAACTAATTTTTTTAATTTGTTTTTGTTTTAATTTCCTTTATTTATTTTTTTTAATTTTTCTTTAAATTTTTTTTTTTTTTTTTTTTTTTTTTTTTTTTATATTTGTTTTTTTTTTATATGTGTTTTTTTTTATTTTTGTTTTTTTAATGTTTAGTTTAGTTTTTTTTAATTTTTATTTTTTTAATTTTTTCGCACTTTGTTGGAAAAACTGTGATCACAAACTGAAACAAAGTAAAAAAAAATTATGTAAAAACTGTGCAAATTGTCCCCTTTTATTATTATACTATAATTTATTACGCACCCCAAATGTTTGTAAAATTTTGTTTTTCATAATTTTGTCAGTGCCAATACGCAATAGGCGACATCACTTAAAAACAAGCTTTTGGTTAAAAATTAATTTACAATCTTTTTTAGCCATGCTTTTATTTTGGTAATTTACAAACGTACATATGTATATGTATGCATTCAAATATAGTTATTTTTTCAAATTATTAGCGTCAATTGGGTATTATTTACAAAAAAAATTGACATAGTTATTTATGTCTCGCAAAAAATTTAATATTTTTAAAATGTCTAATATGGTATTCACTGTCATACGAATGTCTGTAAGGTGGTCGGCAGCAGCGTCGGCGATATTTTTAACACTAAAAAAATTGTTAAAAAAACTAAAAATTGTAAAAAACTAAATTTTTTTTTGTTATTTCAAATTAATTGTTTTAAAAATATAATTTATAGCCAAAATTTTGAACATATTTTCAGAACGACACAAGCATTGTTAATTTTTCAAAAACAATTCCAAACATTTATAATAGAAATTTTAAGATATAATTAATATAACATTTTTTTTTTTTGCATCTGAAAAGTTTTCTGAGTTTTTTACTTTTTGCATATGAAAAATTTTGAAAAATGTTTTTTGCATATGAAAAAATTTTAAGTATTTTTTTTTTGGAAATAAAAATTTTTGAGAATTTTTTTTTGTATATGAAAAAATGTTCAGATATTTATTTTTGCATATAAAAAATTAACACCCATCGCTTCGTCGCTGCCCGCCGACCACGCTTTTGTTTTATTTAAGATACATTTTATGTTTTTATTGTAATTTTGTTTTCAGCTTTAATGTTATTTAAATTTTGTCAAAATTTTAACTATTGTATTAATATTTCTTAAAGTCGCTCAATTTTCCACAGTTTTGCAGCACTAAAATTGTTTGTATTTTTGTTTTTCTACAGTGTGTTCCAAAAGTAAAGTCGACATTTTTCTATCAATACATTTAGCAAGTAATTTTTACACTATTTTAAGCTACGCTAAATATTCCATTTTATAAAGCAAAATTAGTAGCGAATACGCAAAAAAAAATTACCATAATCCCTCGAAAATTTCTACAAAAACATAAAAACACTAAAATAAATTATAAAAAAAAACGACAAGCAATAAATAATTTGTATGCTAGTTTTATTTACAATTAACTTTTGAGTTTCAATATTGTTGCAACAAAATTGGTGTTGGCTAGTACTGGTTTTGAATTTTATAACTTTGATTTTTCCTAACTTGGTTTGTCTGCGGTTCAGTTTCACACATCTACGCGCCTGCGACTTGCCCTTGCGCCGTTATCTTTTTTCAATTTCTATTCTACTCACACATACGCTATTTTTACACTCTTCTCAAAAACTGTGCCGCATTGTCGCCGCCAACAGGCTACAATTCCAAAGACTGGTGCTCGCCTTTACATGCGCTGCCAGCCGCCGCTGGCGCCGGCACTTCCATCGTGGACGCGCCGCTGCCCATTATGTCGCCCAATCCCTACCTGCTGAGCCGCTTTACTTCCAACATTCCCATGCCCACGCTGTACGCCGGCGATGCGGTGCGCAAGCCGAAACTTTCTGTCATCGAAGTACTACTCTACAATATGGCCGCGCTGCTTGCCGGCGTCGCCGCTGGCTATGACGTGCGCATCTCGAACGTGTCGCCAGTGCATCCAATGCTGCTCAGTGATGTGCCCGCCTTAAAGGCACCCATGGAAATGGAGTTTCCGAACGTTTTGGATGAGCGCAGCCGCTTTGCCGCTAACACTTATCATGGTACTGGTAACAAGCACAATCGGTGAGTTTGCAATAATTATTTCTTGCACAGCGAATGGCAACTTTTTTCTTAATGTATTCATAGCGCCACCTTGAACGCAGCCACATTCACGCGTTTAGAGGAACAACGCGCTCCTCTGCATCAGAGCCCTCGCGGCTCGCCCAAACTGCATGCCGCCGCGCCTAGCTATTACTTCCAAAAGCATGCGTTGCCTCCGACTGACAGCAAGCTAGCATTGCAACAGCAGAAGCAAACGCTGCAGCATCAACAGCTGCCACTAACTGGCTCCACCACAAGCGGCTTAGGCTCCAATTTTACCAACAATACCTCCGCGCTGCTTTCGTCTTCACTGGGCAGTCATACGCAGCCGCCAACACCTTCGCCGCGTCGCAAAATCAGCACCTCTTCATTTACTGAGAATCTCGAGTATTCGCTACATGATGACACGCCACCAACGCGCGCGTTTGACGACGACTTTAACGCTGGCAGTGGCATGCCACCATCTGCAACGCAATATACGCGCGCTGATTATTTGCGCCACGGCCCGAGTTTCTCCAACGATGGCGGCGCCTATGGCGCAGGTGTGCATCGGGCTGGCTACTTCGGTACTCATGCAGCGCCTCTGTTCACACGAAGCATTTATTTACTTCTGTTTTTTCTCTTTCAGGCTCCAACTATTTTCCGTATCGGCCAGAGGTACAGTTGGCGTATCAACGCGATTGCAAATCGTATCCGGACTACTCTTACGACTACAATCACCGTCTGCCCAATTACTACGACTACAACTACGACCCACAGCAGCCGCATCAGCAATCAACGCCAAAGCATCAGCAGCAACAAGCTCAGCAGCACTACCAAACGCGTACACCGCCGCCACGCGTGCCCCAAATGGGCGTCAGCGCTGCTGGTCATCGGCGCACACCGTCAACGATCTCTAATAGCTCCAACATCAATCAGGGCTTCTCTTTCGATCGCGATGAGCTGCATGCGGCAGATTTATATGACTACAACAATCTCAATTTGCAGCTGAACATTAATATGGGCGCCGGCGGTGCGTCTGACTACGCGCACTATCGCGAGCTACCGCCACCGCCTCCCGCACCGATTGGCGTAGTGCCACCACCCAGCAAACATGAGCTGTATAAGAGCTCACCCAAGATGGCTCAGCGCTTGAAGCGCGGTGGTGCCGGCGGCAGCATGGGTGGTGCCGACACAGGTGGCGGCTTGAATCGTATACGCGACTATGAAAATATACCCGCCTACATTGGCAGCCCATTGCACCGGACAAAGTTTCACAACACTTTGGCGCAGCAACAGCATCTGCAACAATTGCAGCAACATCAGTCGCTCTTTAGTACACCGCAGCATAGTCTCTACACGCACACGCCACACGCGCAGTCAACGCCGCTGAGTCCAATACACATGAAACCGTTAAGCGCGCAAGAGCGCCCAGTCTCGCTGCCTTTCGAACAGACAACAGCAACATTAGGCTTCAACGGCAGCGCATCCAACAAACTACGTTCGTCGCTCAAGAAATACAACTATAAGACACCTAACGGCGGCGCTGTGGCTAATGCCGGTAACGGCGCTGATTTGGTGGGCGCCAACATGAGCAATGGTCTCAACGCAGTGGGTGGCAACGGTGTTGCCAAGCGCGCAGGCAGCATTTCTTCACAGCAGGGCACGCCCACTAATCCCACTCCGCCCGATTCGCTCACCAGCGATGACAGCTCGTATCTGAGTGCCAAAGAGGGCTCCATTTCCTCGCAGCACAGCCGCGTGCGTTTCAGCCCCGAAGCGTTTCTGGACGCCAGCAGCGGCAATGGCAGCATTAACAATAGCAACAGCAACAATGGCGGCAGCGGCAGCGCTAGCGGCTATCTCAATCAATCGACAATATCGCTTTTCAATCGACGCATATCGCGGCGCCACACCAGCGACATGTCCGCCGGCACTCCACCATCCTCCTAGCAGGGCAGCGCCGCACGTTTCACCAATACAACACTGCAGTTGGCGCGCAGTCCAGGCGCTTTAGTCAGCAGTTCATTGTCGTTGAATTCGCCACAGCAACAGCAGCTGTCCACGTCGTCGCAACACTCAATGCAGCAGCTGCCGTATCGCTGGTACTCGGGTGCACGTAGATCGCGTTCAGCGCACTACGAATATAGGTTGTAAGCAAGCAAGTGATGACAGGCAGTTTAAAGCTCAAAAATCATAATTGAAATTAAGAAAAAAGACGAAGCAAGCGGTGAGCAGGTGAATGCTTATAACTACAGTTATGTGTTGTATAAAGGCACGCTTGGTGTTCCCAATAATCTACTGTAACATTTTCGGTTTCCACTTTTACATAAATAATTAGCGGGTACAACCAAAGGAGATGTACATAGAACTTACAACTTAGCGACTACTTAGACAGGTATTATCTTTCAGACCGTTGTAGTATTCCAAATGTTGAAAACATTGAACAATATACATACATATATAACAAACACACTCCCGAATAGCTGTTAGCAGTGCAACATTTCCATTTCATAACTTAAAAACCACTCAAAATGAGTATTCAGCAATCGCTTTATTGATAAATTTTTAGATTAATCAATTTGTCGAACACAATAAGAGGCTTCAAAGCCCTAAACATACGAATATTTAGGGAATATGAAATTGTTTTACTAAACATATACTTAAGCAGAATATAACATGACTAAAACGAGTGCTGAATTACGAATAAGCGCGCTGAATTAACACACACCAGCATATTTTATACAGACTCGCATTTGTTTCAACAAAAAGCACACATTTAAAATTGCTGAATAGCTTTTAATGCAAGGGGAAAGCAATAGAAATGAAAAATCAGTATTTATTTGCTTTCACAGTTCGATAACCGCGTACGTTAAGGTATTTTACATTTTTTAATGCGAATATTTCGAGTATTCGGCATTATTTTTTTAACACTGAGCGCTGTGTTGGCACTAAGCGCGTTTAAAAAGCTGCATTACAGCATAATATGTATGTGCGACATAACTGCTAGCACTTTGTGCAAAATTTAGCTAACCATTACGACTGAGTGCGCTGAATGAAAACAAATTTCACGGCTGTGCACATTATAGCATATTCTGGATACTAGGATACAAATGCGCAATTCTAACAAGTAGCTGAATAGCGCTGAATAAACTTTACGTTCGTTTTAATAATGAATTATTGACTAACAAGCCAAGCCTAAGCATCGTACATACTATTTAATGCGCTGAATACATTTCAACATAGCTGAATAGCGTTTAACGGCGCTGAGCAGCTTTGGTTAGTTGGTTGATGCCAGCAAGCGGCAAAAGGTGCTTAAAAAAGGTGATTTAAAAAAAAAACACAAAACAAATGCGAATTGCTAATTACTCCAAACATGCCAATCATTCCCCTAAACACTTAATTGGTTTTGCCAAACATATGTACATACATACAAACATATTTAATAGCAAGGTTGCACTCTTAAAACGCTAAGTATTTGTATATACATGTAAACAATCATACACAATTCCTATTGCTGCTTTATTTGAGAAAAATTTTGAAAACAAAAAAGTTGCCGAAGCTTGCAATTTATGCAAAAATTGTCATTGAAGTTGCGCTGTCAACTGTTTATCGATACTGAAAACTCGATAAAAATGCAACATTTCTGCACAAAAACGGCAGCAGTCGCTTTTAGAAATGTGGAAAAATAATTTTTTCAAAATCGCCTGATGCTGTTTGCGCATTTTTAAAAAAAATTAAAACTAAAAATGAATAATTAATCAATGTGAAATTGTATGCAATTGATGCCTTAACAAAAAAATTATGGAAAAATTAAAAACTCAAGCAAAACAAAAACAAACAAAAAAACACGAAAATCATATAAAGTTTGTGTATTCGAAAAACAATCAGCGATTAAACGTTAAAACGAAAAACTCTCAAGTTGTATTAAACGAGAGCTATTTGCTTTTCAATTGGATATTTGGATTTACCATAATAAGAATTTGTAAGTTTCTTCTTCAACTCTATATACACACGGAGAGTTAGGTGCATAACTTTAAGGCTGATGTTATTTCATAAGTGTAGAGTATGTATGCATTACCGTTATACATGTGGTACATACGTATATAAATAATCGACAAGAAAAGTCAAGCGAAGCAGATTGTTTGTGTATGCATATTTAAAAAAAAATTTCAAAAAAAAATTATATAAAATTAGTACCGTCAACACGCGTTAGTTTGCACAATGCCACGCCTGGCAAAATAACTGCAAACAGAATGCAGATGTGCGCGTGCAAATAAAATTCCTTTTTTTATAAATAAAATTCATTTTCTGTAAAGCAGTTTCGAAAGACGCCGCTTGACTGTGCGTTGCAAAAACGGTTTTATATGTTTTACCAAGCAAGCTTTTTGCTGCGGAAACGCTTGCACAATTTGTCATAGCAAAAAAAATTACATATTTGTTGTACACCGAGCGCTTGCGCGTAAAAAGTTGGCGTTGTTAAAGACGACAGTTTACTGTAGACATACTTTGTGTAGCGCCTGTTTATTTTGCACAAATACATTTAAATTATGGCGATTTTTTTCGATAAAAATCAATAATAAACAAAACTAAACAGCAAGTTTAAAAAACGCTTGCTTATGAGTGCAGTTCCATTAGCACACGTGTTGAAATGCCAAGAATACTGCGCGCGCATAAAATTAGCACTGCTTGGGCATTAGCACATGGGTTTCATCGAGCAAAAAACGCCAGATTTTCTAAAAAAAAAAAATTTTCATATAAATAATGAAATATTTTATTCAAACTTTTTATTATTTTGAAGATACATATTTGATAAAGATTTTATGAAATTTTCAAAGCAAAATATTCAAAACTCGGTCATTACGTTGTCATTGCCGGCAGTCGCTCAGAAAAAAGTTGCTTCTGCGTTGACAGCAGAACTTCTGACAGGATCAGCAAAAGTAAAAAAAGAAAAATATACGTCTTTGAACTAAAACCATTAACTATTGCAGATTTTGGGATGATAAAAAACAAATAAAGTGACAATTGCATTTTTGGCAGACGTTTTTACAAAAACATGCAAATTTTGTTGAAAATTTCGCGTCGTTTTTTGTTTTCTTAATAGTTGTATGAACAAAAAACAAATTCTGCGTTCAAGACCTTGTAAATTATTACACGAAAACCTGTGTAAAACTTCATTTAGATTGGTTGCGTAGTTCGCGAAAAACTTTGACAACCGACTTTGAGTCTCGCAGTTACGAGAAAAACGCGGTGAAAGTTTGAAATGACTCTATAGCTGACCTCGAGCGCGCAACTTTTCAAGGCTGTGTCTCCAAAACTATTACTGGCATCAACTTGAGTATTTAGCACAATATTCTAGAGATGTTATAGAATTAAATAAGACCCAAAAAAAAATTTTTTTTTGAAGCCGTGAAACCCATGCAACCCTTTAATGGCATCTCTTCGTAAAATATTAAGAAATTGTCGTTGCGAGCCATTGCAAAAAAGTAACGAGCAAGTGTCAAATATGCGAAATCACGCAACGCGTTGGATGCGAAACGATTCTTTGCGTGCAACTTTATTTTAAGCCACTAAATTTATGCGCATGCGCGTAATATTTAAGGAGGTATTCTAGTTTAGAGACATGAATTTTAGTTAACTTTTAAAGTGTCGTAAAAAGGAGACAATCAATATTTTCACTATCAATTTTTTTATCAGTTATTTATTTACAGTTACAAGAGCATAGAAAAAAATTTAAAAAAAAGTTAAAAATTTAAAAAACTGGCAGCTGTTGAAGTGGCGGGTCTCAAAAAATTGGCACCTGAGCACACCCATGATTACAACCCTGCTAGTTAACTGAAATGAAAAACAAAAGATTATCAATCTGCAATGCTGTCGCAATTGTATGAACTAACGTTAAGTAAAAAAAAAAAACTTTTTGACAAAATGGCGACTGTTGGAAAAAAAGCAATGTTTTTTTACAATTTTTTTTATTTTCTCTTATTTTTTAAAAACAGTAAAATATTGAAATTTGCGAGTGAGGTCTATAAAGTAGATACTCTGAAATTTTCAAGTAAATCGGTCTAGTAGAACTCGAGAAAGCGTGGGTTGCGTATTGAAAAAGTTGGTCAGCCGTACCAGTTTGGAGGCCGTGTCAGCAAAATGTCTATATCTGCGAAAATAATTTAAACTTTCAAAAATACTCTTAAATAGTTACACTTCGAAAATGTGAATCGATTTTTTTGAAATGCTACACTAGAATACCGCCTTAAACGCTACGCGCGCGTTAATTTCACATAATAATCATAACTCACATAAATATCATAATTGCACATATTGATTTTTTCGCAAGTTAGCATTTTCTACAAAAACATTCTGTCGCTGGAAACAAACGCTAGCATTTTTTTTTTTTCAAAAATACGTTTCCTCACGCAGTTACCGTTAATTTTCTTACGTAAAACTTTCACTTACAGTCAGCCTTAGTATGTATTAATTAATATTAGTTTTGAATATGCCTATATGCTTTACATACATATACTCGTGTGTATTTATGTACATATATACTGTATTTATGTAATTATATACTTTGCCAAAAACAACAAAATTTTTAAGAAATAAGTAGTTACTTTATAAATAGCGCTTCTTCTGCTTAGTCAAATTGTTAAATGAACAACAATTACATATACATATATATATATACACATACAAACAAACATATACTACATATTAAGTATTAATTGCGTTTCATTTAATCCAAACTATATATGGTAGTACATATACAAACAAACAAACAAATAAACAAACGTGTAACACAAATATACATAGCTAATTAAAACGTTAAAATTATAACGAAATTCATAACGTTGCAAGCTTATAACCTCAATTTAATGCAAACAAAAAGCATTGCGAAAACCACTTTCAAAGCATTCCAAATAACAGTTAACTACAATTGAGCTGGAACAAATATGAAACACAGCATTTTCATAGAAAAAAATATAACGGTACTTTCTAGCGCGCCCACGGTATGTTAAATGTATGTAAAACCGTTATATATTACGGTATATCTGTAAACGTTAAATTGATAAATTGTTCTAGTCCAAACTTTTTTTTGTCATACTGTTGTTGCAATATGAAAATATTCTGTTCTATTTTACTTGTTTACATTTTTTTACAATTGTTTTTTGATTTCTTTGCAATTTTTACAGTTAAGTTGTAAGCGCTTTTAGCCACTAACCTTTTAGTAATTTAGTATACAAATCCGCGACTAAAAATTTGGTATTTTTCACATTTAGTTGTAGCTCCTTTTCCAAATGGTATAGCATTACGTAAATTCGAATAAATTATTTTTATAAAAAAGGCGTGTTTCTTGAAATTGATTTTAATGTGCGCTAGGAGTACTACTTAGAGGTGGAAAGAGCAACGCATTTCCCTACAAGTGATATTTGGTGGGTATTTACACACCCATTACACCTATGCATAATGAGTAGTGGGCGTGATTGTCAGCTCAAGCATGCAATCTAAGCGTTTATTGGCACCGCACCGAGCACTAAACATCAAGCACTCCCACCATATACTGATATTTGAAGTAAAAACATTGCGACCAATTATAATCAACCGACCAAAAATACTTGTAGCTCGAGCCTAGCTAAAAACTATACAGGTTGGTTGAAAAGTAGTTTGGTCTCACCAAGAAATCGCGCAGCTGCAATTTTTTTTTCGCAAGTTGGTACATCTATCGTGAGCACGCATGTAAAGTGACAAGTCAATCTGTCAATTAATTCTTTGTTTACAAGCCATTTGAAGTTGAAATGTCAACGTATTTTTTTAATATGAAAAAAATTTAATAACGCGCAGTGATTAGATTCTTTGTATTGAAAGTTTTAAAAGCAAAGGAAAATGTGTGAACAATTGTCAGCTTCAAAGCAGGTGAAGTCACAACGATCAGCAGCGAAGGTTATGGCAACAGTTTTTTGTGATGCAAACGGAATTTTGTTGCTTGATTAGCTGCAGAAAGGTAAAGCAAACAACTCTGAATCCTATAGCAACCTTTGAGATCAGCTGGTTGACAAAACTCGTGAGAAAAGACCTGGTTTGCAGCACAAAAAAATACTGAAAAAACCTGCTCACAAAATAGTTTTAACAAAGACAAAATTCAACGAATTAAAGTACGAATCACATGAGCATCCACCGTATTCAACAGATTTGGCGACGAGCGACTACCACCGCTACAGAAACCTGCCACAATTTCTTCGTGGAAAGCGTTTTTCGTCGAATAAAGAAGCTGTTACAGCCGTAGACGGGTATTTTGCAGCGCTTGCGGAAAGTCATTAAAGGGATGGCATAAAATTAATGGAGGAACATTGCAATAAGTGTATTGAAAACAGTATTTTTTCATTTCGAGTGCAGAAACTTTGCAACCAACCTGTATGTGAAATGCTCATAGCTGCCAGCTCCAGTTCAACTTTTAATCTCTACGCTTCGCACTTGTAGGACTAATGGCTAAACAGCTACTAACTAGCGCTTTGACATAATAAATATTATTAGACTAATTGAAATTTAAAAAATCCCGTACATCTGTCATTTTTACACAGCTAATTCATTAATCATAGCATAATCTATACAAGTCGGTTCCGCTGGGCTGGATCGCCGTTTCGCCCATAATTTCAACAGAACCGAAAATACGTATAAAGCTTAACCAGCTAATTCGCACGATGAGAAGACAGTGTAAAGGAAAAGTCATTAAAAAATCATGCAGTACGACTTCGCCCCTTTTGACTCTTCCAACTGACGGCAGTTTATGACACATATCATAGGTCGCCACCACTTCACAAGTGATGCATATGTTTTAACAGCACTGCGGCGGCGGAAGACAACTGAGATTCGCTGCAATATGCGCAAGTTACCGCGACGAAGCACTGCTGATATGGCTAAAGTCGGACTTGCATTAGCACTGCACAATGAAAACGCAACTCCGCGGGATACTAACAGCAAAAGAAAGCTTAAAGCCAGAAGTTCAGCGAAAGTTTTAAGTGAACTTAGTGAGGCGGAAGCTGGTAAGTGTAGACGTGACGTGGTAGATTCTTTAAATCACGTTAAAACACGAGTTTGTATTTGCAGCTGAACATCATGTAAGTAGCCAAGATACGACGAAGTATCTCTTCAAAACTGCTTGCGCAATGGGCATAGTCATGCCTTCACGCTATCGGCCACTGTACGTCATTTATGGGTTTTTGGTCCACTTCTTTTCCACCTTCTATTTTCCCATTGGATTTACCATGATATTGTTCACCTTGCCAGACGATGTAAACGTTGGCAATCTGCTCACTTCGCTGCAGGTCACATTCGACGTATATGGCGGTTCGGCAAAAATTATCGTCATGATATTTGTATTGGAAAAACTGCGTGCCACACATGTACTCACGCAGCGACTTGACAAGCGTTGCCGTGCGTCGGATGAGATCGCCGAGTTGCAGCAAATGGTGCGCTTCGGTAAAAAGGTTGTTATATTTTACTTGACCATCTTTTTTTGCTACTCGGCCAGCACATTTTTGTCCTCGTTTTCTTCGGGTTATCCACCGTATTCGTTGTATTTTCCCTTTCTCAAATGGCGACGCTCGCACACGGAATTCATAATTGCTTCCTTTTTTGAATTCTTAATAATGGACTTCGCCTGCCTGCAGCAAACTGTAAACGATGGCTATCCCATTATCTACATTAATATGTTGCGTTGTCACATGAAAATTTTACAGTTTCGCGTGGAGAAACTGGGTACTAATCCAACGCTAACGAAGGCAGAACAGCTCACTGAGCTGAAGTTGTGCATCAAGGACCATCAATTGTTGATTGAGTAAGTTTGGCAGCGTACAGGCTATTCGTTTAAATAGAACCAACTTATTCGATTAAATTTTGTTTATGTGCTAGGCTCTACGACACTATAGCGCCTATCATCTCGGTAACGCTTTTCATACAATTCGCGATCTCGGCGGTGTGTATCGGTACAGGACTGATCAACATTGTCATCTTTGCGAATAAGTTCCAAACACAAGTGGCTTGCTTCTTCTTCATACTGGCAGTGCTGATAGAGATTTACCCAGCTTGTTACTTCTCACAGTGCCTGATCAATGAGAGTGACAAATTGGCGAACGTGATTTTCCACTCGAATTGGATAGAACAAAGCAGCGAGTATCGCAAACTATTGATTTTCTTCTTGCAACGCTCGCAACGTCCCATGTTTCTGACCGCTGGAAAATTGTTTCCAGTCACGCTAAGCAGTTTTGTCAGTGTGAGAGCTTACGCTGATAAGCAAATCAACTTTGAGACATCTTCTATACCGTCTTATCTATGTTATTCTGTCTGATTTCAGATTGCCAAATTCTCTTTCTCACTTTACACCTTTATCGAAAAAATGAATTTGAAGGAACGTTTCGGAATCGAGTGAGTATAGCAAACAGTAAGTCTAACAACTTTTGAAAACACGTCGGGCTGGCGCCTTCAGCACAACACTGGCACATCTGTCTGAGACCATAAAAGATTACTACTCCCGCACCGACATATGGATACCACGCAGCCTTATCGCTTCATTTGAATTAACTGGATCTATTTGTTAACTAACTATATCACAAGCTCAAATAAATCTTAGTGCACAAAGAATTTTGCTAAGTTAAACACTTTGGCGCGCTTTTGTCGTGTAAAAATTATTAGACGGTGTAAAATATATAAGTTTCAGAGTAATCGCATGCAATCAGCTAAAAAAAAAGAGATTCCCACAAGCGGTCATTACACTTTATGACCCATCCTCGTACCAAGATCAAGAACCTCCTCTGATGAAATAATAATTGTGGGCGTTCGCGTCATAGTTTTTACGGCAACATGCGCCTCCTTATGTCACTCGCTCAGTGTATATTGACAACCGCAAATCAACGCAATTATTTATGCATTTAGTTACAAATCAAGTGATTGAGAATAAATAATTAGCTACAGGGTGCTCTAAGCGTTAGCGTTGGTAATGTAATTCCGTCGAAAACTGCTTAAAAAAACTGCCGAAAGTAAAACTTTTAATAGCAAACTAATGACTCAATTAGCGAAGACCAGCTCTCGCAGGCGGTACTTAAGTTACGTAACGGTAATTGTCGCGGTTTGGCCGGAACAGTCCGAATTCCGAGTTAAGTCGTCCCAGCCGTCCCGGGCTTAGAAATTAAAAAATAAAGAATGAATTAAATAAAGTTGTGTAGCTCTCTCAGCTATTATATGTCGCGATTCCGGATTTTGTCGCGACAAATAGGGTCACCTAAGTTTAAATGTTTTAATTAAAGTATTAATTAAAAATAATGACAATAATTCCACTTCTGAAATGTGCAAATGTAAGTTTTCACTCAATCCATAATGAAAATGTTAGAAGTTTGATTTATTAATAAATAAAAATGTATTCGATAAAGTTTATCGTCTGCGCATTGTGACAAAATTTAATTTTTAATTAGATATTCAAAGTGCTAAAAGCTAGACGCAGCTACACTGAAAAAATAACGCAGTTAAAAGGCATTTGCTTAAAAACCAGCAAAACTCTTTGCTTGTAGAATTACGTGAGTTAAAATATATAGCTTTTAAGCCTCAGCCGCGCTGTATGAAAGTTGTGGAATGAGCTTGAAATCGCAAGCTGCGACATGTTACATGGGTTTCGTCCAGCAAAAAACGCCCCATTTTCAATATTTTTTTCATATAAAAAATGAAATATTTTATTCAAACTTTTTATTATTTCGAAGATACAAATTTAATAAAGTTTTTGTGAAATGTTCAAAGCAAAATATTCAAAGCTCGGATATTACGACGTTATAAGGATATCTCGAAGATCTGTGTAAAATTTCATTCAGAAGGGTTGAATGGATCGCTAGATATCTTGACAACCGACTGTAAGAACATAGTCACGAGAAAAATTAGTAGAAAGTTTTGAGTGACTATAAAGCTGAACTCGAGCGCTCAGCGTTTCAAAGCTGCATCTCCAAAACTATTACTGGTATCAACTTGAGAATTTAACACAATATTCCAGAGTTGTTATAGAATTAAATAAGTCAATAAATTTTTTGTTTTGTCTTTTGAAGCCGTGAAACCCATGTAACACCTTAAGAGCTAGTTCTTTTCGACAGAACTACCTGCTTCATCACTTTGTCTGAAGCACATAGCGAATGACAGCAAAAAAAACCTAAGGTTATGAAAATTTTAATACGAATGAGCGGGCACAAATGTAGCTTGATTCGGAAACGAAGCCGACTGTGTCAAATCTCCGCATGGCTAAGCAATGCATAAGCCGTATCTTTTCTTATATCAGTCAAAAATTTTCAAATATTTCTCATTGTGCATTCAGCGCTCAACAACCGTCTACCGTGCTCCATACTCACAAACCGTTTGCACGCACTTGAAAACTTTTGAAGTTGCTATTAATTTACACTGCAAGAGCTTGCAAAAGTAACGACGTGCATTTGCTATAAATAGTTTACATTCCAAGGTCCATTTATGCTTTTAAATTTCAGAATTCGCCAAAATTATGACCGACACAACATCCAGTACCGTGCAGCAGGTAGCAGACATTGCAGTGCTACGTCGAACAGGCAAGTAATAACAGAACGCACTTCTATGCAGCTTTTTAACTAGCATTTATTGCGTGAATCTTCAGCAGAAGCGACGGTTGAGCCAGCAGTGCGCACTGTACAGGCCACCAAATATCTTTTCAAAGGATTTCGCGTGCTGGGCATTTACATGCCTGAGCGCCGCAAATGGCTTTACGCGCTTTACTCACTCATACCGAATATGCTGGTCACCATTTGGCTGCCGCTATCGTTCGTCTTCAGTTATGCAACCATGTCCACGGCAGATCTGGTGCCGAGCAGCTTGCTCACCTCCATTCAAGTGGCCATAAACGTGATTGGTTGTTCGGTGAAAATAGTGGTCATGGCTTTTCTGCTGCCAAAATTGCGCACCGCAAACGTTTATATGGAACGTTTGGATGCGCGCTGTCGCGTTGAAGAAGAAATCGCTGAGCTGCGAAAAATTGTACAGCAGGGTAATCGTTTCGTCGTACTCTTCGCCATATCCTACTGGAGTTATGCGTCGAGCACATTTCTCGGCTCGGTGATTTTCGGACGACCGCCTTATGCATTGTACAATCCCATTATTGACTGGCGCAAGTCAAAGCTGGAGTTCATAGCAGCATCTCTCATGGAATTCGCGCTTATGGATGTCGCCTGCTTCCAACAGGTGGTGGACGACTCTTATGCCGTCATTTATGTGTGCATACTGCGTACGCACATGCATATTTTATTGATGCGCCTCAAGAGGTTGGCCACCGGTGATGAAACGAATTTAAAGGCGAATTTAGAAGAGCTGAAGCTTTGTATCATTGATCATAAGAACCTGCTAGGGTGAGTTTATAGGCGCATTAATGTCGGCATTATACATGCGTATGCTTCGTTACAGGCTCTACGACGTTGTGGCTCCCATAATTTCCGTTACAATCTTCATACAATTCATGATCACCGCTAGCATACTGAGCGCCACGCTCATCAACATCTTCATATTCGCCGATCAGCTGTCGGCACAGATCGCATGCTGTTTCTACATACTGGCTGTCGTTGTTGAGATATTTCCGCTATGCTACTATGCGCAGTGTCTCATGGACGACAGCGAACGCTTGTCGCAGCAGATATTTCACGCCAATTGGATCGCACAGGATGCGCGCTTTAGGAAACTGCTGGTTTTCTTCATGCAGCGCACGCAACGTGTTCTGGAACTCAATGCGGGCAAAATATTCCCCATAACGCTGGGCAGCTTTCTCAATGTGAGTTCATTATTAAACAAAAAACCTAATTCTGTAATTGTTTAAGTATTCAAAGCAGATCGCAAAATTCTCGTTCTCATTGTACACGCTGATCAAGAAAATGGGTATCAGAGAGCGCTTGGGACTGGAGTAGCGTCGTGCAAAGTAGGAAGTATGTGTCATTTCAAATACAATGAATGAAAACACTGTTATTTAGCTAATTTTATTTTTGAGAAAATGGCGCCTTCCCAAACAAAAATATTCATTTTTTGTGAGAAAATTTACAATTTAAAGTGGCTTAAAAATCGAATCTATTGTCTTATTCCTTTGATCATTACCTGAAAAACATATTTAAGAATGTCGTATGAAAATTTCAAGCCGATCGATTCAGCCGTTTTAGAAAAAATTTTCTCACCGACTCTGAAAACAGCGTTTCGAGAAAAACGCGTTTAAAGTTTTGGGAACCGATTACAATGAGTTAAAAAAATCTTACAAATACGTTCATAACTCCAAAACTATTTTTTAAAGATAATAAGAATTTGTAGATATGGCTAGTTTCGGACATAGACAAGTCTATAAAGAAAATTCTCTAAAACTTTCAGGTAAATCTGTCCAGTAGTAGCTGACAAATCGTGGATATCGTTTTGAAAAAGACACTTTCTTCACACTTGCACTTTTATTAAAAAACCGGAAACACTAAATTTCAGGCGTTAAGCTTAGGTTAGGTTAGGTTAGGTTAGGAGGTCGATCCCAGAAGGGATACCACTTGGACAGCTTAAGACGCCAGTCCGTTGTGATACCTACGACTCCTATAGTCCGGACCAAAGGACCCTTACAAGTCGACAAGACGTCTTGTGCTGACTACAAACTTGTTAAGACGGCCAATATCCATTACGGATAGGTATTCAGGACCGCCAAACGTGTGATTGCCGAGATATTTCAATCGCAGCCTAGCGAATGCCGGACATTGGAGGAGAAAGTGCTGGGATGATTCCACCTCGCCCTCCTCCATACAACTTTGGCAACTGGCATCGGGTAGTACACCAAGCCGTACCGCATGAGTGCCCATTGGACAGTGTCCAGTGAGAACTCCTACAATAGCGGCTAGATGCACTTTGCTCAGGGCGAGAAGTTCCCCCGACCTCCTGCGATCCACTCTTGGCCAGAAGGATCTCGCGGTCGCACAGGACCTAGTCGTCGACCAACGTCTGCTGACACGCACGCGAGGTCCATTGATCCAAAGTTAGAGCGCAGGACGCTAACGGAGATCCTACCCGATCCCATTCCGATGTGAGCGGGGCAAAGGTGCCCCCCTGGCTAGCTCATCGGCTTTGCAGTTTCCAGCGATTCCGCTGTGACCAGGCACCCAAACGAGCCTGATGTTGAAATAGCCAGACGCTACCTCTAAAGAGGACAGACACTCCTTGACTAGCTTTGATTGCACGGTACGCGCGCTCAAAGCTAGTATTGCTGCCCTACTATCAGAGTGAATGCTCACTTCTACAAACGAGGCTGCACTACGCAGCAGTACTTCTACCGCCGCCTTAATAGCAGCCACTTCCGCCTGAAAAACACTACAGTCGTTAAGCTTACACTCGTAAATATTATACAAGAAATACTCGATAAGTTAAACGCGCACTTAACCGCCACTACACGAATGAACTATGAAAGAAAAGATTTTACTTTTTAAAAAATATTTTCAAATTATAGTTATGATGTTACAGTAATAACTCTCAACAGTTTAAGTTAAAGTGGTCGATCGTTTTCGTATTGTTGTTTGAAATGAAAGGAAAAAATTTAATATTGCGCACTGATTAGATTCTTTGTTTTGAAAGTTTTAAAAGCAAAGGATAATGTATGAACAAGTGTCGGCTTCAAAGCAGGACACAAAGTCACAACGATCAGCAACGAAGGTTATGGCAACAGTTTTTTGTGATGCAAATGGAATTTTGTTGCCTGATTAGCTGCAGAAAGGTAAAACAAACAACTCTGAATATTATAGCAACCTTTGAGAGCAGCTGGTTGACAAAACTCGTGAGAAAAGACCTGGTTTGCAGCACAAAAAAATTCTGAAAAAACCTGCTCACAAAGCTGTTTTAACAATGACAAAATTCAACGAATTAAAGTACGAATTGCTTGAGCATCCACCATATTCAACAGATCTGGCGCCGAGCGACTACTACCGCTTCAGAAACCTGAAACAATTTCTTCGTGGAAAGCGTTTATCGTCGAATGAAGAAGCTGTTAGTGTATTGAAGTTAAGGGAGATTATATTGCATTAAAAAATATATTGCGTACCAAAAACAGTATTTTTTCATTTCGAGCGCAGACACTTTGCAACCAACCTGTAATGAACAATAAGGTAAATAAAAATGTGGGGTTTGGAGAAGTATAAAAAATATACGAGAACTAGCGGTTTATAAAAACTGCAGAATATAAATGTTATATAATTTGTATTGGTAGATAGTTACGCTGTATATATGTTTTTAACTTTAGTTTCGCAAATTAAAGACGTATTTTTTTCATTTTTAATTGTACTTATTATTTAATAATTATGCTTAAGAATTACAGTTTTCAAATTATGAATCTATTCTTACAAATATGTGCAAATTTTGTCAAGTATATGGTTTACGTTTTAAAACGCATTGTGCTTCGCAACAAAACAACAAAAATTAAATAAAATAAAGTTTCACTTTCGACGGTTTCTGGTTTGAAAAACGGTGTTTGATATTTCTTAGACTGATGCAATACTTTGTTAGTACTTTTATTTTGAACACTAGCTTAATTGTATTTCTGCATCGGTCGCAAATTATATTCTAAAAAACCTGTTTACTATACATGCAGTCGTCAACGCTGCGTAACACTATTTTCTAAATGCTAAGCTCAACACTGGAATATTGCTTGGATAAAGCGCTTGCAATTTATTTGAACGTTTTCGTGCAATTCAGCTTCAAAGTGCGTGGAACCGGACAAGCTGTTATTGTAACGGTATCATGCACACATACATATATATGTATACGCATAATAAACGGATATTCGAGTGTTTTAGTCTTGCCAGTTCTATTTTTTATCCTACTTAACAACGTATTCTTATTTTTTGTATTTTTTATTATTGTAGCTTTTATGTACGATACGTGTGTATTTTTTTTTATAAAAATTCAATTGATTTGGTTTCTGCTTACTTTAACATGCTTATAACTACCTAATTAGTAACTTATAAATTTTTTCAAAATAAATAAACATGATTTCCAATCAAAACATAATTTTACAAATATTATACTAAGGAATTTGTGCAGCTTGTCTATCAATTATAGAAATTCGAATGCAAAATCAACGTCGCCAAAGCCAAAGTCGCCTTAACTTTGGTCACATATCGAAAATTTTATATAAAAATATATACATATGTATACTTGCATGTGTGTATAGTTATTGACTAAAATCTAGCATCTAGCAGAATATTATTGCACAGCACTAAAACATTTATGCTAACATAAAAAACAAAAAAAATATTTAGTAAAAAATAAATTACATACACTGACCCCAAAGAAAAACATAAATTTGATTTATACGCGTTTTCTCGTTACACTTACGCTCACAGCCGCCCCTGCTGCACCTGCTCATAGAGCGGCAGCTTGACGGTTTCCACCTTGTCGACCACCTTGAACGAGGGAAATAGTCCCGCTTGTTTTGTGCGCGTATTCTGACCCTTGGAATAGCCGTCCCAGTGATTGCCGGCCACGCCCACCAGGTCGCCTGGTTTCATATGGATCTCAAATTGATTGCGCGCTGCATGACCGATCACCACTTGCCGATTGTGCGAATTCTGCCCGCCATAGTAGTAGATATCGTCCAGCGATTTGAAACGGTGCGCCGCATCCGGATACAGTGTCTGCATAATTTCGTAGGCCATGCGGCATACTTGCGAGCTAAATGTGCAGACGAGATAATCGGAGAGCGATAGCAGATGTATGTCGAGTATGATGCCGTTGAGCGCGGTGTCGGTGTAGCGCGTGGAGACGGCGGCCATACGCGCCACGTCGGGATCGCCGATGATCTCGTATTGCGGATATTTTTTGCGCGCCTCCTCGATGACACGCGCATCATCGGAAGCAAGGAAAATGCGGCGCGGCACTACGGTACCATTAATTTCCAAAGTGAGAAAGTAGTCCTCAACATGCGTCATATACTCCTCTATGCGATGGAAGGCGGCTTCGGTGCCTACTTTGTCCGTGCGACGAACATGAACGCTGCACAAGAGTTTTATTATAAATGCAGGACAATAAAATATAAGGCATATATAGACGTACCCCACAATAGGCTTCTTGAAACCCAATTTCGCACGACCCGACTCTAGGAACTCCAATGTGCCCTTTTGCGGACGCAGCAAATACTTCAAGAACTGTCCTATCCACCAGACAATCGGATCGCCATGCAAGCGTCTGAGCCGCGGTGCCAGGTCCTCAGGTATGGCCAACGGCAGAAACGGTGGACGCGGCATGAGCGAATCAATGATGGGTAGTACCAGCACAGGCATATCATGACGTCCTGGCCAATTACTCGCATGCGCAGCATCTGCGTCCAAGCAGGTCTCCGATACCGGCAGGAAAACCTCTTCCCAACCACCCTTGTGGTAACGCCAGCCGCGCGACTTCAATATCATGGTGCGCTCCGTCGCATAGGCAACAATGAAACAGTAAACAACATGATGCAGCTGACAGCCATAACCACAGCCCTGCACAAATAGAACATTTCAGCTGACAAGCACAGAGCAGTGTTACAACGCGCAGCTCTTACCTTGTTGAGTTTGCATACCAGCTTGCGCGCATTCGCACAGTCTTTCGGATTCTGCAAGTAGTGTAGACGCCGCTGCATCAAATCACTCAAATCGCGCGCCTCCTGGTGGCGCCATGCCTCATAACCATCCACTTGCCGCAATCGATCTAGGTCACTCAGCAACGAGCGCTTATGCTCGGCGCCTAGCTGCAACACCTCATTGATGTCCTGCGTCAGTTCGGCCTGCGTTGGCGCGGCGCGCTTGCGCAACTTGCCCAATTCACTGCTAAAATAGTTCCAAATTTCGCCGACATTCGATTCGATGCGTCGACGCAGCAGCTCATATTCTAAGCTGGGCTCGTGAACGACGTCTGCCGCACTCTGTGCGATTGCATTGGGTACCGGCATTCTGCCGAAAGTGTCCGCACCGCTATCACCATCACCGGCGCCCATAAAATCTGCTAATGCATCCTGATTTTGTACGTTTATGGAATTTTGTAAATTAAATTCGAGCTTTTCGATTAGACGCTGTGCCGATTGCTTATCGATCTGGTCGCTGTGCAGTGAGTAAAAATAAAAGTAGAAGCGCTTAACGTTAATGTATTAATCTTAGTGCATTTGGCATGGCGCAAGCAAACATGGGCATTTCAGCTGAGTTTGGGCATTTATATACAAAGGTAACACGGTTGCATTGCAGCTCAATTAGCTGAGCATTCAAAACGTTTGGAAATTGCTGTACATCTACACGCGCAATTACCGTTACGCAGCACTGCATTAATCAGCGCGCACTTTACATGGCGCAAGCACACTTTGAACGCATGTAATCTCTCGCACACAACCGGCGCACAATTGCGAAGACCGCTTACGCCGCCATAATGACAACCGCGCCATCATAAGCGCGGCATAGGGCGCACAACGCTTGGTATTGTGCTATTCAAACGGAAGCGCAAGCAATCGTGTGCGACACGCAGCTGAGGAGGAAGCCGGAGCGTACTTAATCCGCAAACAATTGGCGCGTGTGCAGCTGGAGTGCAAGAATGGCAATGCATTGAATTTGTTTGTTGTGTATCACAACAATTCAGCACTGTTCACATGACGACTTATGCGGTCTGCGTAAGCTGTTGCTGCTAGGGCTTTAATAAATCTATAAAAGCGCGTATTAAGAAAAGCTGTAAGACTTTGGGGTTCTTAAAGCGTGCCCAATTAATTAGCATTCGGCACTTTGATCCTGCGTGTCAGCTCTGAAGCAAGCTAGCTTAGACGAGCTATGCAGAAGGTGCATGGTATGGCTGATAGCTGAATCAAGACTTGTGCACAGCGGTTTCTGGGGTGGTCTAAAACGTACTACACACAGCTCACATACGCCATTAATGCTTATCGCTGCAGCTTACACTATTTTACTCACCTCGAAAGCTTCTCAATCATCTGACGCAGCTCCTCATTGCGTTGCTTTGAGTATTCGAGCAGCTGCAAAGCCTGATTGATGCGTTTCGCCGTTATCGTATCTATGTCCGCATTCGGCTGCGTATTGAGTTTATTGACAAAGACGTAAACGAGCAGCGCCCAGGTGAGTACGAAGATGACGAGCGCACGTATCCATGAATTTGATGTGGAGCCGAAAAATTGTCGCAACAAGGACATTTGGTTGAAATTTTGTATGAATAATTTTTTGTTTGAAGGAAAACGTCTGTTGTTGTTACTGTGATTTAGAGTTTGATGTCAGCTAGAAAATTTTTATCGCACATATGTATGTAGATGATATGTACGTTTCTCAATTGAAATTGGAGGTGTCGGAAAAGATTGGGCGCCGCTCTAACAATAACTGCTCCATTCGTCGCTGTGGTTCCTCAGTTCCATGGAGAGGTAGTCGATGTATTGAACTAATTATTAGCGAAATAAAGATTGTATATCAATAAGCATATGGGTGCGTTCGAGCTACGTAATAATTGCAGCAGTATAGCTACTGTGTTGCATATTTGCTGATACTCTGCTGATAAGCATTCAAAAATTTAGTGTTGCCAGTGACAGTCGATCGTGATGCTGTTGCAAGTGTTGCCGAAAATTAACAAAATTCACACAGAAAGTGATACTTTGGCAAATTTGCAACACTGCTGTCGTGATTGCCAGCTCGAAAGCACCCTATATCATAACGTCGAAATTGTGTTTGAACGGCGTGTAATGTTATTAGTTAAGCTCTTACTATAAAGGTCTACAAAAGATAAATGGCACGCTTGCTGACTGAGTTAATGAGTTCAATCTTTAGAAGTATATACAGAAATCGAATACTTTTTTAATGTATTGTATTTCGAAACCGAATACATATATTTAGGAGCGTTTAATCACAGCCTAGAAGTAGCACTGGAGACTAAAGAAGACTTCTTTCCACATCTTACACAGTTCACGGAGACATACTGGGAAAAATCTTGAGACACTGCGCACAAAAAAAAAGTTAGATGAGCAGATCACACCAGAGATGTGAAGTGGTGGTTAGTGTTATATGAGGACTCTTTGCATGCAGCACATATTATATGTTCGAAATGTCAGAGCCTGATCTGTATGCGAAGGAATTTGGTTTGCTACAATATCCAGAATGAACTTGCGTAAGGGTCAAGCTGGTTACGCGAGTCAACTCACTTTTTACGCTATGGATAGGTGTTTGACTACAAGGGCGCCACTCGCCGGGATGCAGGCGTTTAAGCTGTTATTGGCTCCACTATGTATGGAGTTGAGTGCCTAACGGAAAACGGTCGCAAATGAAGTGCTGTCGATTAAATGCTTTACTTCGCCAGGTGTTGCGGGAAGGACCTGCTTGATGTGCCTACGAGGCGCTGCCACTTCCGGCGATTTAATACTGTTTGTAACGATATATTTTGCTTTGTTATGCACCGGTTAACGTTAACAGCAAATTAGTTGTACTTTCGATTATGCTGTTATCAGCGAGTGTAGGACAAGTTACGCATTAATTTAATGAAACTGCGTAGTGTTGTGCTAATGAAATTGGTGTTGCCGTACACTTAGGAGCTTTTAGGTTAATTACTTATCACTCGCAGCGTTGGCAACAAATATTAGGGAAAATTTTTTTGCAACCACAGAATTTCTTTTTTAACATGTACACGAGCTACATGCATATGCTATAAATATGTTTGTATGTATGTATAAATGTCACAATAGCGTGGGGCGCACATACTGCTTTAGTCACACTTTACCGCAATTTATGAAGTATTACAATCACAAACCAAAATAGCACGCCTAGCGCCACAACTGACCGCACTCATTACTCCACCTTGTGCTATATGTATGTATGTATGTACATATACATATATGTATGTGCATTTACACATAGCACTGATAGTAGAAAGAACTTAAAACAGCAGACGAGCGTGCCAACACATTTCTTCATACACACATACATACACGCTTTGCTAACACTAATTGCTTTTCATTTCTTCTCATTTTTGTCATTTATTTGATCTGCTAATTCCACGCCAGCAAATCAACTGTAACACGTCAGTAATTAACTTGATAAGACAGCGACACACTACTAATGACTTTAAATTATTTTTTATATAATTTTAACTCTTTTTTTTGGTTAATGTACGCCCCAACAATTACTGCCATAATCAAATTTTTATCTTAAGCATACCAGATTTTTGCTGAAACTGCACACAATGAATTTATTTATTGATGCCACGCATCATTTAACTAGTGAGCGAGTGAGATTCTCCTAGATATAGTATTTCCAATAAAACAAAATTGTAAATAAAATAAAAACACGCAGCTGGCGCTCAAAGCAAAATCACTCAAAAATGTACGGAGCGCGTGTGAGCGCCGAGTGCTTGTTATTTATATTTTGTTATTGTGTGCGCTGCTTGACTGCCGCTGGTGGAGCAGAGAACTTAGAACAACTCTTCTTCTAAGTTCTCTGTGTGAAGTGCGGGCATATGTGATGGCTTTGTGTAGCGCACGGGTGGGCGGGCGGTTGGATGTGCGCCGACCGCTGTCCGCGAAACGCGGCAGTAGCTGAGCGCTGAGGTAGCGGTGGGAGCGCAAAGTAAATTTCTTTGCACAAAGCACCAATGCAAAGCAAAGCAAAATTTCGATTTTCTCTCGCTTTCGTTTTTTTTTTTTTGTTTTTTTTTTCTTTCTTTTTTACAACTACTAAAACGCTGACACAAAATATTTTCCAATTTCATTTGTTTAAATTTCAGCTCTTCTATGCCCTAACAATGATTCACTGCAATTAACACCATGCGCGATTTGCTTGTGAAGTGTGTTGCTTACATTGATTTCCAGTTTAATTTGCGTATTGCTTATATGAATGCTTCTGTTGTAAAAACTTTGCTGCAGCAACAAATTTGTATAGCAGAAGTCAATAAATATTCCCACTACGGCAGACGAGTTGCGCACTCATTGAAGACACATTCTCACTTGAGCGACCCGCTTTATCCACTGAATGGCTGCTCGGCGCACTAGCATGCATTTAGTGGCTGGACGAGCGACATTTGCCTTTACTAACTCGATTTCACTCAATCTACGAGTTGCCAAGCGCCAGCACTAACAAATTTACGTAAAACTGCCGGTTTGTTGGGCATTTTTTGGGTATAACCCAAGGTGACCGCATACTTTTTTTGGTAAGATGTGGATTAATAAGAGATTTCTGCGAATATTTCTTATGTACATATATGGAGCCAACCTGGTTGTTGCTGTTTTTGTAGCGAGTATGCATACGCTGTTTAAGTGGTTGGGCCCAAGTAAATTGTCATATCGGGCTCTATTCCGGAAGTTGTGCAAGGGTCACGTTAGATTCAGCCGGTTCTACCTTAATGAGAGCCGGATTTTATATGGTTTTTTCGACGATCTAACGCGGTTTGGATCGGTAAGTAGTAGCAGTGCGCCAGTCTGGTAGTTTCCATGGGCCCTGAAGCCCAGCTCTAATACATATCTTGTGAAATGTTAGGTTAGGTTAGCTAGTGCATAACTTCTTTCCGTATTCTAGATGGCTAGATACAACCATACGACTAACATTCCAACAATATTTTCCTTATAATATAGTTACAACAACCAGTCTCTTTGCTGGTGCTTAACGCACCTGTCGTTCTTGTAGTATTTTTGAACTCGGATATTGTGAATACGGTCCATTTGAAAAGACCGGATGTACCTAGCTATTCAGCATATGCGAATTGACAATACATATTGCACTATGTATATATGTATGTGTGTATATGAGCGTGTGTTAGGGTATCGTTCCGCTGTTTTAGCGCTGCTTACAGAGATGTCGCCTCCAGCACGTACCGCCAGCAAACAGGGTCATACATTAGAAATTTAGATTGTGTTAACATACATTCACATACATACAAGCATACACACATATGTATATATGTATATATGTAGCATGTGTGTATGCATTTTCCAAATCACGCATTGTGCCTGCTTCCGCCTGCGTTCACAACAAAAACAACAAATCGCAAATGCCGGGGGTTGTTTAGTTTTCGCCGTCTGCCATTCCACATTATCCGCTATACATTGTTATTTTCGTTTGCTCGTTCGCATCTAAATTTATTGCCCTTTCGCATTATACTCATCTCCGCCATACATCTGCATTCTCCCTTTGCATTGTTATTCCAACTATTTGTGTACATAATAATCGTGTATTTAATGCCGAAGGCGGCACAAAAGCAAAATGTAAACAACAACAAAGCGCAGCGTTGCCGGATACGTGCGAGCGACAAGCGTAGTAAGGCGAACGGCAACAACAACGCTGCTGCTTGCTGCTTGCTACCTGCCACCAATGCCTTTTGTTTCGTTCATCCTCCAGCGGTGCAGCTGCTCTGTTGGTGGTGGCGTTTTGCCGGCTTCACGGCACATACACACACACACACGCATTATGTTATGGTAAACACATACGCTTGTGTTTGTTTAGATTTTATTTGCTTGCATCGGTCACAAGCCGACGACGAGTGTCGTGTTTGGCCATTTTGAAAGTGATTACACTGTTCAATATGCATGAAAAGCAGATTTTCAAGTGAATGCTTACGTATGTATACATTTTTTATTTGTATGAGATAGTCTGAACTCATTTTTATTTGGCTGGATTTATGAACTTTCGACACACTGTGCTTTAGCGGAAGTTCGCTAATGCATTGCTGCACAAAAAGCGTTAAATTCGTTGCAAAGCAAGCTTGCATGCATAATCTATGTATTGGTATCGGTATACATGCATATGTATGTATGCGTGTAATTTGAATAAATTAATACAACGAGCTGTTAGTGCAGCGAATTATCACGAAAGCGTACGATTCTTAGAGAATTAACAAAAGCAGCTTGAAAATTATTTAAAATTCATAATTAAATGAAATACATACACAAATTGCAACGGAAACTGGCTGCGCCATTTTGCTTCAAGCAAAACATTTATAAACGTTTTATATAAGTACATATGAATGTTATATGTATTTACGCAAGTAAGTTGTATGCAAAATTAAGTAACATTCTAATACTAGCTAGCTTCTTTCTCAAGCTAAAAATCTTAAAAGCTTTTTAATCAGCAATCAAATCAGTTGGAGCTTTGGAAATCCAGCAAGTATAATGCTGATATCAAAAGCGCTGCTTATATAAAAATATGTTTCTTTGGCCAGCTAAGAAGTTGTTAGCGGCACATCAGCGCTTAGCAAATGTTAATGCGAAATTGTCAAATACATGCTAATATACATATATTGGCATTATGCAGCGGCAGCAGTTTAGACTTACCAACAGCTTTTTGCTCAGGCGCTCCAGCGTAGCGCAGTTAATTCTTTTAATTGATTTTTTAGCTTCGCATACTTGCAAGCGCGTTCCCAAAATCGTTTTGAAAATGAAAATGCGTACCTTTATTTTAAATGTGTGTTTATTACTTGTTAATATTACTTTTTATAATCATTTTGTTCTTTATATACCGTTGCTGTTGCTATTTCATTGCAATTGCATTATTTTTCTCTGCACGTTTTCGCAACAACGTGCATCAACTACCCGCTCTGCGGCGGCCGGAGTGTTACACTTTCGATTTCATGGTATATTCCCAACTTATGTAGCTTGTTAAATAGTAGCCAGGTTTTATTGTATAATGCTACAATATTTATGCTGCGCTTTGATTTTTTTTTACTACAAAATTTTTATTACCTAAGTATATTTATGCTTTTAAATTTATTTTATGCTTGAATATCGCATTTTTTCTTTTCTGCTATATTTGTTTATAAATGTTTCTTATTTATATTACAACTAAATGTCATTATGTGTACCTAAAATTATTTACCGACTTCTTGTATATGGTTTTTGCTTGTTCGCTATAAGTTGTAAATGCGCTATTGTAAAAATTTTCGTTTTGTATTTTATATTTTGCTTGCTATTTAAGGTAGTAGTGGAATTTGTTGATCACTTTGCGTATTTGTCTATTATTTTTTTAATATACTTTCATTTGCTTAAAACGAAAAGAATGTTGGCGATAGAAATGTTTGTCATGCATGCATGTGTGCATAGATTCGCTTTTAGATCCAACGGAAAACACTTAGCAGCATGTTTTTGGCGCTTGCCGAAGTTGTAGTCAATTTGAAAAACTTTAAATCCAACATATTTACCCGCTTAACTTTTGAAACAAATTTTTCGCATGTGTAAAATATAAGCAATTCATGTTGTTTTTATCACTGTTTATTCTGTAGTAAATTTCTTTGCAGTTGTGTGCTTGAATCAATTGGTAAAATGTATATTTGCTTGCATGTATTTATGTATGTATGTGAGTGTGTTGTGTTGCATTGCAATTTTGCTTTAAAGTATGTAGTATACATTACGCTACTAATTAATTAAAAATAACTTGCATTACTTACTGTATTTTTAATATTTTAATAATTATAATTTCGTGTTATGATTTTGCAATACTTTAGCTCCATAATTGTATCGTTATACTTTTCGTTTTACGCACATTTCCTGCCCACTTTCATTATATCAGTATGCTTTTAGTAAGTATATGCACGTATTTGCATATTTTTACATTTAGCGTAAACTAATAAACATGTACGTAATGGTTTTTTTTTTTAGCTAGTTCTTTAAGTCAAGTATTGTGTTTTGAAGTTTTCGCTTTTGTGGTAAAAATGCAGAAATAAATACGCTTTAATGATAAACTATGTAAAAAATATGATTAAACTAAAGTTATTTTTTTTCGCTTTCAAGAAAGTGTTAATTTTGAAGCTTTTCTTATTTATTGATAAATAGCTGATAATAAAAAATAAAAATAAAATTACTTGTGTATGTATGGTAAATTAAAAACGGCAATGAAATGCAAATTTTACAGCTGCTCGAAACAGAAAGCATGCAAGCGAGTGCAAGTTATTTCTGGGCGCTGTATAGTTTCAAGGCATTGGTTGCTGCTGCATAACAGCACTTTTTCTGTGACAACTGCGCGTCCAGTTTTCGTCAATTCGGCTTACAGGCATCTATAACGATTTCTATGTCAAATATTTTTTTTTTTGGCATATTTAAACGCTTGATAAACGCAATTTCTTTGCTTTTTTCGCTCGCCTATTTCTAGTTTACTAACTTGTTACACTTCAGTGTGTTTTTGTTAAGGTGTTAACCGTAAAAATTTTACTTAAAATTATAGAATTAATGTGATCCTGCAATGCTACACGCGCTGTTTCGCCCATATTTCTAAATAGCGGCACGTTGTAGTGTTATTATTGTTAGGTATGTGTCTTTTCACCTGCCCACCGGCCAGCGCGTTCGCTCCTTATATGCTAAATATTTCAATTACGCCCTAATTAAACCGCTATACCCCACTAGCCCGTTCGAAAACTTTGCTTGCGTCTTCTACTTAATCACTTCGTATTTTTTTCGATTCTGGTTGACTGTTGGCTTCATCCGCCGTAAAAATACCGTCAACATTGCTTGCGTCGTCACATTGTAGTGCACGCTTTTGCGGTACGACACCGGCAGCGCTGCTAAGCGTGGAATCGTTGTTAGAATCGCTGGCGTTGGCGTTTGTGTAATTTGTAGAATCGTTTAAATTGCCACCAAATAGCGGGGTTATCGATTGGTGGCTCTGTTCGATGTGGCGGCTGTTGCTGTTGCTGCTGTCGTCCTCAGCATCGACATCGTCTTCCTCGCTTGCCTCTTCGTTGCCTGTTGAGCGTAGGCAACTGCTATTCTCCCCATCACTGCCGGCTGCTCCCAAAGACACTAAAGTACCGTTACCATTACCATTGCTATTACCAACTAACGCATCGACTACAGTCTTCTGCCTGCAGTTGTTGCTGTTGTCAGCGACACCATGTTCAATGCCTACAATATCGCTATTACTATTTGTATTCGCATTTATGCTACTGTTGCTATTATTAAGTTTAAGTTTAGCCTTTTCGGGTGCCTCCAAGTTGCTCTCTGAATCGGATGCGAGCGGTGTGCCCACTTCGCCGTCGTCGGTTGAGGTTGTAGCTGTGGTCTGGGTTGTGTTCTCATCAATGATGGGTTCTTGTGAGGTGGAGTCGTTCGAAACAAAGTTTGAATCGCCATCCTGCAAGGCAGTCGGCGCTGTCGCAATCGGTGCTGGAATAATGTGTTCATTGTCAGCTAAAATGACATATTTAATTAATAAAGTTTGGGAAATATCGAAAATCGGATTTTTCTACACACCTGCACCTAAGCTCTCTTCATCTCCATCATTGGTATCCTCTCCTGCAAGCACTTTAGTTGTTTGTGTTGCTGCCTTAATTGTGCTTCCATTGGTATTTGCACCAACGCCAGCACCTGGTCCGGGCATTTCATCCAAAAGTTCCGGACTCAAGTCGTTGGCCACATAGTGTGCCCAGAGTGCCAACTCCACACGATGGGGAGACCAATGTGGTGTTTCTCCGCCAGCCTCTGTATTTAAGCGTGCAACAGTAGTCTGGATGTGTTGCACAAAGTTGAGGTACTCCTTGGTGGTATAATCGATACCCTCGATTTCTGCAATCCAAATAAAATTAAAATTATTATAGAATAAGATATACTAAATTGAAATTTTTACGTTAGTAAGCGTATGCTTGTGGGTAAATATTTTCTTGACCTTAATTAGATCACACCTATATGTATATACGTATGTACAATATATCAAATACAGCATTATTACCAACCTGGAATGGCCATTAGGCACTCATCTGCCATAAACGGTGCTGAATCAGGGGCAGCAGCCGCCAATAGCGCCGAAGCCATAGTCGTGCCGACGCCTTTAAGATTTGATAGCGCCGTTATGGCCTGTTCTAGATTAGGCAGTTTTCGGAAAGCTTTCTTTGTCTCCTGCATAACAGCACGCGGTGTGTTTACCTTGACCAGGTACGAAAGTTGTGGATAAAATTTACCACGCGACTGTTTCCATTTCATGGTCTGTACCAGTTCATCGTATACCATATGCGCATCCTTCCCTCGTGCTTTTATTAACTTTGGTAATTCATTTTGATACCATTCGTCCAAACGAATAAGCTCTTGAGGCTTTTTAGAGCGTTTCTCTGCCTTTAGCTTCAGCACTTGTGGATAAAGTTTGTAACAGTATTCGAATTGATGCGTTGTCCCGTTCTCAAAGAACGACGCAGTGTCCTTGTTGCTTGTCATATTGAAGACAGCTGTGTTTATTGTGGCGATCACGCTGACAACTTTATATATACTCGGAGAAATATATGTGCGAGTTGCTATTTCTGTTGCTGGCAGATGGATCGATCGATGGCAATGCTGGTTAGCGAAACAGTGGTTGCACTGGTGGTTGCTTGTTGCTAGTGTTGGTACCACACGCAACTGTGGTAGTGATGATAATGACAATGGTATTTGTGATGGTGGTGGATGAGTCGTAATGGCTGTGTGGAAGATAAAACGTATGTTGGTTATTTTATAATATTGAATAGCCACTGACCAATCCTAAATTACTAAAATTGCACATTTTATTGCGATAATTGATTACAAACGCTTTTAAAGCGTTAAGTTTATCACATTTTAAGAACGCTCACATTTATTTGCCTTTTATATTTATAAGCGAATTCTTTTCATTGCTTTGTTTTGTACTATGGATTTTTTTGCAGAAAGTGTTGTCCTGATTACAATATTATAAAATCATTTTTACCCTTAAGAAACAACGCGCTGAGCTAATTTTTAGCACTGGCAAACTTTCTTCTCTCCAAATTACAACTACTAATTTAATTTTAAATTTACACAGCTACTTTCTTAAATACAATTCTGCACTCACCTCAATTCAAAATACGTCAATAGTGGCTCCTTTGCGCCTGGAAAACTACACTTTATCTTCGAAATCACCTCCTTTACGCCACTGACAGTAAAAATTATTTTCAATTCACTTTCAAGTTTCGCAGTCTACGCGAGCGACGAATAAAAATCGACAGAATTCTTTTTCTCGTTTTATCTTCATTTCCTTTTTGTGGTACACTTCGTTGTCGTTGTGTCTCGCTTTGCTTTTATTTCAGCGACAACAGCGCCTTCACACTGTTCACTCTGAGTTATGTGTGCTTGTGTGCCTGTGTGCTGCTTGCCGTACTCGGGTTGTCGTTGCCGTTGCCGTTGCCGTTGCTGTGCGGTGCGATTGCGATTTGAGATTTACCTAAACTAGTCGCCGTCGAAAACGTTGCTGCCTGACCGATGATTTTTCAGTTTGCGTTCACTTGCCTGCTTGTTTGCCTTCTGTTTCGTATGACCATGCCACCTCGACAATTACTAAAACCCACCAAAAAAACCACGCACATGCGTGAATAAATCGCTGTCTTGCCGGCTAACCGTCAATTTATAGGATATTTAATATATGCCCTGAGCACTCCCAGTTACCGATCTCCTTTTTTCACTTCTTGCAAGTTCCCTTATGTTAATTAAGAGAGTTTAGTTGTTTTAAAAGGAGTACAAATACAAATTATTAGCACTCTGACATGAATGTGATGCCTATAAACAATTAACCTCTATCAAAATCACTATTTCAAGAAGTTATGCTGTGGACTGCTTGTGTAGGGCAACAGTGTTTTTAGAAATTACTTTTCATATGTGTGTTGGCAGTATACGAACAAAATTATGGACATTACGTTTGCAACTATATGGCAACTTCATCAACGTGTTTGTTGTTGCATTCACTAGGTTTTTCGTTTTACTTATTTCATTCTACGGCAACCAAGCGCGTCCATTTGTTCCAAGTTCGTCGGTAATCGCTGGCACTGCACAAATCGACTTCGTTCGCCGACCGCTCGCCATACAATTCGCGACTATCTTGATTCAGGGTTGCAATGCGACGTTGAAACATTCCACAAACAAATGGGAACGGCTAGTGAACTGTGCACCGCACAGTGACCGTTTCGACCTTTTTCGTGCTCATTTTTTTAAATTATCTCGAAATGTAAATTTTACAAGATTTTGAACCCAAACACATACATAACTCTTCAGTTAAAAATATTCTACAAGCATACACTTACATTAATGTACATTTAAGAGTACAGTGTGTATAATTGCTAAAATTTACATCTAACTTTGTAGGTATTCATCCATATGCGCATACACAAACGTCAAGAAAAGACAATAATTGTAATCGGGTATTGCCAGCGACAGCGAAAATCGAAACAGCGCATGGAAAAAACCCGCACGACCCTCAGCGTTACCGAAGTGGTTGGCTGTGTTCGTGCGGCAGGCCATAATACAACCGTGTGTTGTTACAAAAACAACAACACACAGTGTGTGAAGATGGCAGACTGTATAGTGGCAGCGACAACTACAACGACACCATATGCGCTTGCCTTTTGGCAGCAGCTGTGCGTTTTCTCTACTCATTCAAACACAGCACGCGTTGTGTTGTTGCTTTGCGGCGACTTTGCGCTTCGGTTGAAAAACTCGATGTATGTCGATAAGCGACAACTGTGTGCGGCATTAATGGCCAGAAAAACAACTACATACACACAGGCGCAATGACAGGGAGCGATGAATAGACGACAACGTACAACGTTCGTTAATGAATGCTTGCTAAGCTGGTTGCCGACTCATCGCTGGTTCTGGTTACATTGCCGTTTCTGCTGCGACCGCTTATGCCATTGCAGGCATTGTGTATTGTTGCTACGTTGTTCAATGCACAAAAAGCGATGTTGTAAATTGTCGCTTGTTTCGTATTTCCTTTGAATAATCGTTGCTATGCCTTTCTCATTTTTGAATTTCACATCGCTGACGCTGTTATTGGTGTTGTATTGCACATTGTAGGATGTGAGTGTGTGTGCGAAATGGAGGGTGTGTGTATGTGTGCCTAGCGTTCATAAGTCTTTTTGCCTTTTACTTTTGCTGAAGCAACGAAGGCTAAGCAGAAAGACGGTAAAATCAAAAGCGTATTATAAACGAAGATAAATGGCGAAGGGGCAGCAAAAGGCAAAACGTGATAATTAATGTGCGATGGCGGATACGGAATGAAAAAACGAGCGAATGAACGAAGTATTGCAAAATGGAATATGTATATACATATGTATGTATGTATTTGGAAAATATACTTATACAGCAGATACCAAGGTTATAAAGGAAAAAATATATACACGTTTTTTCTAGGGAATCTAGAGAGACAGGATAGTACACAAGTATACATATTTAGAATAAACTGTTATACAGCGAATATCCCTGCATGAATTCGCTTGTGTATGAATATATACAAATATACATATGTAATATTGTAAATATTTATTTTAAAGCCATCAAATCGGCTTATTGATTGCTGAAGTCTTAACACGAAGCTACCAAGAATATTTGAATTTGTATATGCATTTAATGGAAAAGTGCTAAGCATATGTCATTTTACTTATTTACTGTTAACTGTGCGAATTGTAGCGATTTATGACAGCTACTAATAAACGTCGCTTGCGCGCATGGCCTACTTCCGGTAGCAGCATGATTTGCGGTTTTTCGCAATACATATATACATACATACACACATACATATAGAAGAATTTTTACGTAAGTCTAAAAGCGCCAAAGCAATCTGATAATATTCCATAGTTTATAACAAATTGGTAGACGTTGAAATGCCAATTTCTGGTGTATTCAAATCGCAGTTATTCGGCGAAAATAACCGTCACTTTATCAACAAGTTGACTCAACGCAGTAAGTTTACTTCCGGTCACATGCAGCAAAAGTCGTATAAATGTAGGGGGAAAAACAGTGCAATGTTTAAAAAGTTGTCTTATATGCCGCGTTTAACAAGTCGCGCTTATTTTTATTGCTTAATCCTTCATTTCCATGTACATTTTGTAGGTGTAGTTGAGTATTTCCATTTTGAATGCTGTACGCCGGTGTTGTGGCACTTTGTCGAAAAATTCTTGTATGACAGCCAGGAACGGATCGGCGGACTGTTTGTAGGTGTTTACAAAATTCAAATAATTCTCCACGAGTGTGCGAAAAGTTTCATCCAAGTTAGCATAACGTTGTGCATCCGAGCCCAGAGCGACACTGGCACCCTTCAGCGCGGTGGTTCTTGGCGTTTCAAGTTGTTTTTCTTTTTTGTCGCTGGGGTTCTTCAATTTAGGCTGATGCGTCAGTTGCGTGTTGAGCAATGGCGCGGATTGTGAACTAAAAGTTTAACTAGTATGTGAGCACATAAAAGCAAACAAACTGAAAATAATAAAACAAACTATTTTACCCTTTTGGCGTCATGCCGGCTGTGAGAAAAAATAGTTGCTCAAAAAACAGCCATTCCTTCTTTGTATGCAGATTGCCGCCCATTTTACTTCTTGCGCTCAATTCAATTACAAAACGATCTCTCAAAGACTTCCAGCGCTTGCGACATGCCTCCACTGTTTTAGAATAAGAAAAGATAATAAATATTGATAGAAGTGTATGTTAATAAACGAAATTTGCACCAGATTCGCCGACATTATTTGATACACAGCTCCAGCAGATATCCTTCTTTCGCTTATTTTTATAGTCCGGATTGTATTTATTCCAAAGACATTCGTTTTGCTGAATTTCCTTAATTAGTTTTTCCTCCAACATATTTTTTTGCTTTTTTGAATGAAATTTTCGTTGCCAAACATTATTTGTCTAATGGTTGTTTGTTAATACTACCAAAATAAAAAACAAGTGTTCGAATATGTATGTAATAATTTTAATAAAATCTTCTGAAGTATATTTATAAAACCAACAACTGATATGAATAACGTATAAAATAAATATAGGCATTAGGATTTACATCAGTTGTGATGCCATGGACTTGCAATTTCTGAAACCCTTTTAACATCGACTTTAAGTCGGAGAAAGGTGCATTTGGTTTGCTTGGTGTAGTTGATGTATTGTTATCTGTAAAAAATTAAAAATTTTACCAACTTAAAGTGAATTTAATGCTCAAGTTAAACACACACTTACACATACATTTATGAATAATGAATTTACCTTGTTATTGTTAGAATGTGTTATGTTGTGTTGCATTATTTACTCTTGAAAGAGCGTTTCATAGCTCATGCCTTTGATTTTACTTGTTTAATAGTAGATATATGTAGTAGTTTGCAAATAATTAGTTACAGCCCTAAGAGCAGAATTAATGGTTTTAAACAATTGGTTATACAAACACATCTATTACAAAAATACAGAACAGTAGGCGCGTTAACAGCTTTTATAGAAATGCAGAAGCAATTGACGCCAACAAATTAGCCACATTTGAGAAGGAAGAGTTTTGATTTATAATTTATTTATTGTATGTATGTAGTATATTGGTTTGTTTTGACTTTTGTTGGTAATGCTTTTTTATGAATTATTTTGTTTAAGGATGCTCGTGTGTTTTATGATGACCGCAAGCAGCAAAAATGCACATTTAAACTCAATTGGTATCTAAATCTTCCAGTCGTACCGGATGTGTATATGGTATAATAGATTTCTTTTCCACATCTCGCGAGAGTGCCTTCCTCATATCTACATTAAAAATTCATGGAATTATTTAAAATAATTTACATATGTAAGTAGTTTTCAAACACGTTTAAACATACCATAAGCATCTTCATCGTGATCGCCAGCGTAGTAATCAAGTATAGTACGATAAATTATATAACCCAAATTTTGATACATGTTGATTGCCACTTGATTACTCTTGCGCACAAACAGATCAACAAAATAAGCACGTTTTCTAAAAAATGTAAAAGCCTTTACAGCAAACACAAAAAAGTTGGACAGAAATTTACATACTTTTCGGAAACATCTTCCAGAAAGTTCATAAGTAATGCAGCTAAGCCTAGACGTCTGTAGTCCGGTGAAACGGTTAAAGCAGTTACATGACCGTGCCAATTTTCCATATGACCTTCAACCTTGCCCATAACTGTAGTTGGAAACAATATATATGTCAAAGACTAACAATTGTTTCAAAGCCTTGTACTCACTGTAACCCATTATTTGCCCACTTGGGGATTCGGCTAACTGGAAGTACTCAGGCCATCTAGCCAAATATTGTGTATAAAATGAAAGCCCATAAGTTTCGGTTAGTGGGTCGAAGTTGCTGTGAAGTATTAAAAGCCACATTTATTGTAAAAAAAAAGGTTCGTTTGTTTAAATAAACAGCACTAAATCGCAAACGGTTGTGATAAAAACCAAGCGATATTTTGTACTTACACATTATTAAATTTGAAGAGGTCATCGCAGGTGAATGGACGTAATGTAGTCATCTTTTAAATAAAAAATGTAAATATTTATATTAAAAACTAACCGTGATTTAAATTTTCGTATAATGGTAAAATTACACGTTCAACTCATAAACAGCTGTTCGCTTGAACTAGAGAGAGCCTTGTCAATCAGTTGTTTAAAAGAGAGAGCACTCTGAAAACAGTGTTGCAGTGTCATATATATTTACAACAACTATATTTATAGAATAGTAATTCGCTCTTAATTATTAAACTGTTTACATTTTCATTGCAAAGAAAGAAAAAACCCGTAAAGCAAATTGAAAATTTACACTTAGCTATTAAATTGATTTCACTTTCACTCTGTTAGAATTACAATTATATTATAAGCCGACAGAGGAAAAGATCAAAATATAACATTGAAACATGTGTTTTCGATGTGAGATTTAGCTTATGAGATATAACTGATGTTTTATTTATCATAACAGTAAATTAGTTGAAATGGATAAATGTTTTTAGTTATTTAAAACTATCTATCTGCAATATTCTTAAAAATATTAAATGTTTGTTAATTATTTTAGCCATATTTAAGGGCGCTGTAGCACTTTACATGTTTAAAAAACACATGCTTGGCAATGCTGCTCGTCATCGTTCAATCGCTGTTCAATTTTTGGTCTGACAATTTGTTCGCAGCGAAACGCATCGTGTCGCATTTATTGTGTTATTTCGGATCAAATATATTTGGTAAAAAAAAGATGTATAAACTAATATTAAGTTGAAAAGTGACTAAAAAAGACGTAAAAACCTTTGTTATAATTTCGAAGGTAGTGATATGAATTATAAAAGTGATAAAGGCTAAATGAAATGAAAGTGGGCCAATAGTGAGTGACGAGAGCGGTGTAGTCGTAAAAGACGGATACGGCGACCGTAGAACAGCAGCGCGGCGAATAAGCACCAGTGCCAGCGAATTCGTGCTAAGACATAGTAGCTGCTAAAGGAAGTGAGAAGCATAAACAGTGAAGATGAAAAATTCATTGCGGGAAGTTTTAAATTGATTGTGTGCGTTTTGTTACGCGTGAGCTGAGGAGTTTTTATTGTGATTCAAAGACGTAAATAAGGAAAGACATTACATAGTCTTTGCAGATACGAAATTGAAGGATAATTTGACAAAAAGTTGTGTAAAAATTACTTCGATGTGTAGAAAAATTGTGCCAGACTAGCAGCCAACCAATACAAACACCGAGCGCAACACACAAACAAACTCACACTCACTGTGGGTTCTCGTCTCGTGCGCCACGCACTGTTTTCATACAAATTTTCGGAGGTATTCGTTGAATTACATGCGCGTTCGTTGTTCGCTTTCAAATGTCGGTTGTTGGCTAAAATTACTATTCTAAAATATATGATCTATGTAAAACAAATATACTATAAGTAAAATATTAAAAGTTCTAAAAAGTTGAATAAAAAAAATGAAGAGATTAATATATGAATAAGTTAAAGTGAATTAATACCACTAAATACAACACAACGAACATACACAACCACAACTCTCGCCATTTCATATGTTTGCATTGTATTCTTCATGTGCGAAGCTAAAATGGTGAGTATTTCCTTGCTATTATTTTTGTTGTTTTGCAGTTTTTGTTGGCACCATGCTCGTTCGTTGCGCGCGAGGAGACGCGTTGTTTGATTATGGTGTGGTGGGTTTTTAACGAACCGGTGGGGAGTAGTGCGTGATAAGAAGGGGAAAAACATTTAACTGCTAAAGATCTATATTATAAAAAAAAAAATAATTGCATGTCTGATCACACATTCATACATAGTATACAGTAGTATGCAGAGGAAAAAAAAATATTTTTTTTAGTGTGAAAAATAATTATATCTGAACATATGCGGTGTTACACAGTGTATGCTGAGGCATCCATATGTACCGCAATATTCAATAGTATAATATTAACAACTTTTTGCCAATTCGAAATTCGTGTTCCTCTTCTTTTGTGAATTATTTATATCACTTATCATACAAATAAGTGCTAAGTGTATTTCTGGCATTTTGCAGAATTTACGCTAATTATTTAGTTTAATATTATTTAATTATATGCTTATTGATTTGTACCGTTATCGTATAATAACACCTTTAAAAAATAACGCATTCTGTCAATGACGGAAGAAATGTCTTGTAGAAATGTGAGTATTTAGAACACTGTATGCTCTTCTAAGCCTGTTTTGAGTCAATTGTTCCGGCTTCGAATTATGTAGTTAACCATCCTTAATAAGGCCTTAGAAGTGCTTTATTATTTGTAGAAAAGCTTACTGTTTAGTAATTTGTAAATGTTTGAACATTCAAGCTAGCATCCCTCCCCTTTATTTCAGTAAGTTCACCACACTTACGTTGTAATGCACTGCAATTCGCCGCCACTCAGTATTTTCTCCAAACAATCACGACATTTCTTCACTTTCACAAATTTCTCCACACTGCATTCGCTCGTTTGTTATTTTTTCTTTCGCTTCGCAACGTATGTTATCTGTGTGTGCTTCCCCTACATAGAGTTACTTAACGGACGCGCGCGCGTTTTGTAAAGTAATTTCGACCCTGTTACAATCAAGAGCACACAAGTCAATGGCGCTAACAATTGCTGCAGAATACAAAACCGTTTGTCAATATGCTACTTTAATATGTATGCCCATGTACAAGTAGAAATTTTATGTGCATGTATGAAATTAAAAGATACATTTTTGATGTATTCTTAAAAATGCAGATGTGTTGGAAGGCATTAAAAAAGCATTGTGCATTTGGTTAGAAGTGTGGTTATTCATTGGAAACATTCTCCATTTATCAGACGCATGCAAAAGTCGACAATAAACGGGGTGAACGATGTAGTCTTTAATCCAGCTGCACTAGGCTGCGTCAAATGTTTTTACTTCCAATGCCCGGCTGAGGCGCATCGATACTTTATTGATTTTGAGGTGAAAAGTGCATTGGCATTTATTTGTGCACATGAAACTCAACTTTATGATTCATTAATAATCTAAGAAATAACCAAAATGTTTATTTTGTATTGTATGTATGTATGTATGCATGCATGTACGTACTTTGGTTTATTTACATATTTATTTATTAATTTTGGTCTATGTATGGCTCTCTTAAACGCTTCAACATATGTACGTATATGCGACTCTCCCGCTTATCCATTTTTATGTTTAATGTTCATATGTTGCATTCGTGTTTTATTTTTAGTTTTCTACTGTTTTTGTTTTCGTTATATCTCTTGCTTTCGCATTCGATATCACCGTTTGCTTATAAACATTGTGTATTTTCTCATATTCCGGCACGAAACAGTTTTGATGCATATGGTAGTTTTGTTGTCATTCAAATCCCTTTGAACTAACAGTAAAACATATTTGAATGAATAATTTGAGGTTACAAATCAGTCACGCCCATTGACATGCATACTTGCCCTATAAAATAATTATATTTTATCTGTCTAGAAGATAATGTATACATTCAAGTTAATTGAAGTAATTAAATATACAATACATATTATACAGATTTTATTGTTTGAAAAATTATACAGTTAACAATATTTTGGAAAATTTATATTGGGAACTTAAAGTTAGCATAAATTTAAACAAACTAAAACTTAGGAATTATGAAATGAGACTAAAATATTATTTTCCAAAAATATTTTTTTTTTATTATACCGAAGATACATATTTTGATAAAGATTTTGTGAAATTTTCAAAGCAAAATATTCAAAATTCGGTCATTACGACGGCAATCCCGGCAGTCCCTCGGAAAAAAGTGCTTTCGCGTTGACAGCAGAGCTTCTGACAGTATCAACAAAAGGAAAAAAAGAAAAAAATACGTATTTGAACTAAGACTAGTGGTCTAGGTATTGGACAGAGAAAAAAAAAAATAAAGTAAAAATTTTATTTTTGACAAACGTTTTTCAAAAAAAAAAAAAAATTCGGTGAAAATTTCTCGTCGTTTTTTGTTTTCTAAAAAGTTGTAATTGAACAAAAAATCCTTCGTTCAAGACCTTGTAAATTATAGCTCAAAGACCTGTGTCAAATTTCATTAAGATCCGTTCCAAACACAGTTTCGAGAAAAACACGTTTAAAGTTTTAAGTGATTGTATAACTGACTTCGAGCGCTCAACTTTTCAAAGCTGTATCTCCAAAACTATTACTGGGATCAACTTGAGAATTTAGGACAATGTTCTAGAGATGTTATAGAATTAAATAAGACGATAAAAAAAAATTTTTTGAAGCCGTGCAACCCATGTAACCCCTTAATATTTTTGTAAACGATATTGGTGATAACTTTCAGTCTGAATATCAGCTTTTTGCAGACGATTTGAAGATCTGTGAACAAGACACCCAAGATCTCCAATGTGATATCGAAAAACTATCGAGCTGGTGTCACAAAAACAAACTAGACTTGACTTCAAAAAGTCTGAATATTTTTCTTTAAAGTCGTGAATGTTCTGATTGACGCGCTGTTTCAAATTTGTATATGTGGTTCTCTCGTTGAGAAGCAATCGTCTGCTAAAAACTATGAAACAACCAAGAACTATGTTTTCAACGGCACTCACAACCGCATTTCCAAGCTCGTCAACTCTCTGCACAACGAAGTGGACTTCTATAGTGGCACGTTCATTGATTTTATTGCAGAAATCAAATTACGTCTATTATAATATCCCTAGTCCAATGCTAAATTTTTATACTCTCGCAACCTGTTGCTACAGAGTATAATAGTTTTGTTCACCTAACGATTGTTTGTATCACGTAAAACTAATCGAGTTAGATATAGTTTTATATATATATAAATGATCAGGATGAAGAGACGAGTTGAAATCCGGGTGACTGTCTGTCCGTCCGTCCGTCTGTCTGATCAGGATTAGATCGCCGAAATAACAGCACTTGGCCACATAAAATTCGGGTCAATTCCGGTAACGTAGAACCGGCTGTCTTGGGAAGTATAACGTCGAAACAGCACGTGTCCTGCGCCTACGGTGTGATAACTTCGTTGACAGCCAACCCTAAACTTACCACCGAAGCATGGACTAAATAACCGCTACAACAACAGGTCACAATTTATTAATTTATCAAACGCAAACAGAAAAAAATTATTTCCAAATCTGTAGGAATTTCTCTACTTTTAACAGCCGTAAGTTTCGGTTAGTGCCGTTGTGTGCGTAAACTTTGGTCGGTTGCGTGAAACCTGTTCACGTATTGCTCACTCTTGTTGAAAGCATTCAGTGTACGCTGTTCTGTGGCGCAAGTTGCCCATCTGGAGCGGTTTATGCTTTATCGTGCATACCGCCTTCGTAAATCAATTCGCTCATTTTCTTTCCCAAACGTCGCTACTGAGTGGAGCTCTTTGTTTTCTGTCTTCACGTTTGGGATGCCGCGATTTCTGCATTTGCCCGACATATTCCATTCATACTGTTGAAATTGCAATCGTCAATTTGACTGTCGGCTGGCTGGACGTTCGCTCAACTGTTATGTTATGTGTTATAACATACAACTGTAGCTATCTAAAGTTACTATATGGTCGTCGAAACGAGTGAACGCTCGAGCGAACATCTGTATTTGTAATAAAAATTATTTTGTTGTACATATGTATATTTGTAATAACATTTGTATGTATTTGTGCGTAATATTGTCGTATCTGTTTAAAATGTATGGTAATCGTGTTCAGCGGGGCTAATTCGTCATACTTGCACACAAGTTGTTGGTGTATACGCTGCTGCAGTCAACGAAGTCAAGTTTTGTCTGTTAACGGCGAATAACACGAAATTTGTTCTGTACTTTTGCCGCAATACGCTCAAGCACCCACACCGCCCCATCGGCATTCGCCAGACGCAATATTAGGGAGCAAATGAGATTTGTTAGCTTTTGTCTTTTGTCTATATTTCCGAATGCTTATTATACATAAATATGACTATGTATGTTTTTATACGCTCTCTGCTGCGCCGTTAACATCTCGCTTTGTACGTTGCTCTACGTAGCAGCGCACATACGCACGTGCATACTAACATATTTATATTTGTATCTTTGCGTTACCTTTTGACATGTCTTTTGGAGTGAACATAATTAAGTAAGCATGTGCGGATATGTGTTTGTGTTTGTGTGCTGGCAGGCGCTCAAGTATCTTTTTGTTTCTTCTTTGTTTGTCGCAGCGGCTACCTCTGCTGTTCGTCGCTTCGTCAGTTGCTACTTGTTGTTGCTACTTTCATATATCCACCCAATACACACATAAATTACGTACGCACACACACTTATATACAATTGACTTTGTATATGCATATATGTCTATCGTCATACTACTCGTTTCTGTCATGCATCGTGTTTTATTCATGTTCGCCCTGTGCACGTGCTTCGTACGGCCCGTGCTACGATCGTGCGGTCTCTGTGTGCTCGGTTTTCGTCGTCACCCAACCATTCTGCCCCTGTTGCCTTGCACTATGGCTCGTCGTTGCTAGCACTTTGCTGCTTAAACCTACCCCTCACGCTGCCTGCTCGTTGTAGTCTACCGAGGTTATAGCTGTCGTTGTGCGACATTCGTTTCTTTATCGCCATCGTTTCTTGTCATACACTTTCGCTGTGTTTATCGCTGGCTCTGTTTCATACAGCTTCGTACGCTGGTTCGTACGATTCGTTCATACGTTGCGCGCTGGTTCGTTGGCACAGCATTGAAAATTTCACAGCGTATATTTTACTAAAAATGATACAACACAATTTTTCCTCTGCGGGCAGCGTATTTTCGTTCTCGTTTTCGGTTTCGAAGTTCAACGTTTTGAAACGCGTGTAGTGCAGTGTGTTACGTTTGCGTTAAAGCGAAGTGCATGCATTTTTCAGTTAATCGACTGCTAGAAAAATTCGATAAAAGTTTCGACGTATCATCCTATCACACTCGGTTGTATATGGTATATAGTGTAGGTGAAAATTATGACAAAATAGCAGTCATCGTTTTGCGTAGAAATCAACTTTGCTTGCAGACGTTAATGGTGTGATGGAGAATACATAAAAATTCATTTGCTCACACAACTTTACATACTCATGAGCACATTGCCTTTACGCACGGTGTGTGTTCGTCAAAGAGGGTGGTGAGGGAGCTGATACGCTCAAGTGGTATAAAATATATCTTAGGGAGGATAGAAGGTCTGTGCTCAAACGCAAAAGTGCTAAAAAGCCGAATAATATACAAGCTGCGGTTGGTGAGTTTTTGTGTATTTAATTTTTCAGTTTTTGTGCTGCAGCTTAAAAGAAAATGTTTTGAATTATGGCATATGAAGTGTTAAAAAAAAGTAAAGCACAAAGTGCGACCGCGACAAGTGCAGCAACTGAATTTCAATGCTGTCACCGATACATTTTCTATGTCCATAATATGTGTGTGTGTGTGTGGAAATTCCACTTTGTGTAACAGTTTTCTTATTTACACAAATTATTTGTTGTTGTCAATAAAAATTCGTCACTCCAAACTGCTTCGCTACCTTTGCAAAGTTTTAGGTATACAATATTCCACAAAGCATTGCTGATCTCGGCAAATTCTTCTCACGCTTCGCGGGAAATTCGGTTATAATTACATGTTTGATTAGTTTAAAGTAGTGCATATGTATTTGTGGTTTGAATAAGTATTTTCGTGAGTTCTGTTTGTTCATAAGCCACAATTAAATTAATTTCATACATATAAAAACAATTAAGCCATACCAAGGTCAGCATATAAGCTGCTAAGCACACATTACACTACAAATAAACAAAATAATATTGAAATCGTTTTGTACATTTGCCGCTGACGGCTAGGTGAATGATTGAATAGCCATAAACAATCATACATATGTATGTATATGCTGACATGTGCAGTGTATTTGTTGCTTTGGGCAAACACCTGCACACGTACATAAATACAAATGTTACATATTAATATTATATTAATAAATTTACATATTCACTTGTCTACTTATTTGCTTATAAATCGGTCTCAACTTTATTACAATTTTCAGTGCACATTTTCGTATCGTTATTTTTTAATTTTTATGTTGACGACGTCTATCGCGGTACGTAGTTGGCTGCGCCGGCCACATGAGTTCTATAAACAAGTAGATATATGTATAGATACATATAAATAATAGTGTTAAATTGTTCTAGTATTTGTTTGTCAGATAGTTACTTTTTCATATGAGGGAGAATACGTCGAACATTTTTTTGTGTAATTTTAAGGCGTCAGATGGCGTTCCTCGAGCAAAATACAGCACTTTTTTCAATATTTTTTTTTTCATATAAAAAATTAAATATTTTCTTCAAACTTTTTATTATTTCAAATATACTCGTACATATTTTACAAAGATTTTGTAAAATTTCCAAATTTAAAACTCGGCCTTTAGTAGGTAATTTCTGGCAATGCCGCTGCGCTGACAGCAGAACTTCTTACAGTATCATCAAAAGTAAAAAAGAAAAAAAATCCGCGTTTTAATTAAGACCATAAACCAGGTATCGGACGAAAGAAAAACAAAAAAAGGTTAAATTGTATTCTTTGCAGACCTTTTTCCCCTAAAAAAAAAAAAAAAACGCAAACTTTGGTGAAAATTTTCGTCCTTTTTGTTACCTAAATAGTTGTATCAACAAAAAAATTCTTCGTGCAAAACCTTGTAAATTATTACACAAATACCTGTGTAAAATTTCATTAAGATCGGTTGAGTAGTTCGCTCAAAATCTTGACAACCGACTTTGAAAACACAGTTACGAGAAAAACGCGTTCAAAGTTTTAAATGACTATATAGCTGACCTCGAGCGCGCAACTTTTCAAGGCTGTGTCTCCAAAACTATTACTCGGTTCAAATTGAGGAAAATATTCTAGAGATGTTATAGTTAGGTGACCATATTTGCGCCGAAACCGAAAAACATTTTTTAGTCATCGATTTTTTCATATTATAATTCACCGAAAATCGCGACATATGTTTAATAGGCGAGAGAGCAACACAATTTTATTCAATTCATCCTATTTTTTTTTTTAATTTTTAAGCACGGAGCGGCCGGGACGCTAAGCTCGGAATCCGTACAGTCCCGGCCAAACCGGGAAGATATAGAATTAAATAAGACAATAAAAAAAAATTTTTTGAAGCCGTCAAACCCATGTAATCTCTTAAATGGTTTCTATATTTTTTTTAATTATTATACAAATCTACTTAAAGGGGGGACAGTATTATTTTGTGTAAAACAAACCCTATTTTAATGATTCTGTTTTTGTTATTGTCAAAACATATGTATGTAAGTAATAATTCTTATTTTCATTGACATATATTTTGTATAAAGCTTGGTTAAAGAGTACCATCATATACACACAAACATAACCTTTTTGTTTTATACACAACACATTGCTAAATGCTGCGCGTTGACCTTGAAACCCGCGAAATATTTTACGATTTTGCTGGTCTGACTCGCTTCTTGGTTTTCTTTTTAAATACGCTCCAACTTGTCTGGATATAGTAGGCGCTGTTAGTTCTAGTTCTTTACTGTACATGAAGCACTTGTCTGCATAATGCAATAAATTAACCGTAACTTGTTTTAACAGCTCTGTCAAAAATAGCAACGGCTTAAAACTGCATTATCACCTAATAATGCCGCCTGCTGCCCTTGTGTCCACAAAGCACCGCACAGCTGACGCTTAGGACGCTTGTAAAGTTCCTCGCATGTGGTTTCAGTTGCCCAGCTGTCTGGCTGCGGTTTCTGTTATCTGCAACTTATTGTCGGCACCGTTAGTACCGAATACATTTTGTACGGCCTCGCTTATCAAGCCGCCAACGGCCTTACGCTACGGTTAACTAAACTGAATGAAATTCTTCATTATGAAACGTATCTGCCGAAGCTGTTGCTGTTGCTTTTGTTATTGCAGGTGTTTGCGAATGTGAAAGTGTACGGCGGCTAGTGGGTATGACTTTAAGCTTGACTGTTTGTTGTGCGGGTGAATGACCCGAAACCAAAACATTGCGCGCAGCGAGAAGATGCAACAATTGTGCGTTTGTTTGCTCATTTGCTAGTTCCGCACGTTCATTCATACATTCCTGCACTCACTCACGCGCCAGCCATTCATACATTTGGTTTTGATAATATGCTCTTGGTTGTGGTAGCGGCTGTGGTGGAGGATGTACGACGCTTAGCAGCGTTTTGTTCTCGTCACTATACTTTTGCCTGAGTGGCTGCCCGTCTGGCGGTCGGCCGACAGGTTGGTCGTTGTGTCATGTCTGGCACTAGCTAATTTTGGGGTCGTACAAGTGTAAGTGCTCGGCTTTTTTTGTTGTTCGGTTAGTTGCTCGTTCGGCAGCGCTCGGAACGTTATGTCGTTTGGTCGATAAGGGCACACGACAGATTACTACTTCGATTAGCTGCACTGCTGGCAGCTGGGTATCGACCCATCATAGTCTTAACGTTTTCTCGGCTTCTACGTTTCCTGCAGCATTTCGTGTTTGTTTTGCTCGCTGCTTTGTTCAAGTTTTTTTGTTTTGCTCGCCGCGTTCGCTGTGCTATGCAGGTGGAAAACAATGAACTTAGCAGCCGAACTTGCTTACTCCCAACAGAGAAAAATAACAATAGACGGCTTTTGGGGTTCCCTAGATTATGCACAGCACATATCTTCCAGCTCAAAATACTTTGGCTGTTAGCTCATTAGCGAATGCTTATGTTCGGCTGCAACTGCAGTTAAGCGCTCCTTCCTTTGCTTTGGACCTCGTCGCTTCTCTGCCAATATTTATATCCTGCATATATCCATTATTCGAGACTTCATTCTTCAAATGGGTTTCGCGTAAATCCTTGCAGTTTTTGGCCGATAAATTCGCTGATCCTGTCCAATTGTCACAAAGTAAGTTTATTCCATTCAGCAACTGTTACTAGGGCTATTGATTTTTTGTGTTTTTTCCACAGAATATATTTTTGCCGTAGCAAATAGTTTGTATATCCTCTGCCGCCTCGCCACCATTTATCCTCGCATTTTTTTATGCCTTTAAGCGTTCACTAGCACAAGTCGACGTACTTCTATTCAATTACGCGCATTTACTGTTACCCGTACGGACTGTTGTTGCTTCGGCTAGTTGTGCTTCGCTTGGAGTTCCATTTGCAAATGTGACAGCGTTTGCCTCGGCTTGGCTGCTTAGCCATTGGTTTGGCTGACTGGCTGTGTGCTTGCGCTGCCTGTTGACTGTCGTGTCGTGGCTGGCCAGCAGCAAGCGGCAATCGCGCGCCCGTTGACACGACGTATATTTTAATTCATGGTAAATCAAAGAATCACCTCACTTTTGAATATTGTCGTGGCTGCTCTCGGTCGATTTGTCGAACTTTCGGCGCGCGCCTAGGCGAAGGGGAAGCCAGTCAGCCTGTGGTGGCGTCATCGTTACAGCAGCAGTAAGTAGCTGTTAGCTGTAATATATAAACGAACTGCGCGCTCGACTGGCTGTGTTACGCGCGCGCCAGAGAGTGTGTGAGAGCAGCGTACAAAGTGTGCATGCATAGAGAGCACAACGCTGTCGCGGCATCGGCTGGGGCGGCGAGTGTGTGTGATAAGGTGAGGAATCCAAAGGCAAGGAATAGAGCCCCGAACCAACCATCAAGAGCAGCAGCACACAGCCAGCAGCACGTAGCTACAACATCAGCTATGAGCGCTTAGTGAACAGCTGATGCGTTTACGTTTTTTCAAATGCTACTATGAGGTGAAACAACGGTAAACAGCCGCTGCTGAAACATACTAAGAACCAAAACTGTGTGCTTATTTCTTTTTTTTGTTATTTCGCTTGTATTGTTTTGCTCGCGCTATTCGCCGGCTGGACCTCGTCGTCTGTCTGTCTGTCAGTCCGTTTGACCGCCACTGCGACTATCCAACTATCGTGTGAGCTCGTGTGGATTCCCCGACTTGATGACAAATACGTCTATGATGCGCGGTGCCTAGTTGGTTTGTCGGCAGACTAGCAGCCTTCGCGGCGCGATCTCAACGTATATTTTGTGTAATTTTTTATGCATAGGGTGAATTTCTTGGTGACAACAATGACGTAGAGCTTTGGTCGCGTCGGCGAATTCTTATTGAATTAGTTCGATCTGTAATAGATACCTGCTTCATGCGGCTTATTCATTCCTTATTAGCTTAGCTTTTTGTATATTTTTCCAATCATTTTAAGTAATTTTTGTTTTGCCTCTTGCAGGAAGATGTGACGCTCTTCTCACGCTAACTGATCCGAAAAGACGTCAAAGCACGGCTTCGATTGGATTTGGCAATCATCCCAACACTTAATCAAGGAAGAGGCAGCTAAGCAATGAATGTTACAAACAACCAGGCGCCCGAAGATTCACAGAACCCACAAAACAATTTGTACGCCGCCAGTAGAAGAATCAATCATAACCAAAACTCCGCTCTGGCTCACGTGCAGGCCAATAATCAAAGTACTGAAGAAGAACAGGAGCAAATTGTCACTTCGACTTCGTGTGAGACGCATATAAGCGCTACCGGTCATTTGCCGCGTCTGGAGGCATTGATCACATCGCCGGCGCGCATCACCAGCTCCACCGGGAATGACTGCAGCTCCTCACCGCAGCGTGTGTTGTCCACGACGTGCAGCAGTAGTAGCAGCGGTGGTAGCGGCAGTGGCCGACAATCGACGCATAATCGCGGCGACATAACAACGGATGCCTCCAGCGAGGATGAATCCCAATCGCCACAACAAACGACGCAATCCTCTTTCATTGGCCGAAGCGTATTGAAACCGAGCGCACGTGCGGTCCACGCATTTGTTCGCGCAATACCCACTGCGTTGGACTCGCTGATGCCGACAACTTCTGCTGCAGCGGCGACACGTGCAGCAGGCGTTCGAAGTGTGGATACGGAACTCATGCGCGCAGTTTATACTGCGAGCAGCAACAACAATAACAAAATTAGTATTAGTAATATAAGTAACGGTAGTTTAGAGCATACGAACGGCGACAGCGACAATACGAACATGGTTGCGCGCGAACAGTCAACCACAACTGTGGCCGCCAGCGGCGACGCCAATGCTGTGGGTCATGCCACGAGTGTGGGGGCTGGCAGTGGGCAAGGTCAAGCAGTGCAAACCGAGCACAACACCGAAACACACAAGATCATACTGAAATTACCGAAACCAAATGTTGCGAGCATTAATACACGCTCCAGTGAATCTCATAGCAATACGGACACGTTGAGCGGCTGTGACGGCATTGCCGGCTATAGCGGAGCCGAATCGACACGCAAAGTGGAGCCGCTCAAAATCAATTTACACGCACACAACAGCAGTAGCAGTACGAATATAGTTCCAAAAATCACAATTAAACCGATCGTGAAGAAGCACAACGATGTAGCATCCTCGGATTGTTCATCCTCAGCCGAAGATGAGGCGGTGGTTGAGACTGGCAGCACACGGCTCGGCGCACAAATACCCAAATTGACTATAAAAGCGTCAGCAGTCGTCAGTGGCGGCAGCGATGAGCCACATATTGTTCCCAAATTGACAATACGTTCTGCCAATGACAGCTCGGACAGCTCAATTGTACCCAAGCTGACAATCAAAATGTCCGATTCGCAAAGCAATTTGCATAACAATAGTAGCATCAGTCAGTTGTCACCAGCCACTTCGGGCGTGCATAGTGCGGTTACAGCAAAATCACATACAGACCACTCACCCCCGCCATTGCCGAAGCTGACCATAAAAACATCGCTGGACGGCACGAGCGAGTCGATAATGTCGACAATATCGCCGGCATCCTCATCTTCGTCATCGTCGAGCACATCCTCGTCCGCAGGTTTGCCGTCCCTATCTTCTGCCAACGCCTCATGCACTGTATCAAATGCCACCGCCTGTTCTGTGCCTAAGTTGACTATAAAAACATTGCCGCCCAAGCATGAGGAGCTGGTGCCGAAGTTGACCATCAAAACAAGCGCAGCTGGCGCCTGTGTGAGTACATCAGCGGCCAATGCTTCTACGGATACAAATGCTGAGGCTATTGAAACTGGCAGCTGTAGCAGTAAAATACCTAAACTTACGATCAAAACCGGTCAGGAACACGCGGTGATTATAACGCAACACAACGACACCTCCAACGCGCAAGTCATACCTAAGTTGACGATCAAAACTAAATCACTGGAAGCAGAGGAGTCGCTCAGCGACCTAAGCGAGGACCCAGCACCGCCTCCGGAGAAGATACCGAAGATTACAATAAAGACGCATGAAACTGCAACGGAGGTTACGACAACCAAGTTCTGCATTAAGACCATGCAGCAGCAAACGGAAACGGAACACGCACACACCATTCCGAAGCTGACCATCTCAATGGCAAATTTGGAAGGCGGATCAGCACCCCAATCACCTAAGCAGTCGCCGCTGGTGGTGCGGCAGTTGTCGAGCAGCTCACGCAAGCCAGAGTCGCCAGAGCGGCTGCCCAAGCTAATGATATCTCGCCAGGATACCAAAGGTAGCAACTGTGATGCCACTGTAGAAAAAGTCGTGCCCAAGCTGACGATTAAAACCAATAGCCAGGACATTGGCGGCAGCGAATGTAAGGAGAAAATCCCCAAATTGACTATCAAATCGATACCCAGCGTGGAGCAGCAATCCTCAGAGGAGAGTGATGAATGTATGAGTGGCGAATCTTCACCGCCACTGTCCTCAGCAGAGGACGCAGCCGCCAACAAAGTGGTGCCCAAGCTAACCATTAAGAATCTTTCGTCGCCCACCTTGCGAATGAAAGCTGTGCTGGAGGATAAATCGCAACGTAATGCGTCAAAAAAGTGTGGAAAATCCAGCGACCCAAAAAACATCGCCGTCACCGACATAAACGCCAAAAGCGGTTGCGGCGTGACGCAAAGGTCGCTGGATACCCAACAAAGTAGGGAGAGTAGTGCGCGCGAACAGTTGGTTAACGGTTGCGAATCGAGCAGCAGTCAAGAGTTCTGCGGTTTCAACAATGACAACACAGCGTTCGCTGAGGAAGAGGATATACAGGAGCCGCGTCGCAACTCTGACGACATGGACATCGATGAGGGTTTACAAAACCACGATCCACAGGTATTCAATAATATTTTTCATGTGAGCAATGGTGACTCGCTGCGCATGGATAATACCGAAGAAACGGAGCTAATGCAACCGCCGATGTCCGCCGACGATCTATCGAACGTAGTGGATACCGTCGATTTGACATCGTCGCCATCACCGGGCTCATCGCCTGCACACTTCACCTACACCGATGCTGATCCGCAAGTAAGCGATGCGCAGCAGCCACCGCAAGCCACCATACTAATGGAGCGTCTACAACGTGAAATGAGCGTCATACAGACGGCGCCGTCGTTGGATAACAGGCTTCTGCTTAACCAATTAAATTCGCCGCTGAACGCCAGCAAATACGGTGCACCACCGCCGCTGCAGCCGAAACCATCACAAACACAACAACACGCCCACCAGCAACAGCAACAGTTACAGATTCAAAAGCAACCGCATCTGCCACAGCAATTAAGCAATAGCATGAAATATCCACAACTGACAGAACGGCTAATGGCCAATGGAGCACGAATCCATCAAAATTCAAACATAATGCACACAGTCAGCAATGCTGCGACGCCTATGAATAACACAGCGCTGACAAATCAGTTGGCACCGCAAATGGAAAAGGTAATAGATTCCATTGAGATACTGGACACACCTGAAGGCAGTCCGCGTTTGACGCTGGACGATACCGCTGCGTTGCCCGAAAATCTGCACATAAACAACGCAGATGGTTTGATAAATAATGCCACGATCAGTGGAGCTTATGAGGAGAACAGCGCGGATATACTGAGACGCAACAATAATGTTTTGGATAATAACTCGGCAGCAGATGAAATGAATAACATGAACTTGAAGAGACACGCGAACACAATGTCCACTTTAATGATGGAAAACGATGCGGAGGGGCAGTGCATTGAGGTGAGTTTTCGAAAAGTACAGTTGAGGAAGGTTTGATTTTTACTGGCAAACTATTGGACTCAAATTCTATAGCGTGATCCATTTTGAGGTTCCCTTCCTTTTTTAAAGAAAAAAAAAACACAGAAAATTCAAATTTAATGTGGAATGTTTATTATCATTCGAAAGAACATTCTTTGGCATTTATTTTTTGAAGATTATCTCTTTCAAATGTTGGCCGCGGCTACGTCTCAGTTGGTCCATCCGTTGAGTCCAATTTTCGGTAACTCATTCGTGCATTTCGACTGGTAACTGTCGAATGACACGCGTGATGTTTTGCGCCAAGGCCTGAATCGAAGCGGGATTGTACGCATAATCTTTAGACTTTACATATCGCCACAGGAAAAAGTCTAACGATGTGATATCACACGATCTTGGTGGCCAATCGCCGTCTTGTTGAAACCAAATGTCGCCGAGAGCACGAGTTTCAATTTCAGGCATCAAATAGTCGGTTCTATTGGTTGATGGTGTTCCGAATAGTACGCTCAGTAGGCCAATTATGTTGATCACAAGTTGAGCGAAGCGCGCGAAACACATTCTTTGCAGAACCTGAATTTTCGGAATAAAGTTGAACCTTTTGTAAACCTTGTTTAGGCGTAAGTCTTTCCATGATGAAATGCCGAACAATACTGAACATAAATAACATGACACACGCGTGATCTGTCAAAAAAAGACTATTTAAATAGGTATCTTTACTTGGATCACCCGTTTTAAGGTTTATTGGAGAGGTTTTTGTATTTTATTTTATTTTTGTACATGTATCTTCATACTTATCATAACCTGGCATGTGCAATTTTATATCTTTGCATAGATCACACCGAATAAAGTTCGTCGCATTGATAGTGAATCCCACACCATGGCTACACTTACCATACTGACGGACGATGAGTCATCTAATACGAAATTGATCACTACGTCGCCCACCATCTTCGGCGGCAATCATCATGTTGTGGACATCAGCAACGAGGTGGCACCAACCGAGAACTCCACCGTCACAATGGATCTCTCCTCTCCGAAGACATCGCTTCATCGTCCGCGCAAACAACGGCATGAACATCTCTTGGCCATACCGCTGGACGAAGAGGACACACTGCAGTACAACTTAAACCACGACGCAGCCGCTAATTGCTACACATCGAATGAACATTTAGCGTCGTCGGCGAAAGCGGTTGCTGCCAGCACAGAGCAATTGACTACACCGAACACTCCAGTCGGCATCAAGCGACGCGGTCGTCCAAAAAAGAATGCTCTCAATAGTGCTGCGACAGCTGCAGCTGTTACAACGCACGCAGCCGCCGCCGCCATGTTAAATGACACAAGCAGTATTGGTGCTGTCGACACACCGGGCACTGATGGCGTGTCGAAGTCGCGCCGTGTGGAGCTGTTACGCAAACGTCTCGCTATCGATATGGTGGACGCCGAGCAGCCATCGGAGGAACAGGACAGCACAGTAGCGGCAGTGGATACGGAGGCTTCGAAGCGAGAGCGCATAGTGCGCACGGGTGCAAGAACTTCGCGGCGTACCATTTTACCAGGTGGCGCTTTAACACCGACAACGAAGATCAAGTCAAGCGGTAACAATGGCGAGGTGCCTATAAAGGGTCGTAAGCGTTCGGTGAACGCCTTGTTGGGCGGCAGCGCTACTATTGCCTCAACAAACACTACAATCACCAATTCGGTGTCTGACAGCATTATGTCCGTCCTCAATCACTACGGTGGTTCTAATTCCAGCATCTCTTCTGCCTACTCCAGCAGCTCAATGAGCTCCGCCACTGTAACAACAGCTGCTGGCCCTCCAGTGAACGCCGGTGTGCCTACTACCATTTCGTTGGCGACACAAATTGACTTGACCATGTGCTCATCCTCGTCGTCAGGCAGTAATGGCAGCACAACCGCCACTATGACCACAGCTGGCGGCAGCATTGCCGCTAGTAGCGGAGCAATTAGTGTCGCAGTACAAAATCAAAGCAGCAGTTCAATGCTGCCACCTGCAACTATACTCTCATCGTCGGATCCCGTGCCGGATGTGGTCTTCAGACCAAACGACTTCTCTTCGCTTATGGCAACCCAACAGCTGCGGGCAGCGCAGTGCAACACAAGCTTGGAAACGGATCTGCTGCGTATGCAGACAACACTAGACGGCGCCAAATTCGATATACGCGATGATGACTCTACCAGTCAAGTTGGCGGCGCGTTCGGCAGCGGTGCGGATATATCTGGCGGTAAGCATTGTTACTAGGCTTGCCGAAAGATGTCTCATGTAAAACCTGTGCTTATAAATATTTCGAATTTACTATTTTAGAAGACTCTAATACAAGTTCAATTTCCACACCCGTTGGTCGCGGGCGTGGTGGACGTGGTCGCGGACGTGGCTCGGGACGCGGTAGCGGCCGCGGTAGTCGCGCGCATCGCTTGGGCCGTGGCGCCAGTGCTGTTGCCAAACAAATTGCGCTCAGTCGGCCACGCTGTGTCGGCGGCCTCAAACATATGCCCGATCCAGAGCGCATGAAAGGCCTCTTTAGTCCGGTAAGTGGCTCGTTGAATATGCTAAAATTAAATGCTTTTTGCTTGCAAACTGCATTTGTACGCTTTAATATCAATTATATCATCAATTTATGTTTTTGTATGCATTTTATTGCGCTGAATTCTCGCATGGTCAAAGCGCACAAAGCACATTATATACAAGTAGTGGCAGTGCACACACATATGCACATATGTATATATTAGCTATGTCGTGTGCGCAACGCATTGAATCGACGAAAGGGGCGTGCATTTTCTGCGAGGTTTCCAAGTTCCGACGGCACACAAACGTCAACAGTGCCGCCGCACACCACACACCACTTCACAAGCATCCGAAAAAGCAACTGAAAAAGTTCAGGTGTGCAAAGCAGCTGCTTTTTGTGCTTTTCTTTGTTCATGGACTGTGTTGTATTACGCTTGTACTCACCACGTTGCAAATATTGCATTGTAATGTTTGGGTGTGTGTGTGTATGTAAACCCAAATATGGGGTTTCTTGTAGAGTGGTGAATTGGCAAATGCGCGTCTTCCCCAACTACGAAAATTTCCCCTGCGTCGTTTCGCCAACAAAGTGGGGTATAAACGAAACCCCGCTTGTGCTCATCGCTTGGTTTTTTTTGTTTTTTTTTTTCATAGCAGTCAGCTGAAGCGATCGCCAGTGAACTAGAGTAGCAATTGCCCTATTAGTAACTGTTAATGTTACAATGCTTTTACAACACATTTACAATTAAGGAATTAGTCAAGCAACTGCGGCGTTTATTTACATACATACACATCTGTATTTCATTTCAGCCATTATTCAGCGGGTTTTTAATTTAAAATAACATAATTAGCAATAAAATAAATTATTGTGCTAAAAAAAAAAAGTAATTTCACTAAATATTTTCTGGCTAATTTTTTTTTGTAGAAAATTATTTTTATTTTTTATATATTATTTATTTTTCAACAATTTTTCATTATTTTTTAATTAAAAAAATTTATGTGATTTATGAAATAATTTTCTATGATATTTTTTATGATCAAATTTACCATACATACTAATTTGTCATTGCTTAATTTAGTGCACTATATACTTTCACTTGAAATTATTTTTTACCTAAAAAATTTACTTAAAATCCTTTTCCAATACCTCTCTTCACAGTCCCCACAAGTCTTCGAAGAAGATACACGCATGAGCGCTGATTTAAGTCAAATCCAAATGCCGCTGCAATCGGAACCAGCAACGCCTATAAGGTAAAAACACATACATACGTGCATATAAGGGATTTTTTGCAGTATATATGTATGTGTAAACTAGAATTATTGCTAATTACTTTTTTTTTGTTGCAAATTTATAGGCAACCCGATTTTCTTAATAATGACGAGTCTCAGTCCTCCGTGGTTAGTACGAGCAGCATTTTGGATCCCAACACTGTGGCCGCTGTACAAAATGGCAGCGCTATTAAACGCCCAAAGAAGAAGAAAATGGAAGTTTGCGTTGCTGAAGAGTGAGTACACACATGCACTTGGCCCGACAATAAAATCCATCCAATTGAATATTTGTGCTCTATTTTCAGCGCTGAAATTACAGTTGCAGCTATCGCTGAGTATGACTGGCCGCCACCGAAGGGCTGCTGTCCATCGAAAAATCGCGACACTTTTATGATTCAAGAGCAGGTCGCCTTGTATTTGGGCATTAAAAGCTTTAAGCGGAAATATCCTGATCTGCCGCGTCGCCAAATCGACATGGAGGAGCGCAATTGGCTGCAAGAGAAGGGTCTCGTGTCGGAGCGTATGTGCGACTTGGGCATCACAGCCGTCTGGGCATCCGACATACTCGACATTATGTATACCGACTTCTATGAGAAATACGAGGAGTACAAGGATTTCATCAGGCAAAAGCATCTGCGCGAAATCGAGGCGAAACAAAAAGCACTAGGTCTCAACGTGACTGGCCGTGGACTGCAAGCGCGTGAACGTGCATTGCTTTCCGCCAGTAAATGGAATTCCTACTTCAATAGAAGGTAACCACAACAACAAGACAGTAGGTAATTAGAACAAAAAGCACTAACACTTGTTTTGTATTGCAGCCGCAAGGAGGAACGTTTAGCATGCCTGGACTTGCAGACGTTAACGGTGAATGTGCCATTGCCTGCAACAGCGCCCACTACAACACTGGTGAACCGCACAATAGCCGAGGCAGTGACAGAGGCCGCCAAAGTCGAGAACATACCTGAGCCACCAACACTATTGCAACCGCGCATCACTACACCGCCACGTGACGTGGACGCCAGCTACCCAGTAGCTTTAGTGCCCGGTCAGTACAGCGCAAAATATCGCCAGTACACGCCATTTGAGTTGAGGTAAGCCCAAAAACGACAAATACGCAAAGCGCAGTTTGTTAATAAACTTATGTTTTCATTCTACAGTTGCTTCCCGCTAAATACGGTGCTGCAGGACCCACGTTTGCTGGTTGAACGTACGTCACAACACACACAAAAGCCAGCGGCACCGCCAGTGTTAGATGACAAGAAGTTAGTAGTAGACCAACTTAACGTCGCAGACGAAAAACCTTTCACTGAAGCAGCGAATACAAAAGCCACCATCGGCGATTGCAACGACGAGCACATAACGTCGGCCAACACACTGCGTCGCAGCGTGCGCTCACGCTCTGCCGCGAAAGTTAATTGTGACGGCATGGATGCCGCAGAAGAAGCCGATAGTGCAACAGAGTCGGCCATGTCCACTTCGGGCAGTGAAAGTGAAAGCGAATCGGTAAGTTTCACACAGTTTCACAGTTCACGTGCAAGTGTTTAATGCAATCACTGCTTGCTTTTATAGGACTCGGATAGCGACACCGATAGCTCAAACAATGATTCCTGCTCGTCCACGGAAGATGAGGGTGCTGCTACACACAAGTGCGGCGTGTGCCAGCGTGCACAGCAGCGCAATATGAGAAACCTGCCCGAGGTCTTCATAAGCTGCTACACATGCCGACGCAAAGGTAGTTAAGCGCCAATTATGCTGTTTAATATTTACTAAATTCAATTAAATATTTGAAATTTACAGTTCACCCGAGCTGCATTGAGATGCCTTACCGCATGGTGGCGCGCGTGCGCAACTACAATTGGCAATGCGCCGACTGCAAGTGCTGCATCAAATGCAAAGGAAACAAGGATCAGAATAAAATGCTGTACTGCGAGCAGTGCGATCGCGGCTTCCACATTTACTGCTTGGGCATCAAAGCCGTGCCAGATGGTGTGTAAAGTTAAAATATATACACAATGTCTCTGCCATTTATAACAATTACCTTTTTGCTCCTTTTCATTTAAACAGTACGTTGGAGTTGTGATCGTTGTAGCGTTTGTATACGTTGTGGCGCCACAAAACCGGAGGGCTTGCCACAGCAACCAAACATAATTTCGCCGAATGGCGAGAAAGTCAAACAGATCAAACACAAAAAGGTGAAATGGATTAATGAATATCGCATCGATCACATTACGAAATTGCGCGAGCACTGTTCCATGCTGTGTGTGCCATGTGGACGCGTCAAGAACGTGAAGCGCGTGCAAATCGCCAGTCCATGCGTCAGCAGCGTAACAACAAGCGCTGGCAGTGTCACGCCACAACCAGTATCGCCGCCCAACGCCACACCACAAAAGCAGCAGTTCAAAAGCCTAACACAAACGCAAGCAACAACCGTTGCCGCTAGCGCAACAGCAGTTGGCAACGCAGCTGCGGAGATCGCGGCCGCGAATGCGAACAAGACGAACGCAGCCGGCACGCTGCCGCCGCCACCGCCCGTTGTTGCCTGAGTGGGGGTGATACGTTACTGCCCCAAGCGTAGTAGCCTGAACGACAGCGATATGTAGTAGCAATAAAGTGCGGCCGTGTAGGTGATGCCGTGACAACTAAACCAGCAATGGTGCCGAGCAACACTCGCAAGTTGAAAGCAGAAATTAACATTTGGCATGCGATTCAAGGTAGTGAAATGTTTTAACGCGTGTAAAGCATATAAGTGAAGAATTGATGACAAACTTAACGCCTTTTCATAAACATAACACTTATTTTAGCATTTAAGTACAACAAACATTTAATTCATACTTTTTTAATTAAGTTAAATGTGTAGTTTCGTTTAATAACTAACTATAAGCTAAATTTATAATAAAAACAAACAACTCGATTCTCCTATGCTACAACGTTAGGCTTAAAGTGTTAATTTATCAAATGTATTATAGTGCAAACAAAAATTAATGAACATAGACGTAGCAGGCAAATGTTTACGTACATTTCAGTAAGAAACTAATTCAACAAATTAACTAAGGAGTTATCGTCGGAGTTTGCTGCATGCAAACACAATCATGTATGTAATATGTCAAATAATGCACATAAGAGTTGATTTAAGTTCTAAATAAGCTGAAAACAACAAAAAACAAACATTTTACCAGCATAACAAAATAAAATAAAATTTAATAAATATCAAACTAAACTATATAAGGCGTGAAATTCACTTTGTATACAACACTAATAACTGTTTAATAATGACAAAATATGTATTTAAATATATACGCGTATAGTTTTTAATTGAAAGTCAAAAATAAGGCGTTGAAAATCGTTTCCAAAGTGGCGGAGTGGCAAATAATATAAGTATACTCAAGTTTATTGCGTAGCGACATGTATAAAAGAAAAACACGTAAATTTAACACCGCTCACAGCACTCTATTTGTATTTGTGTTCCTCATCTTTTATATTGCATAATTCAATTTTTTTTTCTTGTAAATATTAGCCGTATATGTTTTCGTACACGCCACGCTTTAAGTGTACACACTTGCCCATACGAAGTGTTAATTAAACAACCAATGCATCTATGCAAATATAATATTTCAATGTGCGCGAATTTCTGCAATTTTATTGTTACGTTAGCCAACCGCGCTCCGCCGCCGCGGTTTATATACATACAATTTATTTTACATTTGTAAGTTGAAGTTAATAACATCTTACAAAAAATGCGTGCAAACATTATAGTTGATTCCTACAGGAGTCGCGTAAACTTATTTTTTATTATTTAAAAATTAGTTTTAAATCTAAATTAAGCCGGAAAAGGAGAAAACGAATATTAAAACAGTAAATTAAATACATAAAGGCGCTACGCGCGCCTCAGCTTTTGAGCGTGTTGTGCGTTGACATGCCTGGCAGGTTCATTAACTGTAATAAAGTAATTAATTTACCCAAATAAATGCTATGAAGAAACTATATTAATGATATGATGATGAATATAATAAAAAATAAAATATGCAGTTATTTTTATACAATAATTTATTTTGCCAAAAATGTGAATATTGGAATTGGTATTAAGAATTTTTAACTGTCGCACTATTTATTGCAACTACTGCACGCATTTGTGTATAATTTTCACTATTTAAAAAAAACAGATCGCACCAGTTTTATTTAAAATAATTTTGCATAATTTATATGCTTGAAATAGTCACACAGTCTAAGGCAGACTCCAAGAGCGTTAGCAGTCCGTGCCCGGTACTCCACAACAGCACGAGCGGTCTCACCTTGCACTTTCTGCGATAGCAACGTATTTTCTTTTCAAGCTCCTTTCCTTTACGCGCGCACACAATGTCATCCCGACGCATGACCAACGTGGGACAATAGTCGTGCGCGCCATCTGCAACCAAAATCACACGTTCGTAAGTTACGCCCATCGCCTGACGCTTCGTCAGATACCTTTCCAAAAGACTGCGTTTGCATAGGTTAGGCGGGCTTAGCCGGCATTTGGCATGCTGCAACGCCTCCACTCGCATACCGTCACTGGCAACAACAAACGATGGGTTGGTGAAAATCGCTTTGATGCATTCAGTCAACTGATGGTTGGCGAGCCAATCTTTGATGAAAATGCTGCTGCAGTCGCTGATAATGATAATGTCGTATTTGGGATCACAAGATTCGTAGAGATGCTTTATGAAGTCCACAATACTCGGCACTGGCGGTATGGCTGCAATAAGGCGACGTAGTTCGTTCGATGAGTAACCTGCTGCGCGTAATTCTGCCAATAATGTGTTCAAATATGCAATACTTCCTTCTTTTATCTCGTTTATTTCCTTGGGACGTCGGTATACCGGCAGCAAGTTGCGCAGAAGACAGGTGGAATCCATCGAAGTTAAAGTCTCGTCGAAATCGAATACCAGTAGACGTCGTTTGGGCGGTCCAAAAACCATTTTTAGCGTTATTAATGGGTATTCAAAGCAAAAGTCAAAACTAATTTTCTATATAAATTTTGGTGAGTAAATGTCTATACATATTTTGAATATTATATTGATATTCGATTTGATGTTTGATTTTTACAATTTTGTGATAACTGCAGCATCGGAACCGTAGAAGTATATGAATATTTTATGTCTCTCAGTTTGAGTCAGAAGAGAGTGTTAGGACGGCTGCAGAACAAATCTACGAACTAGACAACTAGTACTAGCATTAATCAATGGTAGAACAATACGAAAACAACTTGATGTACTAAAAAGAGTATACGCCTATAAAAAAATCAAAATGCCTTCAGAAACTAGAGACACTGACAACTTAAGCGCCTTTAATTCGGTTCCGTTCCGTCCCACGACAGTCAGGTCTATACCAGATTTTTAGGCAGCCAAGAACCCAACTCGGCACCATTCCTCAACATTATGTAAGAGCTATTGTTTACCACTGCAAAAACAACGTATGCAGGCTAGACCTATAAACAACGTGACTCATAGAAATATATTTTTGAAATATAAACCGTTAAATTTATGTCTAGGTATATGCTACATAATGTGTGTGAACACCTTGTTAAGTATATATATTAATGACCACATTGAAAAATAAGCAACCCTGTGTGCATGCCTTTTTAATCGACTAGCAAAGTTGAACTGTCATTCTTGTTCTGCCTTCGTATTTGTGGAAGTCAAATAGAATATTTTCTGGAATAGAATTGTGAAAATATTGTGTGAAATATTTATCGTTTGTCAAAATAATAGTTCCAGGAAGAACTTAAAATAGAAACAAACAATTGTAAATACAAGTTTTATATAAACTTGGTATTTTGTATGTACACGAGCAACGTCGTAACACAGGCATAAGTAGTGAGGGGTTCATAGTCGGAAAAAATTTGTTTTCAACAATGGTGGACGCTGCACGCCAAATGCTGGACGAGCTGATGGGTCGTAATAGAAATTTGCATCCATCCGAAGCGCCGCGTAAAGTTAGTTGGGATGACCCGGACGTGAGTACTTTAAATTTTCTTGTAGGCAGAATATGTACATACCATATATTGCTGCCATTTTTTAGTTCGTAGCAAAATCAATAATACATGCGAAGGATTAGACGTAAACGAATTAGTACTGTAAGTTTTTTTTTTTTTGATTTATGATTCGTTTCAGTTCTGTCAATATTATATAGTGAAATTTTGTCCACATGATCTCTTCATTAATACGCGCGCAGATTTGGGACCATGCACCCAAATACATGACGACGAAGCAAAACGTTTGTATGAAGAAGCACGTCCATCACCTCGTAAGCGCTCTTACGAGGATGAGTTTTTGAGATTTTGTAACAACATGTTAAATGATGTCGATCGCAAAATCCAAAAAGGCAAACAGCGTTTGCAATTAATGCATCGTGATCACCCCGCACCTTCTATACCACTTTCAAAGTACCAAGAACAGTTGAACAATATGAACGCACGCATTAAAAAATTACTCTCCGAGGCCGAAGAGGCTGGCATACGTGGTGATGTTGATCAGGCCAAGGATCTTATGGCACTTTGCGAGCAATTAAAAGACGAGAAAGAGGCGCTCGTGGCACAACACGAGCAACAACAGCAAATACACCATCAGACAAATGGCTTATTGAAGGAAAGCTTGACTACGCCACCACCGGAGAGTAATGCAGACAAATCAGACGGTGAAAAATCACCAAGAAGTGAAGATGGCGGTAGCGGCAGCGAAAAGAAAGTACTGCCTTGGATGCAGGATCTGGGTACATTGCCTGAGAAGCAAATGGAAGTATGTGAAATCTGCGGAGCCTTTCTGATAGTTGGCGATGCGCAGCAACGTATTGAAGACCATCTGATGGGGAAACAACATTTGGGTTATTCGCGTTTGCGTAAAGCCGTAGAGGAAATACACGAACGTAGACAAAAGGATCGCGAGGAGGAGGAGCGCAAAAGGCGCGAGGAACGTGAACAACGCAGCGCACAGCGCAGCACCTACAGTCACCATAACGAACGTAGACGGTAAATACGTTGTTTTTTTTTTTGGAATAGTATGCCGTTACGTACAGTAAATACAAATCTTAAATCTTTCCATTGCAGTGAGCATCATGATCATCGTGAGCGCGACCGTGACCGTGAGCGCGAGCGTGAGTATCGCGCACGCTCACGTGATCACAGCAGCCGGCATTCGGCCGACAAACATCGACGTAAGTTGTAAATTCTTTTTTGCAGACATATACTCACAAACATTGTTTTGCTTTAATTAATTTTTTTTATATATTTTTTTTTTATTAACTTTCAGACCATCACAAAGCCTCGCATCGCAGGCGTTCACACTCGCGCAGCAGCCATCGACGCAACAGCAGGGATCGTCAAAGTCGCAGCCGTAGCCGCAGTCGCAGTCGGTATTAATTACACGCATTTGTACGTGGCGGATTGAGGTACTCTCCCCAAAAACAAAACAAAAACAAATTTAATAAACTCTAAAAATCTAGCCCAATAAATAAAATGAATAATCTCAAGTTGTAAAACAAGGTGAGTACAAACGTATTTTCAACAGTATATATATTTAAGCATATAAACTTACATACACATATTTTCGAACTATCAAAATGCATACATACATATATTTCCGAAGCGAATGCGTACAGTAAATGTCATAAGGGAAATGAATATATCTAATATTATGCAGGCTTTTCTCACTTTTGCGGTTAGAGTTGGTAGTGACGAGAGTTTTGATTTGCGTTTCGCCTAGCGTGGACATAATGGTTTTTGTATGGTACATAAGCATTTGTAGTGGACTTCTAAAAGCAAAATCAAAATTTAGACACAGCACTTTGTTTGATAGACTTGCTAATTAACTTAGCACACACTAAAAAAAACTTAGCATTAGCTTAAGTAAGACATTTGCTGCGTTTGAAGAAGCGCGTTTAATAAAAGAGCTTAAATATATTCAAAAAAAAAAGTTTGGCACTAAATAACCTACAAAGTTACATTAATTTTAGTTTTTGCTCTATCGAGATAAAAAAAAAAAAACTAAATCTTTAAATGTTTAATTGCTAGGCGAAAAGTTGTTGCATTGGCTGAAACCCGCAACACACGTCGGCTAATTCACTTCATTCGACTCTACACTACGCTGGCTGCTTCTGCTCGTGGCATATTGCCGTAGGTCCTGTATCTGTCATAAACTAGTCTCTGTTAGCTGCCAGCGTTATTTCGAGGTACATTTCAAGCAAACAATCTAAATAAAAATTAGTTTTATGAACAAAAAAGCTTATTTGCAAGTTAGTTGGTTTTAATTTTTGAGTTTTTTGTTTAACTTTTCATAGCGTGAGTAAAAACACACGTAAACGCATACGTTTGAGAACGAGTAACTGAATGTCCTCCAGTACCCAGTTCAGTTGCGCCTACAAGACCAGTCCCCTTCAAACAAACTCGATAACAAGGTACTTTTTTCAATTTTTTGGAATATTTCTAATATGTAGTTTAAAGATTAAAATCGTTAAACAGTTGTGATACAGAAAAAAAAAAAAAAAAAAAAAAAAACAAATTAATACTCGTATTTTTCGTACTATATGTTCTGGAAGTCAACATGTGAAGATTACCATACCAATGCTATTTGTAGATTTTAAGTGACCCGCGTACGCACTCATATTCGTACGCCAGTTCGCTACCACTTCGTACGCTCAGTAAACTGCGCACACATTCACCCACACCGAGGTAATTGTTTTAACCCTTATTACAAAAAATCAAATTTTGCAAATTGCGTCTTAATTCTTATTTAGTAGGAGAAAAAAGATTTTGTGTGTTGAGAAGTTATAAAATAATATGGTGGAAGTGAAGGGATTGAAGTTGATGTGTGATTTATAGTGGAAAACTCAGTTTTTTCATACCCGCTTTACAAAGGTAACAAAATAATTTATGATACTACGGTTAACTTATGTTTTTCTCGTATAATTTTAAATAAATAGTCGTTAAGTTATAAAAACTACAAAATTATTCATCAAAAAAAAAAATAATACATTAATTATGCAAGAACAAATATTAATAAACAATTTTAGAATTAAGTTGCTTAAAAACAATTATTTCAATATTTCGCCGCACAACACACTCCATACAAAACGTGTCACGAAAGTTTTTTTTCTTTGAAGTAAGACGCTACTTTTTCAATGCAGCAGTACGAGTATGTACATAAATAGCGTTTTGCGTACCAAAAAACATCAGAAATTATGTTGGCAGTCTTACATTTGCTACAAAATGTTTGAAGTGAGGCAAAACGCGAAATGCAACTTAAATTTCGTTTTACAATTTTTGTACAATTAAAAGTTCTGGTGTCGAGTACTCCTACACTCGTAAAGTTACGGTTAAATTTTTTTTTATTTTTTCGTTTTTATTTTTTACTTTTATTTTATTTTTTTTCTTCTAATTTGATTTTCAAGTTTTTTTATATTTTTTAAAATTTTTTTTATTTTTATTTTATTGATATTTTTTAAAATTTTTTTTATATTTTGTTTGTTTATTTTATTTTATTTATTTATTAGTTTTGTTTTGTATATTCTACTTTTTTAAATTTATTTTTATTTATTTTATATAGTTTTTTTTAATTAATTTAATTTATTTTTTTTTATTTTTTAATTTTTTTATTTATTAATTTTTTATTTATTTTATTTAGTTTTTTTTTATTTATTAATTTTTTTTGTACTTTTTTTTTATATATTAATTTTTTTTGTACTTTTTTTTTTTTTTTTATTTTTTTTTTTTTTTTTTTTATTTTTTTTTTGTACTTTTTATTTTTTTTTTTTTATTTATTTTTTATTATTATATTTTTTTTATTTATTAATTTTGTTAAATTTATTTTATTTGTTTTTTTTTTTACTTTTTTTTTGTATTTAAAAATCGTTTAATCGTTAAATTTTTTTTGTAAATAACTGAATTTTTAAATTATTCAGTTTGTCTCGTGTGTAAACACACGCATGTTGCATACTTTACTGCGCACATTTGCTCACCAGCTCACTTTGCTCAAAAAACTTTCGTGACCAACGCTGGCACAGCGCATCCTTCCTCATCGTTTACCTCTTCTATTCTCCCTAATACAAGTGTAAGGCTTAATATAATAAAAAATTTGTGTGATGGTATTTTGTTTAGTCATGAATTCTGTTTGCATTGAGGCATTCGCAAAACTTTCACACAACTGTGCATTTTTACAGAAACCCGCCCGCTACAAGAACATAACGCCGTCACGGGCGCTGCGTTACTTTGCACAAACAACGGCACTAATACGTGAACAATCAGCAACTGCTTTCATTGTTGGTGCAAGACGGCACATGTCAACCAGCCAAGCAGTCGAGGCGCCATCAACTCATTGCAGGTAACAGACACCTTCCAAAAATCAACATTTCTTTCAAAAACACAAACAGCTGCACACAAACGCCAAGCGTAACCGCCACACCAGCCCAACACACAGCCAGCGTTTTGCAAGCAGCAATATATGCATGTGCAACTCAGCTAAGCAACAGCACATGTTTGCAACAATAATAATAGCGCAAGGCGAACCGCTGGAATGAGACCGACCGCAACCGACTGCCGTTGTGTTAGGCCGCAAAGTACGCCGTTAAACGAGGTGATTTCTTAAACTATTTAGTTTTATGCTTGAGTTTTTCTTGAAAACAAATTTAAATAACTAAAAAAAATTATATATATATATATATATATTATATATATATTGGTAAATGATAATTGGGCGCCCAATGAATTATCCTACTAAATTACTTTTTTAATAATGTAACTTTTTAACTTTTTTGCAATTAAATTCAAATTACAAGCAAACATGGCAAAAACGTTTATAAAAGCGCTTTGAATTTACTGCTTTGAGTGCTGCCACCGAATGCGACACGTTTTTCATTCTTTCATAATATAAATTATCTTCCTTAAACAAATTCAATTGAAACAATAAATATACATTAATATGAATGTACGTATATACATATATAAAAAAAAAAGTTAAAAAGCTAAAACAACATGTAATATAAAATATAACACAGCGACGCTTTGTGGCGCCTTTTAAAATTTAGTTTAACGTCAAATTGACTTTTTACTTGCATAATACATACATATACATATATATAAAACTCGCACGCAGTCAGAGCAAATTATCCCGTTTTGTAGGTATAAATAATGGTAGCATAGTAATTTATCGTATACAGATGGCTGCGAAAATTTTTAATAAATTATGCGTACTCGCAGAAAAATGATGTCGATGGCATGCACCTTTTTTTGACAAGTGTGTTATTGCACAACTTGTGGGGTTGCCGGGCGGGAACGAGTATAAACATGGTAAACACACACACAGCTATATACATTTAGCTTTAATTTATTTTTTTGAACATGACGTTTGTGTTTTTTTTTTATTTAAAAAAAATTCAACTTTAATTTCTTTGTAACCGGCTAAATAAGTACAACAAAGTTTCTAAAGTTTTCATATGCTTACCAAACTTAATTATCGCTGATGACTGCACGATATTGACGTCGGGCAATGGAATCGTTGTCATTTACTCGAAAGTAAACGGCTACCTCTCCGACCTTTCTCGCTTCTTTGCTGCATACACTCCCCCACTAAATCCACAGCGACCATATTCACAAACTGAACGAAGGAGTACAGACTAGAACGAAACATTACAGTCAATGGCGTTAAAATTCCTGACCACCTCTTTGCATGCTCAACGAACCCCACTCATCTAACACCCTTTTCCCTGCGGTCCGACCCCGTCGAAACAGCTCGTTTGCTGCGTTTCCCGTTAGATGACCTCGACGACAACCAAACTGAAACTTACCACTCAAGCGGGGTTTAGATAACCGTTACAACAACAACAACATCGAAAAAAACATTTCCTCTGTAAATAGTTCGACTTATCTATATAATTCTCTTTGGAAATTTTTTAGTAATCCAAATTAAAAAAAAATTACTCTTTTATTATTCCAAATCACTTTTTATCACTAATGAAATAAAAAGTTCAAATTTATTTTCACATTTTTTATTTTAACTTTGACATTCGTATTTTTTAATTTTTTATTTTTTTGTTTGTTTTTTTTTTGTTTTTGTAAATGCACATAAATAAAGCGCCATAAGTTTCAAAAACGATTTTTTAAGTATTGTCGAAGCTCTTAGAGAAATTCTATAAATTTAATTCAATCCAAGCAGTATGTTTATATAACTATATTGTATATTTTTCCAATTTCATATTTTTTAAATTTCATGTTTTTTAAATTTCATATTTTTTAAATTTCATGTTTTTTAAATTTCATGTTTTTTAAATTTCATATTTTTTAAATTTCATATTTTGAAATTTTATTTTGTTTTTAAATTTCATATTTTTTTGTATTGAGTATTAGCTTATGAAAATTAACTATTTTTAACATGAAAATCGCCTTTGCACACTTGAAACCCTTCAATTGTTGCAGACCTTCTTGTATTGAATTTTTCGTTATCGATTTATTTACGTTTAACTAGGCGCAACTTGAAAATTTTGATATTTTAGCTAGGTTACATGTTTATTTTCATAACATACACATTTGATTCGAGTCTCGATTAACATATTTACACAAAATGGAAGCATTTCAATTTCACATCAAGATTTATAAATTTTGTATTTGTTTTTACGTTTGTTTTTCATTTTCTCTTTTTTACTTGCACTTTCCATTATTGAAGTAATACTTTTGTGAATAAATTGCCAGCGTGTGCGCTGCGCCACTGCGACGCTAGTCTAAAGCGTTGTTTGGACGTTCTGCACAGCTTTGGAGAGCTCCACGCGCGATGGTATCAAGTAGAATGCCGGCGACACTTCCTCGCCGCACGGGCATTGGCAGCCATTGATCCAGCTGAAATTGCCCACTTTTTGGTCGCACTTTGGGCAATGCAAGCGCCCCTGCGTGTTGTGCGAGATGTCGCGCATCCAGGAGATCGGCTCCACGAACAGTATATTGCGACAAACAGTCGGCAGTTGCTCGTTGACCGCATCGCCTACGCCAGCTGCGGCGTTGGCAACGGTGGGCGCGTCCAGTGAAGCATTGCGTATTTGCGCGGCGATCTCTTCCAGCAGTCGCGGCGGCTGCTGCACAACCGGTGCAGCATTGTTGTTACTGCCGCCTGCCTTTGCAACCGACGGCACAGTGCTTCTGTCAAGTGATTTGGTGTTGTGCAGCAGTACGTGCGATTTCGAAACCAAAACGCGTCGGCACTTGCGACAGCGGTAGACAATGGGCTCCGGATTCTCCTGCGTAACGGCAGGATCCGATTTGATCAGACTATTAAAGGATTGTGGCAATATTTTCGCTATCGAAGTTGTATGCCGTTTAATTTTATATGTATTTTGTTGTTATGCAAGTCAAACTATTTACCTTTGCGCACTTGTTCGCCCGCCAAACGCAGCCGATAGAGTTTGTACCGCTGATACTGTGGATCGATTTTGCAGCCCATGCGTCGATAAAGCTTCAGTTGCGACACAAAGCCCGGATTGGGTTGCACAAAGCGACGCTTGGAGCGCACCAACTCAAACGCCGCCTGATACTCCAAATCGTGCTGTTTCATAATGAAAGCGATGACGACGGCAGAACTGCGACTAACGCCAAAATAACTGAAATGACAGCAAAGCTCGGTGAAGAAATGAAACTCGATATTTCAAGGTAAATAATAAATACTTTTATAACTAAGTTTATAGGATACACAGCGAGGCGTACTCACCAATGCACGAGCACACGCCCCTTTTGCGCCATAGCCATGCTTATGAAATCCGCGCAGGTATCCAGATGGTGCAAAATGTCCTCCTTCGGCATGTCGGCAACTAGAGTAGGGTATAATGAGCCAGTTGAACATTGGAATATAAAGGGGAAGAAAAATAATGTGGCTTGAAGCGATTGATTTAAAGGAAGTTTCACCGATTGTATAATTTTTTGAGCAGTGTTATTATTACTAGCAAAGTGGGGGGTAGTTCCAGTAAAGAAATTAATTACGGTCTGTGCGTCCCTGTACCCCCCTGGGGTCTATTGTGGCCTCCCCTAAGTCACAACGACTCACTTAGCCCCAACACATGGATGAATTCCAATATACTGCTAGGTGCTATTGAAGTGATATGAACCCAATTTGGAAACATGGATCCAAGCGCCTTAATGCTGCGTCTGCAGACTGTTGTGAAGTCTATTAGCAGGTGTTCTGGCTCCATGACGTAGAACCGGCAGTTCGCACCAGAGGCTAAGTCCATGTTGTATAGATGCTTTTTGAGCCTGCAATGGCCAGTGTAGAACGCGACAAGTAACCGGATTTTGTTTCTCGGCAGATCGATTACATTTTTAAACCTGCTGGTCGTAATCACCCATTAGCAATCTGGCATGGCGCATGCCTTGGAGTTCTTGCCAATGTCTCTCGCTGCCTACACTTTCCGCAATACAGAGCAGCTCCTTTATGGTATGTGGATCAACCGCGATGCAAGTTTCTGGTCCTACCATTCTGGTGGAGACTACAAAGCGAGCCAGCTCGTCAGCCAGTTCATTCCCGGCTATACCCCTATGACCAGGCACCCAAATAAGCTGCACTGGCTTGCGGTTTGTTAGGCTGTTTAGCCGTTCCATACACTCCTGCACTAGTAGTAATTTAACCTCATAGGCAGAGATCGCTTTTAGTGCCGCCTGACTAACGCTGAGCATGGCAATACTTTCATTGCGATAGTTGCGTTGGAGGTTTATCTCTACACACCGACTTATAGCATAGACTTCCGCTTGAAAGATGCTTAGAAAACTTTCCATGGGGATGAAGAGTTTGGAGCGTGGTCCTGCGACTCCTGCACCAATCCCCTCCAACGTTTTCGAGCCTGATCCCTGTATGTGACTGTCAACTGATGGAGACTGCTTAAATTAAGTCGAAATTTAAATAACGAAATAATTAAAATTTCAGCTCTTTGTCAACCTTGACGAAAGCATTTAGTATTTATAAAGATCTTACTCTGTTATAATGAGTCTAAGCTTTGCAGGCGTACATAATCTCCTAGCATCAGCGGCACGTCTGCTGTATTGAAAAGATAATTTCCGTTGATTCAAATGCCACACTTCAAGAACTGCTGTTTATAGCTGCCAGTATTTGTTTATTTCCCTCATGCAATGCATTTCACCCGCGCTGCACGCTCTGCCACACCGCCATAAGCGTCGCATTGAAAAGCAAACGCGCTGCCAATAAAAGCTGTGTGGGCTGTCACTTGTGTCTTCATTCAAATAATAGCGCAATAATAAACAAAACCCACGCTACGCTGCCGAAAAAGAGAAAGAGGTGCTGCAACTACAGGCAAACAACAACAAATGTAGCCACACTAAGCATCCAAGCAAAGAAATCAACCAGCAGCCAGCAACATGTGTGGGGGAGTGAGGCGCTTTTCACGCACACACGCACACACACACGCTCAAATGTGTAATGTTGTACACAAATCCTCAATGTAATGACTACTTTGATATTCGTGTCGGCTTGTAGGATGATGCTGATGTACGTTGCTGTGTGCTGTCATACGCTTGTCGTTGTTGTCAATGCTTATAAAGCTGTGTGTTGGTATGTTGTCCTTAAGACCGCCTATTGAAGTGGCGTGAGCAGGCAGAAAATATTTGAATTTAATAAAACCTACGCAGAACGAAATTTTATGGCAAAACAGTAATTGAATGCACACACACACTTACAGACATGATATGACATGACACGACATGGCGTGTGTGGCGAGTACAAGTAGTGGCTATGGAAAGAAAGATGCGCATGCATTGGTGTGTGCAACGCACTCGTAACATGTGGCGACAGGGGGCGGTCCTACATGTCTACAGGCTTTTGTAACTGCGGACATGCTTGCTGTGGCAAGTGCGTGCGTGTCGATACGCATGTAATGCGCGTTTGGTTATTGACTGTGATGTCGAGCAAATGCATGTGTTACTGGTGTATGTGTAAAAAAAAAAACAAAAAAAAAAAAAAGAAACATACGTCCTTTATTAGAAGCTTAGTCAGTTGAAGCTTGCTCGCCAAGGTTTTGTGCAACCATAAGCTGAAACGTCGTCTCACCAGTGGGAGCTTTAAATAGCTTTGTGTATGTGTATAAAATCAGGATTGCAACAGAGATGCATTGCTGCTACTAATAGGCCCCTCGACATTAAACGCAATCTATTCCTTTTTTCTTTAACGCCGTTCAGTATAACGTTGGCGTCAAGTGGGCTTATCACTGTGGCGGAAACTAGCTGCACTGATTGCAGGCTCATATTGATTTTAACCTTTAGCACATACTTGGGAAACTAATAAGGCGTGAACCTATATTTACCAGCTTCTATATTTGCAACCGTAATATTTATGTATGTGCATATGTGTGTGTTGAAAGTGTAGTGTTGTTTTGGGCAACCACAACTTACTGTGCACGTATTTGGTTGTTAGAAAGCTCGCCTCAGTGATATGTTGTGGCAGCGGCACTGAGTCCAGTGTTAATATGTGAGTAATTTCGAAATTTTTCAATGTTTCCATGTGTGTAGCAGCGGTTAGATTACCTGCAAAGTTTAAAGCGTTACTATAATTGTGTTACACTGCATACTCTGGCACACATACCCAAATATAAACCTGGCACGATTTCATCCACACTCACCGGTCCACCGTCGAAGTCCTCACGGCGCAATGTGCCCACATCTTGTAGTCGACGTTGATTCTGGTTGACATTGGCGACTGTTGCACAATTCACGGCCACGCCTGCTGCAACTGTTGCACCCGTGCTGTTGTTGGGCTGACCATTGTTCCCGATCGTTTCTGCTTGCGTCAGGTTGCATTCCACCTGCATCTTGCTGATTTCTGTGCTGCTGACAATACTTGTGCGCTACTATAAAACTGGAAGCACAATGGTTGCTGTAATTTTTGGAAGCGCTGTTCACTGGACACGTTTAATACCGTGCGCGCACTGCAATGCACTGACTGATGTAGCTACCGTTCACTACCGGACTACGGTAATAAAACTGTAAACTGCACTCGATTGTAATTGCAAATAAACGTCAACAGCACATGGTGATATGCTATTGGCACGAATGCAACATAGTGTTTCATCCCTGGTAGTGTTGTTGGCAGCTGCCAATTTGTTTTATTTACATTTGACACAGCAGCTAAACAGCTGTTCGAAGTTTTCTTGAAAGTGAAAGGTGGGGCGATGTTGAGAGAATTTCCCTAAACAAATCCCGCAACAGGGTGTCAGTTGCATTTATAGGTTTTAATAACTAGTTATATTAAGTAATTATTTGCATGCGTTTCAAAATGAGTCGCCGTATTTTCAGCACTGTTAATAATTAATTTATTATTAACATTACAATACAAGTTTTAGACATAAATAATGCAAACAATTATTTTGTAGTACAGCAAAATGCAACACTGCCGAAATGTCGACATCCACCTTATTTTTCTCCGCTACTTCTTGAACACTCATTTTTGTTTTGTTTAATTGTTTAACAGCATACAAAGCATTTGAAATAGCATTATAACTAGTGTAATGTAATTACTTTGTTAGCGCTTAATCCAAAGTAAAGGTCAAACTTGTGACCTCCGAACAAATTTAGAAATTTTCTCGTGCACAAATTTTCCACCCACTCATTCACACCTATACAAAATTAGGCAGACGTATCCGTTGGAAACCAGCTGCTAGTATTTACGCCAACAGCATTGGCGTTTCACGTGCGTTTATTACCGCTAGCGATAACTCGTTCGATTATGGACAGCTGTAAGATGCTTCCAAGAGTGTCACGTCGCTTGGTCGCGTTTGATTTCGATTGCACCGTAGTGGATGACAACACAGACACGGTGGTTCGCGATCTCCTGCCAGTCGACAACTTCCCCAGTGAAACCATCACACAAAAGGAGGGTTGGCAGGAATACATGGCTGAAGTTTTCCGCCGTTTGCACAAGCAAAGCATTTCACCACAAACAATACGCGACAAAATACGCTGCATACCGGAGGTACCTGGTTTTGTTCGTTTGCTCAAGCGGCTGCATCAAGCGCAGGAAAATAAATATGACTTGGTTATTATTAGTGATTCAAATACCATCTTTATAAGTGAATGGCTGGAAGCGCATGGACTAGCAAATTGCTTTGAAAACATATTTACCAACCCAGCGCATTTTGACAATGACGGCTTACTGCATGTGCAACCTTATCACCATCAGACCGATTGCAAACTGAGCGCTGCCAACTTATGTAAGGGTAAGATATTGGAGCATTTCGTGGCCAAGCGAAATCTGCGCGATAATACGCACTACGAATGTATTATTTATGTTGGTGATGGCCACAACGACTTGTGTCCAGTGCTGAAGCTGCGGCAAGGCGATATAGCATGTCCTCGGCAAGATTATGCGCTGGACAAAAAAATAACAGCGCATCGCAATAAAATGAATTTGCGCGCGGATGTCATTAAGTGGAAAAGTGGTTTTGAATTGTTGAAACAATTGGCTGAACGTGATGCCGCACTAAATGATACGGATGCAGGCAAGACGTCGACGGAATCAACAAAGCAGTAGACAGTCAATTGTGCGACATTAGAATGTGTGCAAACCCACTGAATTAACTGCATGCTGATAAAATTCTATTAAGTGCTGTGTTAGTGTGTGCTAAGCAAGCTATTTGTGTATTTTTTCAAAGATTTCTGTGTATGAATGTTAATGTTAATGTGTATATCAAATCTCGATACAGTTATCCAAGTACTTTCCATATTGTAGCCAAATGATATCTACGTGACCATAGGTCGCGGTGCATACCTCAAAATTAATCTATTCTATTCTATTCTATTCTATTTATCTACTTGTATACATACATTTGTGTACTAAGTGTTTGGTAGCGAGCGTTAATAAAAATTGTCATATGCTCGCCATAAATATTATCTTAATACATACATATACATTTATTGCACCTGAACGCTAAATTGGAGTGAATGAGCGGTTTATGTACAAGTGGTTAACACGGGAATCTCTATTTACAGTGTTAAATATTACATACATACATAATATAAATATATTTTTAGATGTTTTAGCTGCGAATTATTGCAATGAATAAATGACTGAAAAGCACTGCAAACATATTTAATTTTGGAAGTGTATGGCTTATCTTTCTGTGTTTAAGTGTTTTCAAAACAGGTAAGCATTTAGTTAGCTTAAACTAGCAAACATGCTATGATTATGCAAATTAAATACAATAAATACTTTTTATGAACCGTATTCAAATGTCTGCTAAGAGCACAAAACTTCCCAAATTCAAACGCATTTGGCTTTTTGTTCACTCATTGCACATGAGCAATTCACACGCACAGTGCGCACACCTACACATGCGCACGAACAAATTCGCCAAAAATGCAATTTTAAATTCATAATTATGATCTAGGATAATGCGAATGTGCAAGAAAAGGAAAGGATATCTATTTGTGTTGTCTGTTGTTTTTCAGCGACTTTCTCATCACTTCTGGGCACCTGTTATTTCAGCTGGTTTTTTCGATAAGAAAAGCTGGTCGCGAGATCAACGACGACAGCCACGGAAGTGCAGGGTTGCGAACTTTTTAATTAAAAAATTTGGAATATAAAAATAAATAATAAAAAAAAAATAAAATAAAAAATGGTATTACAAATTATATTTTCAATTTTTAACCCCAACATCGGGATCAACAAATTATTTTTAATTCTTAATTATGGTATATACATAAGTACGTGAAATAATTTTTTGTTTTTTAGTTCGGTAGAAAAATTAAAATTATAAAATAATTTTTTTGACCGGTTTTTGGGATTAAAAATGTTTTTTTTTTAATTTTTTATTTGGTATATGGCATTAAATTTTTTTTTTAATTTCTGTGTGTGTGTAAAAAACACCAAGCGAGCAGAACAGACAACTAGTCAACGATAAGAAGAGCGTAGCAAAACAAAAATAAAATAGCAAAGAGAGCGAGCACGTGGTGAGTATTGTAGTTGATTGGTTGCTTACTGTATGGTTATGGGTGCCTATTATTTCAGCTGGTTTTGTGCAACGCCTCAAAATTGTTTAAATCAACACTAGGGTGGGTCGGTCTCTAACGATTTAAGGTTATTTTTAAGTTGTGGAGAAAAAATGGTAAGTGGAAATATTATTATTTAAAACTATGTAATGCGGCTCTGCCATTTTTATACATACTTACACAGCAGTCCACACAAATAACACCAGTTGTCGGCTTAAAGGATATTTTGGTCTTTATTTGAATTGTACACAGTAAATTTGAAAAATGTACGCATATGAATTTATGTATGTATGTATATAAGTGAGTATATGAGTGTATGCTTGCAGCAGATTAACTTTCGCTTCATTTTTCAAAAACCATTTGTTAATACAATATTATGTTAAGTTAAGTGTCATAGTGTCATAGTGTTGGCTTCATATTCAATATATCTTTAATACACGTACATAATATATATGTGTAGTAGAGGTCTTCTCTTACATAAAATGCGTTGTAAAATTTTATAGCACACAAGTTTTTACTTCATGAAAACTTAACAGCAATATACAGTAACAATTGCAGCTATTTAAGTATTTTTACGCACACCACTGTAACAATTTTTACTTTCAAAAAGAGTGCAACACCTGCTCGTATGCACTTTTGTAGAGTTGTGTGTATGTATAATATTAAACATTAATGGATTTTGTGTAGGAAACGGCTGTAGCCTCACTATCTATAACAAATTGCTTGTAAACTTTGCGACCTAATACATGCGTGTAAAATTTGGATTTTAGAAAAATTGACAAAATCAATTACATATATAATTAATTACTATAATAAAGTGGTAAAAAAGCAATAATAAAAATTAAAAAATATATAGGCTAATAACATGTCGATAAAATATTAAAATATGCATATAAACGCCAACAAGTGGCAACCACATCGTTCAGCTAAGTAAGTGTCAAACTCAAAATGGTAAATATTAGCAAAAAAAAAAAAAGAAATACAAAATTTCTTTTTAACCAAGGAAAATTCAATAATCGAAAATACATTATTTCGTTCGAAGGCCAATGCATTCTTAGCACCAAATAATCCGCAAGCGCAATTGAACGCGCATTTATGGCGAATCATGCGCTTTGCAAATTTCTAATTACACCTAAACAACTACTTCGTGTAAAAATATTTCACTTTATGCTTCTTAAATTCCACCCGCTGACATACGACTGCGCGCTATCACGTGCCTAAACTACTTTATACTGCTAACTTTTTGTATTCCTATTTTGTCTTCACTCACTTGCTAGCTACTATTGGTTTTCATTTTGTTTGTGATTTTGTTGTTGTTGTTGTGTGTGTGTGTTGCCTTAAATGGTGTTCTTAACAATTTCACAGTTTATATCATAAAAATATCTTAAACTTAGTCTTAGAAGAATTTTAATATTTCGACATTTCTGGCAATTAGCACCGACGCTGCCGCAACCGCTCTCCATGAGCTGTGTGGTGGTGGTGGCCGTTACGGCAAGCGTATCAATGATAACTGTCTCATCCTCGTACTCCTCACGTTCGTAGTAGTAAATATCATAGTCCTTTTGGTTGTAGTTGGCCATGGTCACTTGCATGCCGCGCTGCCCCGGCTCGCCGGTGCCACGCTTTACGTAACGCGCACAGCGTACACTGCCGCCGGCGTTGTTTAACAGCGTATTGGCTGTTGCGTTACAGGTTGCGGCACCGTTTCTTCTCGCATTATAAGTGTCGTAATTGTTGTAACTGTCGTGACTGTCGTAGTAGTGGTTGTTGTCGATGGTGCCAGGCGTGTCAGCGCGTTGACCGCTAGTGCCGAATCTGTTGCTGGCTCTGCACGCGCTTGTTGTTGTTATTGCTGCTGTGGTGGCTATAGTTTGTTGCTGATATTGTTGGGGCTGCTGTTGTTGTTGTTGTTGCTGCTGCTGATAATTAGTATTGCCAATTTGGCTTGGCCAGAGGCAGCGCATCCAAGCGAAGCGCCTTTCACATTTTAAACATTGCTAGTGACAGTGTTCCGTTACATCGACAATCACCGACTTCCGCCAGCAGAACAGGAAGTAGCCGACAGCGGCGCCCAGCACCACGGCAATGCAGAGCCAAACGTTGTAGGTCATAAAGATCAGCATCAGCATGAAGGAGAGCGTCACTTGCAGTATGTGGAGCCCGGTTTGATAGAAATGGTTCAGCGACAGCATCGTCGGACTGTGGCAGGCGAAAAGAGCGTGGGAGAGATAGAGAGAGAGAGAGAGGGTAAGTAGGAGCAGCGTAAAAAAAAAGTAAATGTTAATAGCTTAAAAATAAAATGGCGACAGGAAACGAATTATTTGATGCGTTAAAAAGCGGATAATCGTTGCGCCAACAAGCACATGCACAAGCTATGTAGTTTTTACTGTGATGAGTGGATGGCGGGGGTATGTCGTTTATTTTTTTTCATTTTAGGTGAAATAATAAATTAAAATTTTGCGAGGGTTCAACAGCGAGTAACGAAAACGACGGCTTGAATCTCAATGCGTGCAGCTTTGCAGCTCGAAGCTCTACACCTAACTGATTTGTGCGTCGCGGTCGCGCATGTCAAGTTTAAGTCTGGCCATGTAAATCTCGCTGATCGGTGATTATGCTGGCTGGTTTTTGGCGTTTGCGCATATTATTATATGTCAGCTGCTTAGAACGGTGACTACTTAAGTGTGAGGTTAGATTTGAGTTGGCAAAATGCTGCACGCTTGTAGAAACACTAACATTTAGTTGCAAAGGAAAATAACTGTCGCTCACGTTGTAGCTGATCACATCACTTACTTAAGAAATATGCAATTTTCATTATTATACTCACGGTTGCTTGTGTATGACTTCGCCAACATATCTACACGTTACAGATTTTTCGATTATTATTTTTTGTTTCGTTGAGAGCACAAATGTGAATGGATGTGAGAAAGAGAGAAAAATGAAGCAAAAGGGACAAAACATATGCGAATTAGAATATGGATTACAACAATAGCAAACATACAAACAACACATTAAAGAATTTAAAAATAAAACAGAAAACTAAAGCTGCTAAGTGCACCAAGAATGTCAACACACAGTCTACAATTACTTACTGCACTGGCGAGGCGCTCGTCGACGGCGTACTCCGTTGCGGATCTTCGGGATTGCGTTGTGGTCCGGTAACTGGTCGGTATTCCAGCAAATTGTATGTCTTCCAAAACAGGTATTCGCGATAGTACTTGAGACCCTCGTAAAGCACAGCCATTACAAATATAGCGATCATCGAACCAATCAGGCCCATGATACTATCGAATTTCCACCAGGAGAAGAGCACAGTCTCATTGTAGCCGTAGTGGAACTGCAACGAAATAGTGTTAGTTGAAATTGTGTAACCACGAAAAGCCTTTACTTACCGCCATTGACATCATATGATGCATTGCTCCTTCCATATTCATGGCGCCATGGTCGTGGCTGTTGTGCATCGCATGCTGGTCGCTCATGACCACGTGCTCGCCATGACCCATCACATCCAAGGGGCTGACAGTGGTGGTGGACAATATTGTAGCGGCATGATCGTGTGGTGTTGCCGTATCTAGAGGCAGCATATGATGTGCTTTAGTACAAATGGTGCACCATTCAATGGATGAAGTAGTGTGTGAAATAACGAAACAAAAGTAAGGCAGCGCAAAAAAAAAAAAAAAATTTAAGAGAAAAAACAAACAATAACAATAAAAATAAAAAATACTACACATAAAAAAATAAATTACTTATAAATTAAAAAAGTAGTATAATCCACAGAAGTAAAAAAGCATTTCCTGCACACTAACGTAGACTATTGGTGTTAATGCCCTAAAATATAATACTCGCATATGCTACGACTACTATGAGTTTAGAGTGTTACTAAGAGACAGCACACGGCTTGATTGAGTTTGGTGTCGATTTTGAGAGATTTTAGAGTGAATGGGCATAGTACAATGAACAAAAATCTAGCGGTAACTTTAGCTACCATATGATTTTTTTGAAAGTTCTGTCATTCGCGTGACGATTAACAAACTGTTTTCGGAAAAATTTTGCTATAACACGAACGCTTTCGTAGGCTCTAGACCTAAAAGTTGTTGAGTTGGTAACTGCTGATGTTACAGTGGTAAAAGGGCTGCACCGATAAAAAAAAATGTATAGTAGTAGCTGTCATGAATTCAGATATTATTGGTTTGACGTACGAAACAGCAATTGTATCGGTTTTGAGTGTCAAGCAAACCAATTTTATCGGGTTTGTTATCGGTAACAAAGCAAGCAGATATTCGCTGACAGATTTGAAATGTAAGTTAAGAAAATAATTTATATTATTGTTACGATCTCATTTATCTGCATTTCTATAGGCGAAAACTTAAAAATAAAACACCACATTTCATAATTATTGAGTTTATGGAAAAAATGCAGATATTTTAAGAGGTTCTACAAATGTATAAATGTAATATAAATCGATAATGTGATATAAATCTATAAAGTAAGCATGTATACAAACATACAAGTAAATGCAAACCAAATTCTGCATGCGTCTCCGCTGCTGCATCAAGTGGATTACTGTGATCTTTTACTTTCTTGCTTTTAATTTTTCGTTGCTTTTTTCTTTCAATAAAATATAAGCTAAAATAGCGGCACTCATTGTAGACTTTAGTAGATTTTATTGGGTATTTCAAATTTGTCAAACGCTTACAAATTTATTCATTTACAAGTTTTGTCACAATAGTAAACAGCTGATTCGATTATTGCTTTTGCATATGTTCTTAAAGACAAAAATCCAATCAGCTTCTGTGACACCACTGAAAACTGACAACTACGCAAATCTGTCTTGAATTCCACAACACTACTGATAACGTAATGAACCTTAGTCATGCTTAGGTAAAACTTAGTGTATAAACAAAACGGCGGCGTTGCTATGAGCGTAATTTTAGCAGTTTACTTTGACTATGATTGTAGAAACTTACCGTGATTGTGTATACTATGCTGTGAATGATCCATTTTGCCACTACCGTGTGCAGGTTACCACTTATTATTGTAGTTGTTGCTGCTCAAATCCACCGAATTAATTAAAAATAAGATTTTTTGCTCGCCAACACTTGCCTTGGCATTTAGGAAGATTGCTGTGAAATGGCGGACTGTAAATAGAAGAAGAGAGAGAGAGAGAGAGAGAGTGAATATATGTATGAGAAATGATTGTGGAGCATTTTAAATTTAATTGTAATTTGCTTGCTTGCTGCCTTTTCTACGTAACTAATTACGCATATCGGTATTATATACGCAAAGAATACAAAGCATGCTTAGGCGTTGTATAACAACTAAATGCTGTGGTCTGACAGTCTAACGGTAAATACGATAAAATGGTTGCGGATTGCAAGAGGAAAAGTAGAAAAAATCGCGTTTTATACGCATAAATAATCAACTTAAGCAGCTGATAAAGCGCTGTCTTGCGCTTCCATAACAATAAAAAGCGGCAAACTCAGCAAAAAGTAGTAAAAACTTAACAAGAACAACATTTCAACATTTATAATTACGCCCACAAGCGCGCAACAGTTTGTCGAATGTGTTAGACTAAAAACGCTTAGTCCTTAGCTACTAATCGCATTGCACAACTGTTACGCGCAAGTAAATGAGTTGAAGCTGAAACAAAAACTGGTTTCTAAAGCCGCGTTATTCATCCAAAAAGTCAGCCGTTTTGTAATGTAAACGGATGGTTGCATAAACTCATGAATTCTGGTACTGTCTGACCACCTACTTTTGAAAGGTTTGACTGATTTTACAAGCTCGAAATGCTAACGCTGGAAGTAGTACCAGTTTCACAGCTGCTGCTTTCATTTACGAGCCGCTTTCGACGAAAAGAGTGCGGTGCAGTCAGAGCTGGCCAACTATAGCACTATTTTCTTGTATCTTCGCGACTGACTTTGTAACTGTTTAAGCTTAGCTGACCATTCGTTCGTCTAGGGCTTAGAAATTAAAAAAAAAATTAATTGAATAAAATTGTGTTGCTCTCTCAGCTATTATATGTCGCGATTTGCAGTGAATTATAGTACGGAAAAAACCGATGACTAAAAAACACCGTACCGGATTTTGCCGGGACAAATATGGTCGCCTAAGTTTAAGCTCTCTCTCAAATATTTGTACTAACAGTAGTTCCGTTTGTCTTGATTTCCAATTTCCTTTCGAGCTGTTACTGAGTGAAATTTATTACAGAATTGTTCATTGATCATTTCACTGCGTCTTCTGCGCTCTACGACAGCAGCTGAAACCCCACAGGAGTGCTTTATAAAAAAAAATTGTAGAGCACTTGTCTGCTAAAATATACATTCTGATATTCAACAATCGATTTTCGATAAGCTAATTTATTGAGCTGCCGTTGAAATTTCTAACTCTCATGCAGTACTTATGCTAGTCTGAGCTTCGTACATTTCTGCAGCTGTGTCTGCAACTGCTCTAATTAGACCAAATTTATGCTTACAGCTGAAGGTTTGGAAGACTGCTTACTTTTAATTACAGTCAATTTTTCTTAGTTGGTAACACACGGATTTGCCTCTTCTTGCACTATGTTTACGCTTAGCAACGGGCATGTGTTAAATCGATAGTTCTCTGTAAAATATTTCCAAGTCAGTTGTTTTCTAGTAAAACCGAAGTAAATCCCAAATAGACGCTGATATGTATGTACAATACATATATGGGCCAGAATATGTATATTATATGCTTGGCAACTTGCCTGCTTCCCACGGTTAATGCATAAAAAGTTTTGAAATGCGAGCGCTTGTCACTTGTGAAACTGCGTAGATATGCAGCGTTGCCACGTTTGAGTGCAAAAAGACAAATAAAAAAAATTATGGAAAAATGCGGGAAGAGTTCTCGGAATAACAACGTTGTGTTTTCCACCAACAACAATGACAACAACAACAAAAGGTCAAATTGAAACCAAAGGCCAGGTTCAAAGGAACTTCCACAGAAAATGGAGGACAAACAGACGGCCACACAATAATAAAAAATGCATGAAATACCGCGCCTAAACCGTGAAATTTGTGGCTACTTCCTCATAGCTTAAAAATAGAAGAAGGAAGTAAGTGTTCCAAGGAAATCGTAACGGTCGCCTGAGCTTGTTTGATGAAGCAGCTACTGCTGCTCACTTCTTGTTAAGCCTTAAGCGGCTTTGGCGAACACTAAAAAAAACAAACGCTTTTAGTATTGCAAAAGTTTGCTGGCTTAAGCTAGCTTTTAAACGGCCATGCGTATGCCAAGGGCAACACACTATTTCTATACAAAAACCGCGTATTTGCAAGACTTCGACTCAAACATTATAACCGCCGCCTACCGGATTTAATTGTACAACTTTCAGGCATGACCGTTAATCAACTGAAGCACGTTATTAGCTCTACTACACTTGCTGCAGAAGGAAACTCTCTGGCGCTTCATTTATTTTAAGTGGTATAGCAACGAAAAATCTAACGGTAGTAACTCAATTGTGTTTAAGTACAGCAAACATCAACAAATACAATATAAAAAATAGCATACGAGTGTAACGTATTTCGGCATGTATGTACAGGTTGCAAATATTTTGCACATTACTGTGCGCAATTTTTATGCAATTGCAATGCAAAACATGTGCGCCCAAAATATAATATTATCATACAATGAATTGCGTACGTGCCGCATATGCAACGTTGCTACCTCCTAACACACACATACACACGGACACGCGCTCACACGCATTGCGTTGGCGAAAATCGAAACAGCAAGTAAATTGAAAAAAATAAGTTGTTTTTATGCCACAAAAGGCGCAAATTTGTTGAAAGAGGTCACCAATTTGGGCGAAAGCCGATATATTACAACAACAACAACAAAAACAAATAATACAATAATAATTCAATGGCGGCCCTTGGCTGCAGTTCCACAAATTTGGCCGCACGTCGTTTAAATAAATTTTGCGCATAAATGTGTTGAATTATTCCCACGCACACACACACCGCCACACACATATACATACACATACAGTTACACATACAAGAGCTGTGCTGCAACAGCGCAACACTTTCATTAATTATGTGGACATTTCAGGATTTAACTTCGTCGAAAACAGCTGATGGCGGAACGCCCAGCCCACAATGCATTTCATTTACGCATATTAAGCGCTGCGGTTTGTGGCATGCATTGTGTACTTTTGTCATCTTGAAGTGCTAACTAAATTGATTTTATCTTCAATTTTACTTTTTATTTGAATTTCGTTTAGTCCGACACGCCTAATTGACGACTATCAATAAAGATTTTAATAATTTTTCAGAGCGACCGTCAGCCTCTTTCGCATAGAATTGAAATCAGCTTGGCAGCTTTATATTTATGCATACTGTCTTAAAACAAATTGGTTCGTTAGCTAGAAGAAGCGCGTGGGTTTTATGGCGGATACGACAGTTGCCGAACACATTTACAAAGGTTCCTTACAAACATTTGATTTCGATTGTACAGTTTGTATGGCAGCTATACGCTATAGTAGTTCGATATCGGCCGTTCCGGCAAATGAGCAGCTTCTTAGTGAGAAAAGCGTAGGTGCAAAATTTCAGAACGATAGCTTAAAAACTGAGCGACTAGTTCGTATAATACAGACGGACGGACGGACATGGCTAAATCAACTCAGCTCATCATGCTGATCATTTATGTATATTATATATTTTATAGCGTCTCCGACGTTTCCTTCTGGGTGTTACAAACTCCCTTTCAGGGTATAATAAATAATATCTCATAGAGATATAATCTCTGTATAAGTGCGAAGATTGAGCTGTAGCTGTAAGCTTTACGCAGAAAAACTCGAGCATAAAAAATATAAAATTAGCCGAATCAAATTACAAATCTACAATAGTTGTTTGCTATTATTTCAGAAATATTTTCCTATTTCCAAGCTAATTTGCACGCCACTAAAACCGTTTAGAATCGGCAGACTTCGTTGAACTTTTAAACTGTTAGTGGTTTCCGAACTTTTATTAGTGTGTTGATGCAAATCGAAGCTGTCTGTTAGCTTTTCGAATAAAACTACTTTCCGTTGTGGCTTGGAATTCAGCAGAAACATGGTCGTACCACATGCATATATGTGTGTGTGTCTATATATTTGCATATGTATGCATGGTGTGTAGCATTGGGTTAAATTGAACGATTGACAACTAATTTACTTCGAGTAGAAAGGCAATTTTCGGCAGATCATCGAATAGAGATACGAGCAACAAGCGCTACAAGCTGTGTCTGCGTGCAATTTGGTTGAATAACTGGAATACAATAGACCGCAAACCTTTTACTTTACTTTCAGAAAAGCGAAACGGCGGTGTAACAAAGTGGATAAAGGTGTACACAGCAGGCAGGCGGGTTTATTGTTTGCTTAGCTTGACTTACAAAACCAACCACGAACTAATTGAACTGCAATTGGTGAAGGGGAATTTCACAAATATTAAAAAATACTAAATTACGAATTTTAGAGAGCAATGTTTAGGTTTCAAATACGCAAATTACGGCATGACGCGTTGGCGAAAAAGCAGAGGGGCTCGCTAATTTATATATTATATAAGCGTTAATATCTATACGAAGTGGCATGTAATAGCTTGCGAACTGCAGCTGTCAGATGGGTACGTCAAATGGATGCCAGATGGTAGTCAACCATTTTGCAGCACTTGTCAAAGAGCGGTCAGAGTATGTCAGATTGGCAGCTGTTAGGTGGATTGGACGCGCGTGAAATGTTCAGTACTTCTGCTGAGCAAGACGCCTGCTTTCGGTTGAGTTAATCAGCACTTAACTGACAGCTGGTTGCTAAACAGACATTGAGAGCACGGCACTTAGCAGCAACCTTTTCGAGTTATAAATGTTAACGCAGAGTCGCAAAAAATGCGTATGGCGTTATGCTGGAAACAGTCACCGACGCAAAGAACTTTTGGCAAACTACGGAAGGGCGATATGTCGGTGACTGTTTCCAGCATCAAGGTAGCAAACCTATAAGTGAATGCTTTACTGGCAGCAATAAACTTTTCCTATGAAACTTGTAGTCTATGTTTAAATGCAAGCGCAAAATTATTATTATGACTATAAATTGTTGGAATTTTCAACTAATACGCTGAATGATGGATTCCTGACCTCTTTCTGTCTTTTC